TAAAATACAAAATAAAACATAGTATTATATAAGAATAAAAATTACGTAGTAAAAAATAAACCAGTTCCTTTTGATCGCTGTACAAAATGTGTATACTTTAACTAGCTGTAACTACAATTTCTTGAGATATTTGTGTTGTGGATTAATCGATGCGTTATGTTTTTTTAAACTTCTAAAAATATATAACAATAATTGTTTCAAGGTCGGCGTTACTTTTTACGGTGAACCCGCAAAAGGTAAAAAAAAATTCATACACACAAATATAGGTACTCGCATCGAGTAGGACAGACTACACTGTGTACTTAGAGGTCATGGAGCCGACCTCGACACCTTCGTTGCACAAAAAATAAAAATAAAATGTACCTACACAATTCCCTTGTTTCTTCGATGCGCACCCACGGCGTTATTCAATCCAAACTCGAATACATATTACTTATTTATTTGTAACAATCGACAACAATATAGCACGCATGCATTTTTACATATTACAATAACCGGTGCGGGTATTTTGTTAGTGTTTTTCAACTTTGGATAAATATAGACATTTTGAATAACTCAAGAAGTGTTGCGGTTGTGAAACGTTCACAGAATTTACATAATAATAAATAATATACACCGCGAACAGAATAATACGTGAAACGGAGATTATAATACAATATGTAGTAATAATATATTTTCTTATAATATATTTTATTGATGCTACTGGCTACTGCCGGTCTGCCGTTCTTCTGGGGTAACCTTGTGTCTGAGCATAAGCGAATAAAATGATTGATTTTTTCTATTAAAAATTCCACGCCGTAGATTTAGGTCATTATTAGGGAAATAATAATTACATTTTTTTTGTGTGTGAACCTTCAAGCTGTTTGTGTTTTCGACACCGAATCGATTATGTGTGCCGGTGTTTATTTTACTTAATACTGATATTACATACTGAATCATTAATCAATAGGTAATAATAATTAATTACTAAAAACATTTAAGGTTAAAACGGATTTGCTTTTATCGTCAACTATATATATATATCATTAATCATTCAGTTGTTTGATTTTTACCATCGGTACTTCAATCGATGATAATACCTATATTTTAGTATTTTGAAATTTGACATTACTCATTTGCCTATATGGTGGAATAATATAAACGTCATTAATTTATAGTATTCTTCGATAAGCGCAATAAAACCATGATTATACGAAGTACATTATAAAGTTGTTGTTGTTTGTTGACTCATCCTCGACTAACGACTTCATAATATGTAGTAAATATAAAAAAAAATATATGGTAATTACTAATTTAGTAAAAAAGTAAAATGCCATTTTTTTATAACATTAAAAAAAACTGTACGTCAAAAAGTTTGAATGTCAATAGAATATGTAAATACAAATACTATTGATTACAAAATATTCCCGTAATACTACGAAAGCAACGTTGTCACGGCTCCATCACGCACAAACTCTACTTATTTGGGAGGAGGGGTGTTAAAATAAAAATAAGGGAATACATATGTACACTTGTAGACATTACAAATATATATACTAACTAATTAAAATGAATGCCTCTATCACAATAACCATAACATATTTTTCGCTGAATCCCAATCGGGTCTTACATTTTTCTAACACCTCATTTTATTTTTTTAAATCGCTTCAAAAGTGTAATGAATTTTCTAATTTTCTTTAGTGAATAAAAAAATCTTTAAATCCTAAATTAATTTTAAAAGCAGCTATAAATTCAATAAATAAAATAAAGTAGACAATTATTTAAACGTACATATCACAAAAATGTGTTTTTTTTCTGTCACTGTCGTAATAAATCGTTTTTAAGAAATGTCAATAAAAAAAAAAAAGGTTGTTTAAATAACATCTAAACTTATCTAGAGTTCTGAGGCCAAATTCAGATTCAATAGAAATAATGAAAAAATAGATGTGTGTTGTTCTTGTTCTAAAAAAGGTTAAATTTTGATAGTTTAGATTGATAGATAGATAACTCTATAGATATGTATACATAACAAAAAACATGTCCGTTGTTTTCAGACTTCGCTCGAAGTGCGAAGATAATAAAAAAGGTGGGGCAAGGGTGGTGGCAACCCTCCTTACGAGGCCCGAAGGGCTGAATTTTTGAGAATTTGTCTGTTAGTTTTTTAAAAATATTTAAAATATTATAAATTATCCAACGGATCAGTCGTAATGTTCAATACATTATTTTGAAATTAAGTTAGCAAATAGGTACTTGAATTACTGTTCATTTGTATAAAATTTAAAAATCTATAGTGACACATTTTTATTGAGGAAAACTTAAATAATACAATATATTGTCTATAAAATGTTTTATATTTATTTCTATTGAATATTTTTTACCATCCACAGTTTAACATCGAAACGTTCATTTTATCACTTTCAGTTGTAATAATACCTAATAATTTGTCATGTTTTTCCGTCATCTCTATATCTTGTTCTCACTGTGGTCTGTGCTGGATATTTAAAACTTTTAATTTAGCTTTAATGTTTTGATATAATACTGAATTTTCAATTTAGTACTGTAAATTAAACTAAGATCCTAGCTCTGAAAAAGAGAGATATTATTCTTGTGGTGTTAAATCAAAATTATGTAAGATGTAAAAAAAAACCGTTTATTATACTATAATAATTTTATTATTTTTATTTTTAAAACACAAACACATTACGTTTTTTTACATTAACATTTTAAACAGAAAATAGTGACATTTAAATGTAAATGTCAGTTAAAATGTAACTTAATGTTAGTTAAATGTAACTAACTTGTTTTTGTTATTTTGTTCTTCTGCAGATACCTTCACGTACTTGAAACGTGCTCAATAAGTCTATTAGGTATCATCATATTATTATTCTAGCAAATTCAAAACTATGTACTTAGAAAGCACTTTTGTATTATTATAACGGCTATGATAACGTACACGTAGACCGTTCGTATACGAGATTGCAGTCAATTTATCACATGGGTAAATTTATCAGCCTTGAAACAGAAATTTAACAAATCTGTGTTTAGCTAATGTAAGGTCAATAATCATTATAATATTTCACCGACGATATTAGTAACAAATATAATGCATTTTAAGTATAGTGTTGTACAAACAAAAAAACATATTATTGAAATCAAAACCGGAAGCGTTCCCGATAATACAACAAGTATATTATTATGTAATAGGTACTATTTCAAATATGAGTGAAATAAAATATTTAAAAAATTTAATGCCATATTGTTGTGCAGTCGACATTTTTTTGTATAGACAAATCCGAATAAATCAAAAACAACGATTATTGTTGTCTACGTCAGTTGAATAACAAAAATCTTTATATATATATAAAAAACGGCCTAGGCATCGATTCACGGACAAACGCCCAACATGTACAGGACAGATTAATTATATGTATACTATACTGAACTCTTGTTTAGGAGGGAACGGTAAGGTTTAAACTACAGACCCAAACGCAGAGACACAGACATGTCCCACACAAGGTCAGTTTACACAGTTACACATAAAGTAGTACCTAATCTCCCATTTTTGGGAACCGAAAAGATACATTTGAAACGACGAATTTGGTTATATTTTGCAAAAGACGCGATTAGACAAATAATTATTAATTGAAAAAACGTTTGTTTGTTAATTTTTAATATAATATTAGCGTTAGTCCAGCTCATATGGGAAAACAATGTTTGAAAATTATGCATTCCTTGAATGTCATCCGTTAAGGAATGCATTAAGTTTTTTAGTGAATGATGGAAATTAATGCATTCCAATTTGAGCGAAATGTGCATGCATGTTTGAAAAATGAATGCAATATTCTAAAAATATTTCTTCTTTTTCAATATAAAACTTGAGTTCTTGTTAATTGTGAATTTTGACCTTGTAGATTTCAATTACGCTCCGTTTTGTTAGTTATATAGTATTTGCAATCTAAATCTACTTAGTCATTGTTGAGCAAAAAGATCCACTAATAAAGTTTCTAAGATATAATAATATGTATAACTTGACATTTATAAAATTTGATATATTACGTATTTCGATTTTCGTATTTTGATAGAAAAATATTCAAATAAACGTTTTGGTGAATACTTAGAATGAATATTTTCCACTTGGGGGATTGAAAGCGAGTATTTTTTTAAGGGGTTTTATATAGGCAATATTTAAAAAATAATAACTATTCGACTATTTTAATTTATTTTCAGGTGTTATCTGTAACGTATAAAATGTTTTTTATGACTAAAAGCCATTTTGGCGATAAAAAAATGCTTTCTCTATGGCAAAATAGGGAGACTGGCTGGTCAAATTCCAGTTCTGTAAAAAGGTAAGTAGGTATTTTTTGTCCACTTTCTTAGGCTATGTTAGAATCCGACCTTCATTTAAAAACTCAGTTTTTTTGTTAAATAATTTAACTTGAAAATGTTTTACATAAAAAAAGCAAATATTCAAAATACATTTCCAGCATACCCATAAAGTAGCCAAAGAACTCGTATATCTTTACAGAATTGTGATTGAACCATTCTAAGTAGTCAACATTTTGGTCTAAAACTTTAAAAACTAATTAGAATCCAATACTTTAATTAAAAAAAAAACAATTCTAAGACAAGAAAAAATTCTACGACATCAAGGAAATGTGTTGTGTGCATAATAGTAGATAGCTGTAAGCTAAAGAACATTAAGCTTCAGGGAAACTTAACAAGAATTATGGACATGTTATATGTTCATGCAGGTCATTCTAATAACTATACAAAGCACGTTCATAAATTATTAATATTTTAATAATTTTATCGGTGTTCTATGTTAGCCGTCTCCGTGAGTTAGAACTAATATTTAGAATACATTTAAATTTATTTAACCGCCGAATAAAATAATTTAGTTCGTACATAATTGTCGTTGTCGGAGTCGAGTTTTGCGTTGTAGTTTTGTACGATTTAAAAAGTTTAATATACAATTGTCCACCACTTGGCAACCCTTTGGATAAAGACTTCAAGACACTCACCTGTCTCTCTCTCTTTATATAGATGTACGATTCTATATGTGTAGTGGGCTCTCCTGTCCTTTACAGCGGCTCGTGTGACAATCTATGTTTCAAACACAAACAAATATTATACGAAACTCTTGGAGACTCAATAGTTTTTTTATATGATTTCTGTAATGTTTTATGTAATAATATTATGAACGCGCGTACAAAAAAAAAAACACACCGATCGGACACTCAGAAATCACTTCCCGACTGCCACGAGGCCTCGGCAAACACTGAATTGTTTACTGTGTTGACCGGACGACTATATCGTACAATCTAACAGACACACACACACACACACACACACACACACACACACACACACTATGAATAATCTCTCTCCTCGTACATGAACTTCACTGGGATATACTCGCCGTGTGTGTAAAGAAGTGTTGCTGACCTTGTCAGTATAGATACCGCTTTCGGCAGCACACTGACTCAATCATAGGATATATCATCTATATCGTGTATTGTATATTACCATAATGTGATCGTTGTGAATTATAATATTATATAAATCATGGTTAATTAATATTATGAATGCGATGAAGTAGTTTTTTGTTTCACTCCCACTTCACGGCACACGTTGCAGCAGCTGAGAACCTATTGGTCTCGATGTACTTTTGAACTACTAGACAGATTTTTTCATGTACCATGTCAATAGATTAGAAATCATACGATAAAGACACTTAAATAACGTATACCTTTGTTTTTAAAATTTAAAAATAAACTCCACAAATTAATATATTTACCAACTTACAAAAACAGCACGTCATAGCTTTTGGAAAAATAATGGTGTACGTCATCATTTTAGTGCTGCATATAAACAGTCAAAGTTGTCCATTTCCCCCTGGAAGGGGTTTAAAAACTTCCTGTATTTCTATTTTTTGTCTCCCAGTATTTTTATGCTCATCAATCATCATTAAGTGATTTTTTTTTTATATATTTAAAAATATGATCAGGGATTTTACATTTACAATATACTATAATATAGGTGTATAATATAATAAACATATATTATATTTATAAATAAATAATAATTAATCAATATTACAAAACATGAGAATAATACGTACATAAAAAAATAATAATTTATAAAATATATCGCAATGACTAACATCAAAATTTTATCGTTAAAATATTGTTTTGAAAAAATATAACACAACTTCAGTTAATAACAAGGGTAAGCGCGTATAACATAATATATTGAGCATAACGTTAAATAAATATTTAAGGCACGATTTGGACATTTTAGTTTATTGGAATGTCGCTTGTTTCATCCGGCTGTCCATGCAGATTATGCAAGCTGCTTCCAGGCCGTCCATCGGTATGCATTCCTGGTGGAACGCGTGCTGGCAATAGAAAATGACGGCGTTACCTCCTACACGGTCTGGTCTGATAATACACTTCTGGCAGGCACTGCACAGGTGTTGCTCGTCCACGCTACAGCCCTTTCGCCGAACGTCGAACAACTTTTCGTGCAAATCAAAGCAGTCGGACACGACGATTTTGGTACACCCTTGTTCCACGGACACCTGCAAGTTGTAGTCGGTCATCATCTTGACCAGCGCGTTCTTGAGTCCCGGTATTTCGGTGTGCTTACCAATCCGCCGAATTAGGATTCTCGGATCCACGTACGTGCCGATCTTCTGCAACAACACCTTGAGGAAGTCCGGGCGGTTCAAAGACAAGCCTATCAGGTCGTGCCACAAATCCAGGTCGTTCTGGTCCCGGCAGAACTCGATGGCTTGCTCGATGTCGTCCAGCTGCGACATGACCAGGTTGAGCGCGTCTTTGGTGTTGCCCATCCGACCCAGCAGGTACACCATTTCTGGGTAGTACTCCAGTCGTTTGCACACGTCCAACGCTTCGGCGATCGAATAATTGTCGCTGCGCTTGAGCAAAGGTAACAGCTTGTCACGTGAGAACTCCGCGTAAAGCAGCACCAGATCCTTGTGGAAATTGCGCCTGCCCAGTGCGCGCGTGTCTTTCTTTTCCAACGCGTCCAAATACGTGTACAGGTACAGTTTGTTGTTCTGCAGCTTAGCCACCGCCACGTCTATCGGTATCGAGTCCTTTGCCAGCAGTATCTTGATGGTCTGGTCGCAATCTAAGTCCATGAGTTGCTCGATCATGCCATGCACCTGCCCGTACAGATCGTGCTTGGCGATCAGCTCGAACACGCCCTTATGCCGGAGCTTCAGGTACGCCGCTAGGGCTTTGTCAAACTTGCCCGAGTGGGTGTACAGAATAGCCAGTGCTTCCAACAATTCCGAACTGGAGTTGGCGATCAAGTGTTCTATGAGCGCGTTAGTGACCGCCGACACGTTGTACAGAGACGGCGACCATTGCTTAATAATTTTCAAAAATCCGTCTGGTTCCAGTTTCAAGTACTCGTACAGTACCATTTCGTAGATATGCGAGTCCAACGTCACCTCGCCCCTGGGCAAGTAGCAGCACACCTGCCGCAGTTGGTGCACCTGTGCAAATTTAAATATCTCTTCCTGCCACAGTTTTTTTTCGTTGCCGAACAGCTCGGCGGCCAGCCGACCGGCTTGTGCGTATTCTTCAGTGAATAGCAAATGATCGAGATACTTTTTGCCTACGGATATGCGAGAGTTACGGTTTAGCACGACGTTCTTAGAATTGACGACGGCCATGGCGTCCGAGTACTTGTTGTGCTCTACTAGCCATTCGATGCGGTCGTCGGCGTCGCACGGGTTGGCCACCACCACGTCCTTGGGACTGACCACGACGAACAGATTCTCCACGACCAGGCTTTCTAGGGCGTAGTCGTTGCACCCAAAATCTTGGAAGCCTCGCAGCGACAAGTTGTCCGTGCACAGTTCTACGTACTTGGACTCCTTAGCCTCGACGACGTACAACTGCGGTCGCATCGATTTGCCATCGGCGTCCTTCTCTTTGGAATAGCACAAGATGACCAATTGATCGTTGTCTAGCGGCCCGATGCCGCTGATGAAATAATCGATGCGGAACATTGACAACGGCTCCACCTTATATTCGGGCATGTCCTTGTTGAGCCGTTGCTGCCGCCGGCGGACCCCGCAAATGCGCACCGTGTCCACCCAGCCGACTAGCAGCGTGCCGCTGTCTTTCCACGTAAGGTTGCACCGAAACGAACTGGGCACGACGTTATCGCGTTTGTCCCACTTGATTAGGCCCAGCGAGCACCGAGCTACCACGTCGTACACGCGGAGCCCAATGTTCGACGACCAGGCCACGAACCGATTATGCCAGTTCATGTTGTGCACGGCGCCTTCGGCATCGCACAGTACTACCGACTTTGTACGGCCCAGAAATGTGCGTTCGTGTAACATCAGCCGGTCGTCGCCCGTGACAAACCGCCGGTACGCGCCTGACTTGTGGTACAACGGGTCGATTGCCACTGATTTGACGCACCGTCCAAGCGAAACCTCTTGGGCGTCCTCTTGCGTGTATAGTCCGTACACAAACACGTTGCCATCGTCCGAGCAAGTGGCTATAAACTCACCGCGGCTGTCGATGCTTATCTGGTTGACGGCCACCGTATGCGGACGCAATTGTCGGTTTTTAACGATGTTGCCCTCAAAATCAAGCAGGTGCACCGAGCCCCAGTTGGTGCCGATGCATAAGAATTTAGGATGGGCTGCCAAGTAACTCACACCATCCTTGGTCAGTATGGTTTGCACGTCATTGGTGAGACGAACGTACTTAAGTTTGGGCTCCACTTCTTCGACCAAGTCCGCGTCGGCTTCGTTTGTCATTGTCCTGAAATTAACTCAATACCTGAAATCATAAATATTATGTTTTTACCGAACTGAATGGAAATAGTTTAGATATATATATATATAAAGTTTCTAAACTATCAGCAATTAATGAAGTAGATGGTAGACGCTTCCCATGTGTCCTATTAATGCGTTATGTGTAAAATCTGTTACATGATGTATAGTAGTGTGTCAGATAAATTTTATACGTTATCAACAATTGTTGATTTCATCAATTAGGTGTACAAGTCTTTCATTGTTTTAAATGTTACAAGTCATAAAGTTATCTCGAAATTCTTGATGATTTTGTAACATAATATGGAAATGATGAGAGATAATAACGGCGGATGAGATTGTATTACAGTTACAAATACTCGTAACAAATCAATTTACCCTCCGTCTTGCTTATATTATATAATACATAGTATGTACATATAATATTATAGTTAAAGATACAACAATAGGTATTTATAACATGTAAAACTATTTTTTGGCAAGACAACATACTATTTTCGTAAATCAATCAGTGTACTGATTTTGAATCAAAATTCGATAACAGAATTACCGAATTGAAGGACAGCAGTGTTACTTTATAATAATTAACATATATTGATTTATACATATTTATGACGTATTGATCATTATAACATACAATGATATATGTATATATATATATTTTTTTGTTTTGGTAAACCAAGTTGCGTGCTTAAATAGTGTTAGCCAAAAATTATAAGTAAACTCACTATAAATCCATATTATAAGTAAATAATAGGATTAATGTGGTACATAAATTTTTAAAGGATATGTTAATAAGTAAAATGTTTAAGTAAAATTAAGTGTATAATTTCTGAGGCTCTACTATTATATACCTAATATTTGTCTACCAAATTGTAGAGTTATACTTAATTAGCAGTTAAAATTCACACATTGAATATTTTCCCAATTAGCATAATAATTACTAACATTTTTTAAAAGGATACAAAATGTATCATACTCTTATCAACTAACACAAATATCTGACAACGTTTGAATCCTTCTATACTAAGTATAATAGCATCAGTGAACTATCGCTTTGAAGATAGACTCTGCAATGAGTCAGAAACAAATCAAAGACATGGATTACATATGGATTACTAAGGATACATCCAAAGATTATTAAGTTAAGATAAGTATTAAGTTAAGATAAGTTATTAAGTTAAGATTATATTTCATTTCATAAAATCTTTAACACAAATATATATTTGTCATAATATATTTTATAAATTAAAATTAGTTGTCCTAAACTCATTTAGAAAACACCATATTGTTCTGCCCTTAAAAGCTTGTAACCATACATTTTTCTTGGCAAAAATTGCTATCGCCACATAATAAGTACTACAGTTTTAATTATTTTAATTATAATTATAATAGTTAAAATTATAATAGTCTAAATACATTTTATTTTGGTGTATATATTGATTTTGAGCTTTGTTGCCAAATACTATAATTATATTTTAATTCAATGGTAATTTACATACATAATTAAATATATATATATATATATACTTAATTATGTAATCATTTTAAATAGCCCTCATGTATAATACCACCATAGGGGATAGAGAAAGTAACAGTGTTGAACATTTTTTTTATCAAACACGAAACTACATTTTACTCAAATAGTTGACAGTTGCTAAAAAGGAGTCTACATAATAACTTAACTTAAAATGAAGCTTATTTTTACACAAAATAATTTTAACACATGGCTCTCCATTGTAAGTATACCCAACTTTGTGGATATATATATATTTTTGTTAATGTGAACTATTGCCAAATAATTATGAAGTTAATAGAAAAATGTATTTGATAAGAAACATTTTTAAATATTTTGTCTAATGGTACTTTTCAATGTTCAAAGCCATAAAATTAGAATTGAGGTGAACTGTTTTGTAAACAAATCCCATTTAAAATATACATTCTAATTTTCAAGAGAGAACTTTCAATAATTAAAACATATTAACAATATCACGAGTTATATGATTAATAATACATGCCATATACGTTAAAATTATTTTATAAAACTTATGTACTTATACAATATTATTACTCAGTTCTTAGCAATTCTTTGACTGTTAATATTAAAAATTATTTATAAAAATAAATCCATATTTTTTCTTATTCTGAAAGGTTTATAAAGTTATTAGGCATCAAATAAAAAAAGTTTTTTAGTTATTATGTATCTGAACTTAGTTCCACTTTTATAAGAACCCTTAAATGGATTAACCTCTATTGTTTTTGGATTTCCAAACAAAGTTAAATCCAGAAATGCGACATAAGATATTTTGGGTTGTAATATTAACTTTCCTATCTATAGTATAATATTTTAACCTATAATAGCATTAAATTTATTTGATTTGTTTTCAGGTGTTAACAGTTTTAAATCTCATTGCTACTAGTCTTCAACAAATAAACAATACAAAATCAATATTGTATCCTATACCAAGGAGCTTGTCCACAATAAATAGTCATAGAAATCATATTTATAATTCATTTGGCGTTTCTGGAAATGTTGGAATCGGGTTACATTTTGGTGGTGGCTACAGAATTAAGACTGGTGATGGAAATGTCAACCAAGAAATTGTTCATAACAAAATGTACGATAAATACTTAGGTACTAGCTTTGGTTTTGGTTCAGCAAGTGGCTTTAAGAAAGGACACGAAAATGATGTTGAACATGGACAAATTGTCAATAATCAAATAATTGAACAAGATCAACAAGATGATGGCGTACAAGAGTCAGACGGAGAAGTCTTAACAACAACTACAGTAAAACCAAAACCAGGCGTGTTCAGAAAACTTACAACTTATTGGTCTGGAGAACGGGAGGATCCTAAAAATAATTATTCTAATGGAATAATTAAGTGGAGTGTACAACAATTTAAAAAAAAGAATCCTGTTGGAACACCAAGATAATTGGAAAATTGACTGCACTTATATCTACAAATTGACACAAGTATACAAACACACTTACTATATAGCTCACATTTAATGGCACTAAGAAAAAACACATTTATAAAACGCTTGTACAGAAAATTGAATGCTGATTTTAAATATTTTAAGTTACTCAAATTTATAATTATAGAGAAAAATATTAATACTCCATAAATTATTACAATTTAAATTAATGCAACCAACTCCTTAAAAAGAAACTACATTTTTATGTTTTGATAAGAATAAATTGATAAGTGTTTTTTTTTATCTGATAAGCTATGTCTAACATTATTCAGTGTGTCCAAATGTAATAAAAAAGTATAAAATATAAATCAATATATTTTATATTATATTAATATCTAACGTTTTCTGATTGCATACAACTTTGAACTTACCGTTTTACAATAATTGTAATTGTAATTATTACACTTTAAAGATACATTCTTAATCTTAAAATGGTTGATTTATTTGCAAATATATTATAAATAATACTATGAGCATGTATAATATGTTTAAATAAATAATAAAACAAAATATTTATTAATTCAGTTAGTATAAAATAACACACATTTAGAATGTAAAACTACTTAATGCGTTTTCAGTAAATATTATTATATACCCTTAAATACAACTATGCAGTTCTTTGATAAATAAATAAATGAATAATAAATACCTTAACATAAAATAATACTATCATGTAAAACGACTATTGTGAACAGTTGTTTTCATTATTTATATACCCTGAAATTTCCTTAAAATATAATATTGTAATATAAAATCTGTAAAATATAAAATATTATAATCTTTAAAAGAAAAACTAATATAAAAAAAAAAAAAATTTGATATTTTTTTTTAAAATCTAATTAAGTTGTTCAAAAATAATTTAATTATTAATCATTAATTAAATAAATAGTTGTAAACAAAAATGGTTAATAGTAATAAATCATTTCATAAAACTATACAATACATAAAAAATAAGTGTGAATTTAAAAATTCTGATGATTTGAACAAAATATACTATAAACTTATTACTCTTCAGATTTTTTAATTACTTTTAAATCTTCCGCTAGTTTTAAGCACTTTTCAGCCATTTCTTTTATATCTTTTGATTTATCATCTTTCATTATGGATAGAGCCATCAATATTTCCATTATTTCAGTTGCAAAAATTTTTTCAGCTATTTCTTTATCAGCTTCAATTAAACTATAAGCAATCACTAAAGCTCTGTGTTGCATTCCACTGTTCGGATGTGCTAAAATAACTTTTAAAGACTCTTCCCAGTTGTTAAACGTCAATAATTTTTTGCTACATTTAACACTATTTGAAACCGCAATTGCAACACCTCCAGCAGCAGCCAACGCAGTGTCTTCGTCATCATCTTCACATAACAGAAAAAGCATTTTCAACTTGTCATTTTCTCCTTCAAAATGTTTAATGACTTCAGGTGATATCATAAGATTGGTAAAACATTGAACTGATGCTCTCCTTAACATTTGGTGTTCCTCAAAAAGATAACTTTCAATTAATTGCAGTCCACTGGAATCAACTATTTTTTTTCGTACCCTTTCATTGACAGACGCCATATTACAAAGAGCCATCATTGCCTCAAAATTTTCCAAAGCCGAACAATCTGGATGTAGGAGACCTAAAAGGGGTCGGATCGATTCCAGACAACGTTGTTCTTTGAAAGAGACTTCTGGGTTAATAGAAATCCCAATTCGGGCAATAGCTTGAGCTGCTTGATTTTTTCCCTTAGCTGTACCAGAATGAGCCAGAGCTAAAAGAGTTTTAATACCTCCTAATTTGGCCACTTCACCTCTAAGTTCGGGTATAACACAAATAGCGTTAAACAAACGGGAGATGAGTTCTTTAATGTTGGTGCTTTCAGTTTTGGCCAATAGAACGAGAACACTAATTACTCCATATTTACATAAAAGTGTAATTCTTTTATTAACAAAATCAACATCATCCAGCTCATGATTTTCTGGTACATGACATTTCGAAAACTTTGCAAGTTCTATCATTTCAGGTATGACTTCTTGTTTTTCATATGCATTACATAAGTTAACAAAAATTGATACTAGAGCATACATTGCAGACGTTTTTTCTGATTTGGCCAAACCCATAATAGCTACAAGAGCAGCTTGGTCCTCGATTAGTTTTTCTTTGACTTCAGCATCTAATGTTAAATAAGACAACCCTTCAACAGCCCATCTTTTAGTGTCTGCCTTGGTATTGGGATGTATTAAAAACCTTCGGCAGGCTTCAGCTAATTTCAGTGTTGCCCCTTCTGAAAATGGACGTATGGATGCATCAGTCCCACCACTACTACCTAACTTACACAATCCGACTAAAGCGCGAATGCGTATCTCATCTTCTCCACTTTTATAAAGATTTTTTAAAATTTGTGTTCCCTGTTTGACAATGGGAGTAATTTTACTTTTTTTTGTGGTGGCAGCAATGATACACTCACAGGCGATTTTCTGTTGAACTTTGTCATCAGTCGTGGCCATGGCAAGGATCATTTCAATAATACCTATGAAAAATAACAGTTTTAATAAGGTATTAGATCAGTTAGAGAACTAACTTAAACATACCATCTCTTGCTATAATTGAATTTCCAACATCTATTGGGCCCATAAGTAATACAGTGATTGTAGACACAGCACGAACTTTTGATTCAATATCTGGGTCAAGTAGTTTATTCCTTAGAAATTCATCTACAGCGCCTACATATTTTTCTCTTGACTTATCACAAGTCAAATTGTCATAAATTCTTGACAAACATACAGACACGTTAGTATGAGAGTACTCAGTAATATCCATTTTTGATTCATATGTAGTTTCAATAAGTTCACTCGCTACATCCAATAGTCTTTGCAATCCTTTCATGTCAATCAAACGTTCAGCCCAATTAACATTATCATAATGAATATTTCTAGTCAATATTTCAATAATTGAATCTCGCGCAAATTTATTAATTGAATGCCGGTCTACAGAGCAAACTAAGCATGTTAATATTGCATCAATTTCTTTTGAATTCTTTTTACATTTTTCTTCATTTGGTGAACTGTCCAAAGTGTTTGCCATTCCGGTTAAACTGTTCAAGGCTGCTTGAATAATATATGTTACACCATTTATTTCATTTTGATTATCTGTATTCAAAGCATCAACAAACCACGGTACACCAAGATCAACTAATACTTGCTTAGTACAGGATTCATCATTTTTACAAAGCTGGCCTACGATTCGCAAAGCATTTAAACGTACTTCAGCATTCTTGTCGTTCTTTAATAGAACTTTGACTTTATTAATAATACCAGATTTTAGTAAGGAAACACAACCACTGCTCGATTCTTTTGACAAAACCAGTAAGTTTTTAATGGCGGTAATACGTCTTTCTATACTTTCTTCAATGGTAAACGCATACTTAAACATACTTTCGATTTTATTGGAAAGCTGAGCGTTTTCCCTCAGTTTTTCTTGTACAATTGGATGTAATCTTGATAGGACAGGTTGTATTTCTTTGTTTGTTGGATCAGACAATAGACATTGTTTAGCATCAACATACGCTTCTTCAAACTTACCCAATTGCTCATAAGCAAAACATCGACGATATAATGCTTTTGGATCGTTGGAAACTATATCCAAAGATGCGCTACAATCACGAATAGCATTTTGATATTCATTTAGTTTATTGTAAGCCGCTGCACGATTTTTATACAAAATAGCTTTATCTTGTCCATTTTCTTTAAGTAAATTCAGTGCCGAAGTATAATATTCTAGTGCCTTGAGCCAATCTCCAGACTTGAATGCTGCGTTGCCTTGTTCTTTCAGCAACTTAAAATTATTTTCAAGATTTTCTGACATCTTTTATTTTATTTTAATGAACTAATAACAAAAACGTTACTACATTTATAAAAAATTTAATACTATATTTGATGTAGGCTTCACAAAATATTTTGGAAAATCGCCAACTTTAAAGACAAACTAAGAACACTACTAGAAGATTCTACAACTTGAAACTTAATACTTATTTTTAACCACAAACTAAGGTATCTCTTATCATATTATGTTGTATACTTTACCTTATCAATTTAATTTTCAAAAAAGAAACTTGATAACATCAAAACTAATAAGTAATAACAAAATATATTCTGCTTTGCCTTTTATGGTCTTCGAATATAGCTCATTAGGTATATGTTTCATCTATTCTATAATTCTGATACCACACTAATTTCAACCACCTATAAATAATACAGAATACTAGTATTATGTAAATTCTTCAAATATTGCTTTCGACATTCATTCTTTCTTCCTTTATGCAACTTTTGTAAATAAATCACCCAAGTATATAGCTTAAAATCTAAAAAATATTTTTTTCTTTTCCAAGCTTGTTAACAGAATTACAATATATAATCATTATGTACAAACCATTACTCATTTTTAGACCAAACTGAAGATTTAGAATGTTAAGTACAAAATTAAATATAATATAGGTACTATTGAAGATTTTTGCACATCAATGCTCAAGATTACTAATAACACATTTTTACCGGAAAATGTGTTGTTTTACTTTAAATAAAAGTCAACAAAGGAATAAACTTTATAGTGTGATATCATTAACAAATGATATTTCCAATTTAATGATTTCTTATTAGAACTGTGTTAAATCCAAATTTTGTATTAAATTTAAATGAAATGTACTATATTAAACTGTATAACAGATGATGTTTCTGTCTAGGTGGTTTTGATAACAGAAGTCGTTGGCTAAACAAAAATTATGTAATATACAAGTTTGTGTAAGCCATTAATCAGGAATAGAACTAAAAAAATATTTTAAAAACCGTACTACCTATAAGGTAGTAATTAAAATCATAAGTGTTTCACAAGAAGATATATTGCTCTAGAAATAAAAGAAAAATTAATCGCCTAAATAATTGTCTACAAACTACATAGCTCATAAAAAAACTATGTACAAATTACATTATTATTCATATAAATTCTTAACATAATCATAAAACTAGCTTAATGCTATTGAGATAATTATACACTTTAATATTTATGTTCTAATTTTGAGTAACAAACAATATATAAAATAGAAACTGGATTACAGAATTTTAGTCAAATTAGTTTCAACATTTAAGTTAAATAAAATTATATGTATATTTATATATAAACCTTACTGATGTATTAGTTCGTTTTATAATTTAAAAAATGTTCCTTATACAAATGAACAAATTATACAATAAAAACTGTTATTTTTTCACATTTTAGTATTAAAAAATATACACATGTGCATTATAAGAGAATAACCGTATTTGATTAACTCTACACTAAATTGTAAAATCTATATATAATTACTTTATGATAGTTACTTAGTATACTTATAACTAAAATGATAAGTTACTTAGTGTTAAATGTTAATGAATACACATATAATATTATAAATCAATAAGACACCATTCTACCATAAAAATGAAAAGTCTTACTGTATACTAATTGAATTGGAAATAACACTCAAAAGTATAAATTTGTTCAAATGATTGGAAATAAAAACCAGCTAGATTATTTCAACAGAAAAATTGAAGTGCTTAGTCATTACTTATTAAGTAGAACATTTAATGGCTAGGAGATAAAGATACAAAAAGGGACTAGGGTAGTGAAAATAGACAACAAAAGAAAATACATCATAGAATTAAAACAAAAATATTCACATTTACAAGGAAAAAAATATAAATATATATATATATATATACATATATTTATATGTAAAATCATTTAAAAAAAAACAGCGGAAGTATAATTCCAGTAAGGATGACTAATTTTGTTTCCCCCCTTTTATAAAACTTATTATTATACAGAAATATTCAATAAATAAAACATTCATAGTCAATTTTTTTTTTAAATACAGTTAATTATAAGAAAATAAGTTTAAAAATTACAAATTTAATTTCAATATAAAAAGAAATTAGTTTGGTAAAGGAATGTTTTTCACCTTCTAACTTATTGCAGTACTCTTAGAGACGCTTTAGTTATCTAATTAAAAAAACACTATTCTTATTCCTTAAACCGATGGGCTGATTTCTTCTGTTTTTTCAGCATCTGAACCCAGGTCTTGTTTCAGTGCTTCAACACATGATTTCGGTATTAATGTACCTATTTCAAAGAAATTAGTTAATAATTATTTTGATTATAATTTATTATAAAATTCAAAATAGTTGTAGAACTTACCGACTATTTTTACGCCTTCACCAGTTTTTAACCTCACAACTTGCATTTTATGATGAGAGCCTGTGCGAGATAATAAGACGTTTTCTATCCTACTCCACACACTTAAAACAGAACCTGATAATACATTATATGTTCTGCGTCTCAAACCTACTTCACAGTCTTGACCGACTGTTACAAGTTTGCAGTTACCACGCCTTAAAAAGAAATTTAGATAGATATAAACCAACGACAATTGTTATAAAAATTCACATAATAAAAGACATTTACCAGTAAGCATGTGAGCAAGTATTTTCAGATGATATATATTGCTCCTTCCAGTGTTTTTCCGCTTTATCCGTTTCCACTTTATAGTATTTTTTTTCAAGTTCACTTAATGATTCTTGTTTCAGCTATGAATAAATCAAACATATTACAAGTAATGAAATATAACCTATATTTACTCTAATACTAACCTGTAATCCAGTATTTGGACGGGATATCGTAAACATAATGTCTTTCTTAGATGGTGATTTTGTGCTTTCGCCTTTCTTATTGGCACTAGTGTCAGCCATTAATGCAAGTACAGCAGTACTTTTGTTGTTTCTAATCTGTAATTATAATGTAATACTTATTAGTCAATAATAAATTAAAATACAAGTACTTGAGCATATATTTTTTTAATATAGCAATTTTAACCTACTAAATCACCTATTCTAATTTATGCTTAAGCCACTATCTATGTATAATCGCTTTTACTTTTTCACTGTTGAGACAAATCGCAAAATGTTTCCTGTAATTTAAAGCTCTTTCGATATATTTTCTCAAAACTTACACTTGAATTAAAGATACATTTATTTTAAAAACTTATTCAGATTAATTCATATTTTACAGACACCACGCGTGAAAAAAGTCAGCTGTGTAAGATTACAACATAAAATATTATCACAAAAATATATTATAACCTTTTGCCTATGGCTTAGGTTTTTGCTAGGGTTGAAATTTTACTGAAAATATGTTTTGTGGATAAACAATCACCTTTTAAAAGTTGAATAATTATATTATCAGTTTTTTACATAATAATTTAACGATTTTGATAGGGCGCTACAATTCCCACATATTAAATTTTATTAATAGGCTATCATTAAAATAAAAAAAAAAATAAGACATTTTAGTGATTTTTTTAAACTGAATTGTAGTTGTTGAATAACTGAAAGAATCAAAATTCCAAGATCGTAGGTTTTACTAACAATTTTTATTTTGTTTACAAGTTAGCACTGTAAAACACTAACTTATTTTGAAGAAAATAGTTGAAATAGTAAGTATCTTACCTGATGGGAAAGATAAAATCCTTCATTAGTTGCTTTAGCCTCTCCTGATCTTTCCACAGCTTCATCCCAACTCATACCTCTTTCAACATGCACAATATGAAGTTCAGTTGTAGCTTGACCAGTGGCGTGTTTACGAAGGAACCTATACAGTTTTACTCGCTTCACATTCTCACCAGCAGTACCCAGATCTAAAAAAAAAATTTAATGAGCACAGTTAAAAATGTATTATTTAGACTCGAGAGCAATTTTTTTATACCCATAATTCCAAGGTCGAAACGACCAGCCTTTTTTGCTTGTATGATGATATGATGCAAAACATCAGTGAAATATTGAAATAGTCTATTTTGGAGTTCAACAGGCATACCGAGGATACGATTTAGGAACTTGCTTATATTATTGTAATCTTTATCCAGAGTTAAGTTACCAGGACTAGCTTCATTGTTTATTATCATGCCAACCCCTACAAGGGCACCACCGACATCTATAACCGGAAAAAAATACTAGTATCAAACATGTCAAAAAGTTAAATCAATGTATATGTTTACCTTCAAAGAAGTTGCCACTATAATCTTCAGGTGGAGGTACAATAGGGTGTTCATAACCAATAATAGTTTTCATTGTGGCTTCTAAAGCGCTGCGACCGTACTTATTATCAATATTAAATTTTGATAAATCACGAGTTTCTGTAGCTCTTCTGTCACCATGAGTAAGTGCACCCTAAATATAAATTCATTTTTACTTTTGTACACGCTACTGACTACGACATAACTCATCAGTACTGTACATTGACACTAGGATGTACCCATAGGGAGATAATGGGACTTAACCCATCACCGCCTAGCGCTCCCAAATGGATACATATTTACACATCATACTTAAAATATTTTTACAAGTATTACTTACTAGACTCTCTAATCTCTTTGCAACTATAGAAGCAAATCGTCTTTCACCTGCTAAATCTGATATAAGAAATATATACTCTGGTGCGTTCACTTGATTAGAACGATGAGAACGACCAAACTGTTGAATGGCCCTATCTGCACTCCAAGGAAGTTCTAGTGTAATGTGTACTCGCCGGCGCTGATTGCGAGCTCTTCGATCGCTTTGTAACGAAATACCAGAACTGGCTGCTTCAGATATGATAGCTACATCCTTTTCTCCATCCATAAACCTTTGTTTTTCTAATTTAAAAACAAAAACACTTTTTTATTAATGCAGTTCTAAAGTAATAAATATATTATGTATCTGTGGTAGGATGGCACAAGTTGATATGTTACTTTTTCCAACTTAATTAGTTACATTGTTAGTTATTAATATGAGGAGGAAAACAGACTGAGTGGGTAAGGTGGGTATTGTGTAAGCGCTCACTATCACCAGTTTACCACTCAGTCCGGCAGTCTGTTTGTTCAGCAGAAAACAGTTTAGTGAAAAGGAGCCTCTTCTACAGTGACGGACTGACGATTACCCCAAAAGTGAACTTGTCAAGAAACCTCATGAAGGCAGCGTTGGTACTTTAAGGCCAGTTAAGCTAAATTTTAATAAATACATATTAAAACATTGAATTACCAATAACATTTAATGTTTCTAAAGGTGCATCTTGTTCGGATCGAGACTCATACTGTATACCTCCATCAGTTTGAACTACTCTTCCTTTTCTTCCAGTCATCTAAATTGTGTATAAATATACAATTATATAATATAGTTTAAATACACAAAAACAAAAATGATGTAATTACTTCTGCGACATTTTCTGGGCCACCGAGTTCATCAATTAGTTGATCAAGAGTATTGGGAGGTAATTTATCACCAAGTCTCTCAATTCTTTCCATTAACTCTTCTTTCATGCTGCAGGCGCGATCAATCGCATCTTTGTGATGACTATTGTTAGACATACTTGACTTTAGTACTATTTGATGGATTTTATCTTTTGTGGTTATTTTTTTCTTAGCAGGAACTTTGACTTTTCGTTTTTTCACTCTGCCACCACCAATCCAGGGTCCTAGAAAAATTATACAAAATCAATATTTGATATCAGTAGCACAACCTAATAAATAATTTGATTACACTTACCGTCACTATCTGAATCATCTTCAATAAATGGATTGAAGTCGCTACTCGCTTCAGAGTCGTCACTATGTTCTTCGCTAATTTCTGATTCAGATTCAGACATTTTAAAATCTGAATCGTTATCAGATTTAGATTCAGATTCACTAGAATCTTTCATCCGTTTGATGTGTCTGGAAGCTGCTTGTCGTCCTAAGATACAATTGTATTTAAATAAAATATTTTTGTAATATTGTTGCATGAAGTGAAAAACCCAAGTTTTAAATTATTGTTTACAGGATGAACTTTTCATCATTAATTTTTAAAAAATTATTATTTAACTACTATTATTACTTCTTATAAGTCCTTATAATTAGTATAGTCAATTACCCAAATAATATATTTTTAGTTAATTTAGTGTACCTGCTACACATATTGAAATTTTATTTAGAATATAATATAAACTAAACTAAGCACAAGTTCACAGATTAAGGAAGGGTAACTCATTTAGGAGAGTATTTAACTAGTGCTAGAGGTCGTGGATCCGAGAGCCATTTAAGTGCTAACGATTTAACTTGAATTTTGCATTATTAAAAGTCAGAAGTGATATTTTGAACTTATGTCGAATGACAAAGAGGTGTGCTGTGTCTTAAAACTAATTTAAATTTTTAATTTTGCGCATATAATTTTACCAGATTTTCTTTTTTCACTACCACATCCTCCTTTAGAACTGCTTGGGCCTTGAGAATCACCATTTTGAGTTTTTGAGTGCTTCAATTCAATACCTACATTTCCCAGTAACTTCTTAATGCGGTTGCGATCAGGTGCAGGAAAATGTTTCTCGACTAATGATTGTAGCACCCCTCTAATAATATGCAATGAAATATGATTAGCTCTATAAAATGAACATAATACAAAACAACAAATTCATACTTAGCAGTAGATACAAAATCAGTTAACTCTCCATCATCTTTTTCAAGTTGCTCAAGTGTGCGAGCTTCTCCGGTAGATTGTAACCCAATTATAACACATTTTCCATGTTTTATCGCTTCCCTGAATTTGTAATTTACATTGTAATAAATATATTTCCATAAACATTAAAAGAAAACTTACCTAGCTACATCAACAGCGTGTTTCACCTTAGCAGCAATGCATAAATACTTGAAAAATCTTTGATGGGAGGACCAAAACTGACCCCACATAGTTTTTCGCATGCGGTTTTCTGCATCTATCAGTTCAGCAGCTTCTTGAAACATATGCATAGCGTCGACCCACTATATAACAAACAAAATTTAATTTACATAATTAATTTCAACCAACTTTTACATTTTACTTTTAAAGCAAAAAAATATTATTCTTGTACAGTAGTTAATTTTTCTAATTATTTAAACTTATTTTACTTAAAATTAAATACAAAATTTTACAAATCTGCAAAATTGTTGTACCACTTGTAATAAGTTATGGACGTTTTATTTAGACTGATAGTTAAACTTTAAGACAGTTACTGCTAATACTCCCCGCTCTTAAGGCCTAGTTACACAATGCAAGCAAGCATCCGAGCTAGCTGGCCTAGTGCAGCTACTTGCACAGTGTGACCGAATCATACGAGTTACTGTCAAATGCGAGTCAGTCAGTACTTCACATTCAAGTTACTATAACATTTTTTGTTTTTACTGGCATGCGAGTACACAGTTGCAGTAGCTGTCCAATGGCAGGTCAGCAACTCGTATTGTGTAACCAGGCCTTTAGTCATTAATAGACATTACTCAACCTACAAGCAATCGCTTCCTAAAAATCTAGTAAGGAGTCATGCTGCCATTTATTTTTTTACTTAAAAAGTACTAAGAGTACCAAAATTCGCAGTGTTAACACTACTAAACTACAATACTCAAAGTTTATTTTAGAAAAAAATGTGAGCAGATTAAAACATATAGAAAAAAATGTTATTCTACTGGTTATACACATATTTTAAAGTTACACACCAATTTTACAGCACTATCATAGACATGAGTAAATTCTTTTGATAAAGGTACTTCTTCAACTTTAAATGAAACACCGTGGAAGCTTAACTGTCTGGCAATATACATTCCTCGGAGTTTCATATCCATAGCTACTATTTCCATTGCACCAACACCACTGAAAACAAAATTATAATAATAATTTTTTATTTAAGTATTAGTTTAGAACAAATTGGAATATTACCGTTTTTCAACTGCATTTATAAAATCAAGGAATTCCGGGAAAGTTGTTCCTTGTCCCCACATACCTAAACGCACCATATATGCCATGTTTCTAGGTTCTGAAGCACCAGTAGCTGATGCATAAACAACTCTAGCATTTGGCAACTTATTTTGAAGTTCTAGAACAGTTAAACCTGTTTTTGTTGGTTTGGTAGAACCAACAGGACATAAATTCTTAGCTCGATGACACTCGTCAAACACAATCTAATGTTAAATTTAAGGAAAACAAAGTAATAAAAATGGTTTGGTTTAATAAGACTCTATATTCAAACTTAATGTTTTGTGTAAAAATAAAAGTTTTACAGAAATTTATCTTACAAAATTTACAAAAAATATTATTTATTTTCAAAAGGATACAACTCCATCATAATTATCACCACACCAATTCAACAGTTGTTTTAATCTACTTTTGTACTTTCCTCCACCACTCGATTCACCTATGAGTGCTGAATAAGTCGAGAATATAACTCCTTTGGATACATTTCCATTTGTTGGGCTATTAATTTTGGCGTACTTAAACTAAAATAAAATTAAAAATTTGTTATTATTATCATAATTATAAAGAAAAAACAATATAAAATAAAATTACCATACCTTGTTTAGTGAGTAAACTTTAATATTTTTTGTTCCAATATCTTCCAAATCACGTTCAGCATCAAATTTCAAATCATTTGATACAGACACCCAAATAGCCTTTTTACGCCCTTTTAAAAAGTTCTCGTATATTAAGCCAGCAATTGTTCGACCTTTACCAACTCCGGCACCATCTCCAATAAGAAATCCTGCTCTTGAACCATCTGGTAAAATATGCTCATGTTGTTGACACGTGTAAGTGATGGCTTCCAATTGAAGTGCAGAAAGAGATCCTGAATTTATCGTTTCCAAAGGTATTGACAATTCATACTTCACATCAGCTGGTTCAACACTTGACAACGAAGCAGTTTCTACTACAGGATCTGGATGCTTCTTACCAAGTTTAACTAAAATTGAAATAATAATAAATTAATAAAAATGTAATATAATTTTTAAGAAGAAAATTAAATAACCAACGTTTGGCTGGCCAGTAATCAGCGTAAGTCTCGGCAACTCCCATATCTTCATCATCATTGTCTTCTTCTTCTTCTCCGGTACGATTATTACTTGACATCTAAATACAAATAGGATATAAGTTTACCAAACTTCTTACATGTTACATTATTTAAAAGCAATTAACTACTTTATTATTCATCGACTGATTTAACCAATACGGAGGTACATTTTTTTGGCTCATCGGAAATCCTTGTTGAGTAAATGGTTGTTGCATCAGGTTTTGCAAAAATAATGTTGTAGCCGCTGGACCTCCTGCATTAAGCAACTGTGATACCATAGCAGCATTGCTGCCTCCACTACTCATCAGTTGCAGTAAAAAATTTGTAGCAGCATTACTGTCCATCATTCCAGGTGAGCCACCAGCCATACCTTTAATGACAATGTATTTACCATTTATTAAATTTATTATTAGTTAATTAATTTAGTAAAAACACAAATGTACCTTGTAAAAACTGATTTTGGCTTATTGCCGGAGGCATCATTCCTGGATAAGGCATATTTTGTGGAAACATCATATTTGAAGATCCTTGAGCCATATTCATAAAAGGGTTATTTACCATCGAACCCATCCAATTAGACATGCCACCCATTCCTTTAGCATAACCTGAATATATTGAATCGTACAAAAAACAAACTTTAGACGTAAGTATACTTGAAACAGTGCATACCAAGTATAATACTACCTCATAAAACTCTTCATTCCTACAATTAATTTTTATTAAGATGATGTTAAAAAGAAAATTATTTACCTAGGTTATTAGAATTATTAGCTTTGTAAGCTGGGTCTATTGGTTTGTTTAAATTATTTGCATTAATACTAGTGCTGGGTACTTTTTCATCCTTAAACGTTGTTTTAATATTTGCTGCTGTTGCCAAATCTTTTCCACCACCTAAGTATAGTTTAAAATAAAAATGTATTTATTAAATATCATAAAAGAAAATCTAATGTATTTGCACAATACTCTTCAATCTTTATTATTCATTAATGACTAATAATTAATAACTAATAACTAATAAATTTCTGATAAAAAAAAAATATATTTTTCAATTCTCTCTTAATTTCCGATTTTTATCAGAACGATAATTATTATAATTCATCATGAGCACAAGGTAAAGTTAAATTGTTAGGAAAAACAATGGAAAATATACCAGAAAGTATAAAAATGGACTGGAGTAAATTGATCAAAATTGTACTTCAGTTGTGTATTTATTTAGACATAAAATGCCAGTTATTATTATATAAATTTATTATATTTCAAATGTACAGAAAAATTATTACAAGTATACATGTCAATCAATGAACATATTATACAAAATGCAAGTATTTGATAAGCCATCCAAGTAAAGTATATGACTAAAGAATGGAAGATTACTTTCATTTTGAAGAGAGCAAATAATATTTATGAAAATACTAGGTATCTACGGGACATTATCTTGGGTTGATAGAGTAGTAATAAATAATTACCCGGAACTTCAGTTTTGTCCGGGTCGTCGTCATCATCAAAATCACTGCCGGAATCGGGATTTTTTTCCATCTTGACGTTAGCATCATTGGAGGCCTATAAAACACAAAAATTGGCTTCAGCAATTTAGCGCGCACTAAAGCTATTTCAACGATTTTAGACTGCGGGCAAACGCTTCTACGTGATTAACAAGCCTAGAATGAATAAAAACTTTGTACTAACCATTTCTCGAGACAGGTGTAGGAAAGAGAGTCCAGTCCAAACGTTACTGGCGTCCAAAGGTGCCCAGAACACGAAATTTCGCGAGTCGGCGACTGCGGTATTGATTAATCGCGGTGGATCATAATAAAAAAATCCGACTGCAAGCTTATTGGCGGAACCGCCCCCGGAGGCGATGGAACTTGGGGCTGAGCTACAAGCTTACCGGCGATGTACGAGCCGAACAGATCTTGACAGAATTACAGGTTCGACGCAAAAACGTTATGTTTATAAAATTCTGAGCTCCCGGGAAAAAAATAATTCCAGTTATTTGGTCCGGACAAAAGAATACAGGTTAGAATCAATACAATAGTTTTGCCGGAAAGAGAAAAACAACGCAGGCTGCCAGATGCCGCGAATCCTGAAACGCACCGAGCCCGCTTTATCGTAGTCGCCGCCGCGACGCGCTTTTTGACTTGAGCGATATTTTTACCATTTCGAAAATACTATTATTCTTTATCGTAGTCGATGCCGCCAATTCTATGCACAGTTAACGGTGGTCAGACGATCAGAGTATTGTGAACCGTACCGAGCTGACGCTATCCCGCCATATTGATTCACGGAATCTGTCTTCCGAGCAAGAAGTCGGAAAAAGGGTTGGAGGTAAAAAAAAAAAAACCAATGGACTCTTTAAAATTAACGTCCAACGCAAGCCTGCTAGACACCGTCTAAAACCAAAGACATCATTCGATCGACCCAATAAATTATCCAAAATAATTGGTTATCGTATTTTATAGTCGGTTAATTAGCCAAAAGTGCCCAATGCTTGTTGGTCGTTGTATTGGTTTTCTACGTTTCGAACGCGCCATTCGAATTCCCAAGGTTGGCAACTTGATGAAATTAACCGAAAAAATGATAACATTCGCTCGACCAATGAACGGTCTCGTTATGGCGTTTGATTCGCTCGAGATAATTTGTTTGTCTGCAACACTGCCATTAGTGCCATTGCCCTGAAGATTTTTTAAAACGTTCCCAGTGTAAAAAAAAATGCCTTGACAGTATAAATAATGTTAGTGTAAGTCACTGCCTTAGTCATGTAAATCTTAATAAGTAATAGTTACCGTTCAATACGTTTTAATGTTTGAGGAAATTCATTTGGATTTGTTTGTGTTATTAAAATGTATAACTAAAACTTTTTTACTGTAACTTAAAGGCACCTCTTTTCATTTCTGTGTATTATGCCAAACGCCTACAAAATGGTCAAAAGTAAGTTTTTATGTGGAAAAAGCGTTTAATTTTAGTAAAAACAAATAATATATTTTTTTTTGTTTTCATTAGAAAAAACAAAACGGTTAGCTACTCAAGCAATCGATGAACCAGGTCGGTGTCCTCAAGCTTCTATTAAAAAGTTCTGCACTGAGAAAGTAAGTGCCATATCTGCCTATACTTTTATGGTTTAGAATAAATTCAGACTTTATAATAAAAAAATTTTTTTTTTTATTTAAATAGCCCATATCTGATTACTTGGTTAACATTTTATTTTTAATAACATTAACAAAAAATTTAGAAAGAATGTATCATAATTAATTATTAGTATCATTATGATTTCATAAGATGTTACCTATTTAGAATTCAAATAATGTGTATTAGATCTCATGACTAATATTTTTTAATTACTCATTTATATGCCATTGCATAATATTTTAGGCATTTATTCATTACTTATGTTTTTAATATTTATATAAATATTGTATTGGCGGTTAGACCAAATTTCGGAAATCTGGATTAAATACAATGTATGGTAAAGGGTACATTTTTTTAAACAAAATGTTTGTATTTTTTGCTATCTAGAAGCCCCTCCCATTTAACTTTTACAACATAACATAATACTGTTTTTTTTTTAACATTATGAATAATACTCAATTATATCTAAGAATCTAGAGATATCCTGGTGGGCCAGTGCACCCTCGGTACCTATGATATCTGTGTATTTACATACAAATCTTATAAAACATTATTTAATGAGATTTTCCAAGCCTAGAGGTAAAAATGAAAATATTTATAATTGAAAAATCAGTTTGTGTGTATCTGTATGATAATTAAAATAAGAAGTCATTTATTGAAACCATGTTTGTCAATAAATAATAATTTTTTTTCCCCGTACGTAAAATAAAAAATGTTTAAAAAGATAATAGTAAATTAATTTTACAAGACTTAGAAAAATATTATACTTGTAACTTAAAATCATTTGAAAGTATGATTGGGTTACAACTATTTTATTGTAACATTAAAAAAAAAGTTGCCATTATTCATCTCAAATTTAATTTATAAGATGTGTCGATATAAATGTAAGTTTTTATAGATTTCAAAAAACTTTTATCTCAAATTTTTAAATTCTTTAAATGATAATAATATTTAGTAGAATAACAATGTCAAAAGCTAAAAGTGATTTTTTTTAAATATTTCATTTACTTATTTTTTCACTTGTAGAAATTCAACAAGCGTAGGAAAAAAGGGCGAATCATTCAACAAATACCTACGATTGGCATCTCTCAAAATACTAAAAAAAAATTAAGTATGCAATTTAAGCTTTTTTTTTATTTACATTAAATCTTTATTTAAAGCTGTCATGTAAATAATAACACAGTTCTACGAACAAATTATTTTATTGTTGTTTAAATTTTAATAAAAACAAGTTATTTAAAATATATTTGATAAAGTAAATTATAATCTAAAAATTAGTTTCCATCATACCTAGTTTTTTTTATTGAAGTAGGTACACTGTAAATCAAAATTAACCTTCAATTATTAAAATTTGTACGTTTTATTTAATTAAAAAGTAAAGAAACTTCATTGGTTAATAAAAAATGTATAATTCTAAATTAAAAAATTAAAAATTATGTTTTATTTAAAATGCACATTAGGTCATGAATTTATTAGAATTTACAAGTCTTGACTTGAAATAATTTGTAATAAATAATGTGCAATATAGAATTTAACATTTGGTAGAAATCTAAAAAAAAATTAAATAATTATGCATAACAATTTGTTTTTGTAAATATTAGTAATAGAGATTGATGATGGAGTAATGGAGATTGATTATAATTCTCATAAAGTTTGTTCGAAATCATTAAGAAATAAAAAAATATCAGACAACAAATATTTATATATAGAACAGTGTATTATTTATAAAATATAATTTTAATGATTTTGCTTTTATCAGGATTGCTTTATTTTATTTGCAAAACTGTTGTTAATATATTATATTTATAAAATGAATCTTGTATATTTTTAAGATAAAAGAGCACATCATAAACCTTTGACATCTGTCCAAAATGACTTAACTTTGTATGAAATCAAACCGTTAAGTCCAACAAAACTTTCCATTTCTGTTAAAAAGTTTTACAGTAATGTAAGTACATGTTCAAATAAAGTAATTTTGCATGCGTTGTTGATATTTGGTATGAATTATTTTTTCACATTAAATTTATTTTATTTAGACAAATTTTGAACGCTTAGAGGATAATTTGCATTTTACCGGCAAAAGTAAAGCACTGTTAGCTGATACTGATTCTCAAGCTGAAATCCGCAGTAATTATAAATTGAGTTTTCATTTTTTAAATTATTATATGATTTATCCAATGGATTCATATTAATAGGTGGCGTCAATTTCGATCAATCAACTATTAATAATAAAAAAACAATTATTACAAAAAATTGCCATGAACTAATAAAATCCAATGAACAGTCCAAAATAATATTAAAACGTAAAAAACAAAATGACATGAAACCAGAGTTAAATAAAGGTAAAATTAGTAATTTATGCAAGTTTAGTAAACATAATTAAATTTTAAAATAAATTGTCTCATATCAACAGATCAAAGTAAAAGTATTAGAAAGTTCCATAAAAGAGCTCTAACTGAAAGTGTGTTAGAAACTACAAATAACAGTGGAAGTAATCAAACGCACGCTAGTTCTGATTTATTGACAAGTTAGATATTTGTTTTATTTTATAGTGATAAAACTCAAATAATATTTGATTTTATACCTTGTAGATGTTGTATCAAATACTGAGCAAACTAATGCTAACCTTGTTGGAGAATACCAAGTAACACATTCATCAACTAATACACTTTCAATATCTGTTAAACGATTTTATAAGAGTGTAAGTTATGATATAAAGTTATAAAGCATACAATTATTTAATAAATCATTTAAACAAATTTTAAATATCTAAGTTTGATAAAAATGACAAAAACATGGTTTCAATACTAGTATAAATTTTGCATGTTATATTTTTGTTTTCGTGTTTTTATGTTTTAAATTATACTTTATTTGTTCTTATTTAGAATGTTCAAACTAAAGCAAAAGACTTAGAGAAAGTTAACAAAGATATGCCACTTGTTTCTGATACCACATATAACTCAAGTACTAAATATGATAAACCAATTTTATTTATGTATCTATTTTTAATTTTTTTTTTGTTATCTTTGTCGTTATAGAAGCAGATAATATTCAATCTCCATCATCTAGATTTAGTAGTAGCCATAAAATAAGGTAATTTGTTGTTTGGCACAATTAGAAATTACACTTTAAAAAAAAAAAAAAAAAATACCAATATAAAGTTCAGATGCTGTGAACTTTTTTTTTTTTTGAGGACTCAAGTTTTTTTTTAAACTGCTAAAACGATTTCTTTCATTATGATAAGTGTACAGATCAAAAATCGTACCTGAAAGGTACTCCGACCAAAATCAAAAAATTACACCTTCCCTTAAAAAATTAGAAAAACACTAAAATCATTTACATATTTTTCATCTTAAAATTACAGCTCTATTAATTTTTTTTTAAATAGTCAAATGAGTTCTAAATTTGTATAGAATACTATTTGACATTTTACTACCAATAAATATTGACAAATAAAAAAATGTCATAAACCCTTTCCCCCAGCAGGGGTGAAAACTTTCTTTATTTCATTTTTCTAGGTGAAGTTGTAGGGCTTAAGATCTGAAAATTAGACTGATGGTAAATCTAGATCGGGGCTGTAGCATTTACAAATTTTTCAAAATTCTTTAGTTAAAATTTTTTTTCTATAGAAATCCAAAAAAAAAAAGGAAATTAGACTGACTGTAGTTAAATTCTTAGATAATATTTTCATTATATTGTCAATTATAATATATGGGTAACAATGTCAGTAAACTATTATAGACAATCAACCCTATTTGTATCCACTAATAATAAAAAAAATTTAAGCACATTATTGGTATTACAAAGCTTTTATCGATGTTTGTATTTCTAATCAGTACAGATTCTCATCAAAGCGTTTAGTTGAAAATGATAAAATCTCTTTCAATTATTATAATTCCTGTAGTTCTACCCACTTGCCCCAATATAAGCTGTCTCCACTATGCCTCAACACCATTGTACAGTTTTTTTATTTTTTTTAGTCTAAATGTCAAACACATAAATGATTCATCTAACAATAAGCAACAAAAAGTAACTGCGTTTTTTCCGATTCGAAGAAGTGCTCGTAAAACAAAAAATGTAGTTAATGAAGAGAAACAAAAAGCATTAGAAAAGGCAATCATTTCACAGAATGAAGATGGATTAGAGGTTATTACATATATATTTCCTTGCATATTTATATTATATAATGTTATACTTCTATATTTGCTTAAGTATATTATATAATTTCAAAATAATTTGATACTAATGTAGATTTTGTTTTTAGATCACTGTATTTCCTGATAAAGGTCGTGGTATCATAGCTGGTCGAGATTTTTCTCGTGGTGAATTTGTTGTTGAATACGCTGGTGAATTAATAACCATTCAAGAAGCACGTAAAAGAGAAACATTTTACTCTCAAGACACAGCAACAGGTTGTTACATGTATTATTTCAAATACGGTACAGTTCACTATTGGTAAGATTTTTTTTAATCATTTAAGAACAATTAATATTTAATAATCTTTAATTAAATTACCTTTGTAGTATTGATGCTACAGAAGAGAGTAAAAGACTTGGCCGCCTTGTAAACCATTCAAGATTTGGCAATTTGGGACCAAAAGTAGTAGAAATTTCTGGATTACCAAGAATTGTATTGATTGCTAAAGGAGATATTAAACGAGGGGAAGAACTAACTTATGACTATGGCGATCGTAGTAAAGAATCATTAGTTAACCATCCTTGGCTAGCATGTTAACTCATCGTATTTTATTTAAAAGAATTCATGTTATATTTTTATTATTATTTTTTTTTTTTTATTGCACTGCCAACTAAATTAATATGGTATTTTATAGTAAATGGATTGATGGAATAACATATTATATTACCATGTTTACTGACACATTAAAATTTTAAACAAAACTTATTTCTAATTGTAAATTGTTCTATGTTCAATTATTTTTTTTCTTTTGAAAATATTGTATTTCAATTTTAGAACAAATTTGTTGATGTAAATTTGTATATTATTCTCAAAACCCTTTGGGAGTAAAGGAATTCAGATGTCAATATTAATTTTTTTTTATTATTTTAAGGGTCATTTGTGTATTTGTCTGTTTGGAGGGCAGATTATTTCTGATACGGATATTATTAATAAGTAACAGAGTAATTCTGTCCTTCTCACCGGCAATCTTACCCCGACTACCTGGACACTTAACAGATAATTTTTGTTTGTAAATTTTCCATTCAATGATAATTTATTTGAATTAAATCTTAGTAAATGTATTAACTATTAAGTCATAGTAAAATAATTAATTAATTGTTTGACCTATTTGCGACTGTTAATATTTAGTAAATAGTTTTAACTGCAACTAATATTCTGGATATTTTGAAATAAGCTTAGATGATAGCTTCCTATTAACTTACTTTTTATTAATGCCATTTTGTTTTAAAAAAAATAACTAAAAACAAATTATTTTTTTATATTTCAAAAAAATAATTGGTGTCATTCATCTATTATTAGTTTAAGCAATTAAAAAATAGTTATTTAGAATTTATGACTGAATATTCGTCTTATAAAATTTTTGACCTTTGTACTCGATATATTTAAAAAAAACTGTCAATTTTTTTAAACACCAACATGTTTTCCAGTATACTTTTAATAAGCTTAGCATAATTATAAGTTAAATGTGTTCTTATAATTATAGTGATATAATTTTTAAGGTGTGTTTGTTTTTAATTGTTATTGATGTTGGTGTGATTTTGTTTCAGTTGAATTTTTTATCGTGAAATACCACCATAACATGTTATGTATTTTTGTGTTATATTTTTTTTTTATTGACTAAATAAATATAGGAAAAATTAATCATTTAAATGAGTATTCTTGTACTATAAATATATACATAAATACTTTTTTTTTATTAATACAGCTTATTTTTGGTAGTCAATTCAAAGAATTGTAACCCTAGAATTTCGATAAATGGTGACATTAAATAAAATATAAATAGCAGATTCTAATTTATACTTTACCACACATAGAGCAAGTTATGGAATATGTCCCACCCACCATAGCTTTTTTCACCAATATACCCGCTCATGTGCAAAAAATCAACTAAGTTGTGATATTACATTCACTTGATTTATTTTATAACGAGCGATATTGAACAAATTAAATTTGTAATTTTTACCTAAACTCTGAATTCTAACATTTCAAAGTAATTCCAGGTTTTTTATATCGGTGTAGTATTATAACTATACATTGTTACTTTTGATTGTATTTAGTTATAATTTATTATGAATACAACAAACGAGAAGTTGCCCGCCACGTTTTCGTTTACATTGGAACTGTCCCTTCTGATTTCATCTATTTCGTGGTAAATTGGTAATACACCAATGCATAGACAATTAGGTATTGTCAATTGAACAAAGTTCAATGAACTGTTATAACAATATTAACCGCTGTAACATCAAAACCATAAACACTAGTGCACTCTGATGACTGGTGTTCGTACTTAGTAGTCAAATCTTAAAATCGATAACTTTACCAGGAAAACCACGGACTATGGTCCGTGAGAAAAATACACTCTTCATAAACTAAAACAGTGTCACCAGAACAAACGGATAAAAATAATGTATTTTCTTGTGATAAACACTGTCGTTAAGAGATCATAGATTAACCGCTTTGGTAAAAACTGATAATATTAACATATTCAGATTTCAGTAATCAGTATTCACTATTCATAGTTTAATACAATTTACAACCTGTACTGTATTATGATTTATGTTTATCGACGCTATTGTTTCAAATAAGCGGTGAAGGCTCGATAATTAATATACTTTTGTGGTAACTAGTTAAATAGCTTTAATTTCAATAAACACATACTCTATTATTACTGGTATGTATAAACTGAAATATTAAAACTAATCAAAACCGTTTTATAGTTATTTAATTGTTTGTTTAGGATTGATATTTTAATTTATATTATGGCTGCCCCTATGGAACGTATACAAGCACTAGAAGTAATAGAAAAGGATATAATTACTTGTTTACAAAGTGCTGGCCAAGCTTTGTTAGAGCTTAGTAAAGAGAAGTCCAGTTTGAAGCAAGTAGAAAATCAGTCTCATCAATTCTTAAAAAGCTTAGGAAGTGTAGAATCTAAACTCACTGATCAAATAAACTATCTAACTCAAGTATCTACGGGTCAGCCATATGAAAATAGCGGCTATGCATCACAAAAAGTTTTGCAAATGGCATGGCATCGACTAGAACATGCTCGTAGTAGAGTCAAAGAGTTGGAGCGGTCAAAGATTAAATATATGCAAGACCAAGATCAAATGAAAGGAAATGCTTCTAATCTTATGTAATGCTGTGTTTTGTATTAAGTCATAACATTAGCTCATCAACAATGAGAAACCATTGTAATCAAATCGTTGATGGGTTAAATTTATTTTGTATTTATAATACTATCAATTAAGTTAATATATAGTTTTGCTTTTTATCATTAACTGTAAATAATGAGATCATTAAAATTTTAAATAAATACAATTTTTATTTAACCATCATTTATAATATTCCTTAGTGTATTGTAGGGTATACAGAGTACCGACTTCTCACTTTTATATGTAGCATATTGTACTCTAAACAAAAATTGTATACCTGGCACCTGTGGATAAAATACTTGATTTTCTTCAATATATGCTATATACGAAGTCGGAGGTGGGTATGTGTAAATAAAATTTACTATAAAAAAAATAGAGTTGGAGCAATTCCCAAACATTAATTACAAATAAAATCATATCCAGTTAAGAATGTAGCTAAGATCATATTCGCAGGTTACATTGGACTAGTAGTGTATCGACTGGTTACTATTGTATGTCTCATATGTCACAATAGTAAAATCCAAAACGGTTTAAAATTCAAAAATTATATGTGATGTATAAAACAAATTAGCTAAGAAATGTAGATTTCTTTAATAATAATATGTTATTTATTAACCATTATAATTAAAAACTGCGTAGTACACTAGTGCCATGCTGATCCAATATAAATAATGATAGGTCACTTATAAATAAATTGCATTCTTTTTATTTGTAGTTAATTTATAAAATATGCAACTTTGTTGATATGCTGCAGTCTGCATTTGGTAAACAAAGTTTTTTCGAATGTTATAATTATTAATAATTTCAACTTTCATTACTATTATTATTACTTTTATTTGTTGTTATTCAATTACATAACTATTCTTTTTTATGTGTTTTTAATACAACAAATGTATAATTATTAATTATTCCTAATGTAGACTAGTTATATTTTATTGTGCTACTCTGTGGCTATGATAATTCTACATTTGTTTTATTGATCACAATTCAAACCTCCTACTTTTTTCCCTAGCTTTGTGGGAAAAAAAAAGTCATTCGATTATTGAACACCAAAGCAACCAAGTCAATAAGACATCCATGAGGCATAATCTAATGTTTTCTCTAAAAAGAGAAAAAATGTATATAGGATGATTTCTTTAAATAAAGTATAATAAAGATATTAATAATTTAATATCTTTTAGGGTTTAATCAGTTATAGAATTTTTTTTTCCGTAGAGTTTTTATATGTAATCCTAATTTTCACAAACTTTTATGTTTTAAACCCCCATCCAAATTAGTTGTTTTATATCAATCTTTGAAACTTAAATGATAACGTGTAATATATTTTATGAAATTTTAAGTTAAGATTAGTTAGGTGACTGAAAATGTTGACTGGTCGATTACCAGTTTTTAGTTATTATTCTTAAAGTTTAGAATGGGAGGAAGGGTAGTGAATAGTACTATTTTTATTTGCGCGCATTACTAAACTGCTCTTCCCTTCCCGTCCTATTTTTTTTTTTTATGTACCTTTATTTTAACAATACGAGTATTACAGCACAATTACTAATTAATATGCAATGAAAATATTTTAACGAATATAAAAACAATAAAACATGCATAAAGAAACAATTAAATAAGAAATCCTGCTTTGGAAACGAAGGAAATTAGGAGAACGATAACGGAGCTTAAAAGAAGATAGGGGTCAAGGGAGGTATAGCAGAACAAACTGAGATGGGAAAGTAAAAATTTTCTGTTGGGGTACAGAGTAGGACGGTCAAGGAGAATATGGTTAAAACTACAAGGAGTTTTATTAAGGTGGTGGGTACAAAAGGGAGATGAGTTTAGGTAGAGATGGAAGGCATGAGTAGGAAGGAGGTTATGACCAAGACGAAGTCTGGAAAAAGAAACAAAAAGGGAATAGGTAAAGGAGAGTACCAGAACCAAGGATGACGGAAAATGGTAGGAGAAATCGCTCTATGTCAAGCAGCATAATTATGAAGAAGAGATTGCCATTGCCACAACTTTTAAACTTTAATAACTATAAAAATTACGTTACCATTTAAGTTTCAAAAGTCAATAAACATAAATAACTAATTTGGGAGAGGATTAAAAACATTAAAGTTTGTAAAAAATTGAGATCATGATGTTGTTTAAAAACACCGGAAAAAATAATCAATAACTGATGTAAGTGGTTCACTTAAAAAAAAATCACTGTATATGTAAATATATTTTTTTAAACAGATTTAACTATTAATGAATACAAGCAAAATTTGTTATATGACAACGTAGGTACTGTTTTTTAAAATATATTCTATTTAGTTAGTTGAAGCCAATAGGTGTTTTGAAATTAAAACCACTCAAACGTAAATAAAAATAGACTTTTCCTTTTGAAGTGATTATACTCTATAGTCTAAGATAAATTACTTACGAAATTAAAAGAAGTTCAGATTAGAGTTTAATAACCGGTACAAAAACACCTACAGGTGTATAGGTATGTATATTTAAGTGCAAGTAATGAGAACCCGACTGTTCTTCTATTCTTGAGAACCGATATCATTTTTGTTTTATAATAAAAGTCATTGTTTATCTCAGATCGTAATATATTAAAATGTCGGTTGTTAATGGTACCAAAATGTATATAGTAAAAGTATAGAATCCTCAACTATCTTAATATATGGTCTCGTAGTGTAGATGAACACTGATAGTAACAGCTCTAAGCACAACGTATATTATGTAATGATTGCAATATGTAGATATAGTAAGTACAGGTTTAGCTTTAGGTAGAGCCGTACAAGTAAATACTACAAAGTCAACATTTACACTACATTGTTAAATGGCGCAAACAAATTTATCTTGTTAGACAAAACTCAAAAGAAAAAAAAATGCAAATCTTATGTTCTAAGCTTTCTATATATAAAACATAATTAGATTATTTATGGAATTTATATTAAATTTTTATATTGCGTTTGAACAGTAAAGACCAAATCTAATTGTCTTATGAACAAATTTCACAAAATTTTCAATTTAAAATCAATAATCTTGCACCAACATCAAGAGATAACTTAAGATGTATTAATACATAACCGCTACCGGTAAAATGATTAACTACAGTAAAACATAAAATAACTAAATCATGGTTATTATATATACGTATTATTTACAAATGCAAAATATACATATATTTTTAGCTTGGATGCAATTTTTTAACATAGCTTTTGTGCAGTCTTTAAAAAAAATGCGCAAAAACACGTTAACTTGTGGTGTTTGGATTTCCGGAATGTACCACACGAAACGTTTTCTACCTCATCAGCAAAACCAGTTTTTTGTTTAACATAATGAAACACATCGGAAGCGATTAAATCGACAAGCCCCCGCACATAATTCGATTATTCAACCCGACACTTAAATACTAGAATAATTATTAGTGTATTTTCTGGCGACTGATTATCTGTACAATAACATAACTCTTAAGAAATTAGTTGATCGACCCACAATACAACGTGACACGTATAAGAAATTATCGAAATTTATAGGTTAGTACTTGTAACTTGGCGTTTTGTATAAATTACAATTTATAACGAATTCAGTCGCGATTTTTATATTAATATTCTTTGGAATATTTTAATAGGATTACCTAGTAGTACGAGCATGTTTGCTGAGGAAATTTATATTTTATCACTTATATCAGTAGTGTCTACGCCAAGAGTAAAGTTAGACCATTGTTTAACTGAATTATTTTTGAACAGAGCTCGCACGAGTTACATTATACTGTCGGCGGTTCACTACACATTGTATTAATGCTATATATTGTAAAATAACGCTGAAGTAGAGGTCGCTTAATAGTAGAAACTCCAGACATTTTTTTCTTCGGACCCATCGATGAATAATAATTGATATATAAAATACACAAACGGTTATGGTTGATCAGCGACGCGATCAATTTAGTTAAAACAGTAATAACTATCATTTTAATTTATATCATAATAATAAAATAATTAAACACAATGAAGGCTAAAATTATAACCTACTTAATATTTTCTAAAGCAAAGTATTATTTTAGTACCCAGGGCTCTTATTATCGGCAAATACCTAGGACCTAGGTACTCGGTATTTCTGAGTATCAATTAATAGCATTGCATTACTTTTATTATGTGAAATTACTAGGTTAGTAGATAACATGGTAAAACCGTATTTCGTTTATTCGCCGAGTAGTTAGTAAAAAATTATACTAAATAATACCCGACATAGGTATTATTAGAGAGCCTATATAGGCTCTCTAGGTATTATCATTAATCCTTTATCTTTTAATCATTCACATTTTATAATAAACTCCCGTCCGTTAATGCAGTTAAAGCCGTTAATGGCCAACTACAACTATACCAAGAATTTCTCCCAATAAATATGTATATTCACTGTCAAGTGAAATAATAAAACCTATAAAGTTGTAAAAATAGAGCACTTTTTAATGATATTTGAAAATAGGGTGTGTATCGATTATTACTCATACTATGTACTTACCAAAATGAAATAACAGCAAGCATATGATTGTAAAAGTTTTACATATAGCAAAACAAGTAACGGTTTTCAGTAAAAAATAATATATAACTAGAGTATGAAAGACGAATTAATTGTGTTTATTTTTGTTTAAACTGATAAAAAATTTTGTTTTGCATTTTATAGTTAGAAATGAACATTAAACAGCTAACAAAAGAGGAATTTTATAAGTAATTTGAAAAGTTGTATTATCCATTATTTTGTTTTAACAAATTAAAGATTGTTCTTTTTTTATTTACAAAGCAATTGATTCATACAGTTAATTTAAACATAAAACGTGTAAATTACCTTTAAACTTGTAACGGTATTATATTATGTAGGATACACTTGATAAACCTGTATTTTTGGTTGTGCAATAGTACTAATAATTAGCTCAAGTTTCGTATTTTATCACAGAAAACATTTTTGGGTTTGAAATATTTAAATAAATAGTTTTTTTTCATGCATTTTTTCAAAGTAATAATAAAAGTAATTAAATATATGTATATATATATTCAGTCAAACAACTGCATGTCGATATTTGAAGTGTTAGATACGAGAAAATAATTATTTAAAAATTATTTACAGGATAATCAAGGCGAAAACAAATGTTGTTTTTCCTATAGAAAAATAATAAGCCTATATTAACAACAAATAAAGACCTATTATTATAAATAATAAGAAAAGATTTTTCAACAAAATTAAAAATACATTTTTGATCTAACATCCATGACCTCGTTTAATTGCTAACACAATTTTCCTGCGTCTCGTTCAGGGTTTTGTACGAATTGGACCAAAATGCCATGGGGGAACGATCTTGATCAGTATGAAAAGCAGTGGCCAAAGGGAATCGTTTGTAGCATGCTTTACGATACTCTTCAGTTATGCTTCCCACTTCACCAAATTCGCCGTTACTTAGTGAATTTAATATATCTCCGCACGTCTGAAACACACGTTACATGACTCACGGTAATAAGATAAGATGTACAATAATAATAATTAATTACTTGAATATCGACATCTTCCAGAGAATCATCTAACTTCGTAATTTGCGCAAGAACTTCTTGCTGAGAACTGTTGTCCAGTTTATATTTCATTTTTAGACCTATATTATTTACAAAACAAATAAATTACCCCGACGATTTGGAGAATTGTTTGTTCTTGTCAAGAACAATCATTAACGACACTTACCTTGAACTAATGCTGGCAATGACTTGTGGTGTTTGGCGAGGAACTGCGTGTTAATTTCTGCGGCCGATCTACCGCCTAGTATTGGCTCCAACTGTTTGTCGAACACCATTTGTATTTCGTCTTGAATGTTGTCCAATTTGGACAGTTTTTCCATAAATCTAATCAGACAACTGTGGAACATCGGATGGTCCGGATTGATGCGATGACTTCGTATAATGCTCTGCAGCATCAACAAGAGTTTGTCTGCAAAAGAAGTAAATCAAAAACGTCGGCAACGCTCTAGTATGCAACACGTAATCGCTTTCTATTTTTATATAGGCAAACCTTTTCTGTAGTATATTTCGAACGCCATTAAATGGGTTTCCATGTTGTTGGAAGCCAGTTCTTGCAGAGGTTTCAAAAACTTGATGGCTTGCTCCAGAGGATCTTCGACCTGTAAAAGCCAAACGACAAAAACATTTAATGGCGTACTTACAAACACAATATGCCCGTTATGTTTTGACTTAAAACAAAATTACTCTTTCTAATTTTTCGGGAAGCAGTTCGTCCAACGGCATCGTGTCGGCCTCGTCGCCTGCATTCGACACTTGTTGACGGTTTTTATGTGCGTCCCGTTTCTCTTGGGCGGCCAGAGCTTGTGCTTTCTCCTCTTGGGCTTTTCTCTGCGCTTTTCGTTGTTTGTTCAGCATTTTTTTTAACTGTCCGGGAGCCAGATTTCCTAGAAAACAAAACCGATTACCGTCATTGATATGGATTCAGAACTCAAGACGCCCACAACAAACGGCCGAACAATAGTTTTCAGCAGCAATATAGATTTAATTTCAAAAGGGAGAAGGAAAAGTCAGAGCGGTATTGCTCATATGATGTATAACGATGGAAAACACAAACGTTTCAAATTTCATAGATTTCAGTGTTTCTAAAATTATTTTTTTTGGACTGTTTTTCTTATTTTACTAAGACTTTTTTTTAATTGTATTGGAATTTTGAAGACTTTAAAGTAGTATCATCTAGATTTTGTATGTCTACAAAAGCTTAAAATTCTTAAAAAATAGACATCCCACCCGTTCACTATGCCATCGACGATGTGATTTTAATAGAAAGATCATTTCGTGAGGGTTTATAATCGTAAAGGAATCCTGAAGGTTAAAACCTTCACTCCGCCCTAGTTACCCAACCGATTTTTAAAAATTCTTAAATTTTAAAGAGGTTTGGTTATCCCTCCGGACCACACCCTCAGGCGGTAGGTCGTACAATAAGAAAACAAATACACGTCGCTCGGCGGTCTAAGGTCGACGGCGGAATGTAATAGGTGAACCAAAACAATAGGCAGTCAAACGTCTAATCAAAATTGTTACTATTGTCGAAATGTCAAAACGATGTCGTAACATGCACACACACACGTTTGTGTGTATGATAATAGTATGACATCTTTACCGTTTTGTTTTTCATTTCTATGTTCACCACATCCACGTCTACGTGTGTCTACGAAACCGTTCGGATTTGCCGCGGTCGAACGGAAGACAATGATTTTTTTAACTTTTGTTTTTTTTATAAAGACAAATTATTATTATCGTTATTGGCTTGTTCAGCTGACCCTTATAGGTTGACCATAAGAAATGGGAGCCGGAGACCACAACGCAGTGTGTAAATAAAGGAATATATTATTATTATTATGTGGTCGAGTATGACTCGAATAAAAGTACACACCACCCCGGGACTTGATTGATATATCAATGTACAAGTGTAACAGGAAAAAGACTAGTCCGAGAATGTTGAAACTGAACCGCAGGAGAGAGACCTTGCTTCGTATTACATGAGCAGCAGACACACACAGACACAGACACACACACACACACACACACACACAGAAATATCATTATATTGTCGTTGCATAATCGGGTTCGGAGTTAATGGAAGTGTAGATTGGAAAATGTGATCTACATTTTGGCCCCAGCCGGCCGGCGCGCGCTATTAGGATTTTAATAATCGATTCTCTATAGGAATTTCGGATAAATATATTTTGTTTTATCGCCAGTACTTAGTCTTACGACTCTGTTATTATTATCTAACCCAAAAGAAATCTGATTTATACTATAATAATTAGTCGCGGTTAAGAGAGCAGCACGGGTGATTTTGAATTGTTATCATACGCATAACAATTAAAAACGTTACAATGAGCACATACAATATTGTTGTGTCCGGACTAGTAGGGACAGTCTTGACGACTTGCAAGTCAAAACACTGCGAATAATACTCGTGCACACATGCCACTGCATTAGGAACCTATTTATATAGTTGCATAACGTTTTCATTCAACATCGTTGACCACCTTGCATTATCAGAACTCAACATAAGTTCGAAAAACACCTACTGTTCGGTTTATTCATTGCAAATGAAGGCATTACTCGAGAAATGATAAATGTCATTATAAGTTATTGTGGTCCAACAGAGATTGGGAAATCGGTCGATTTTAAAGCTAGGAAATTCCAATAAAAAATACATTCGTTTTTATGGGTCATGCAATTTATTAACAACAGCTTACGTTAATAAAGAATTGGAACAGCAATGAGTTAACGAGTAGAATTCCAACGAGCTTATCCGTTTTTTCAGTTAATATTATCAATTTTTTTTTTTACACGCTAAATTAAAAATATACTACACTAAAGTAAAGTACATTATATGGAGAATGGTTATGTATACATTGTTATGGCACATACGACTTGTCCCTGTTGCTTACAAATGACCGTGTATACTTCTATAATTTCACCGACATGACCGACACCGTATAGCTTATAAGTGACAGGAACCGTAACGGATTTGACGGCTACGTAATATTAATTTAGTTATGAATAATAATATCATTATTGAAACATACCCTGAGTTAATTAATTACTACTTCAACTTATAAAACAGCTCAGGTTTAGTTTAAGTAATTTTCGTTATTTGTACATATCCTACGACTCATGTCTAATGTATATTTGTAATTTGATCGTTAGCCTATAGATGAATTTGATATCTATTTGTATTGCGGCCTAGAGCAAAACTACTAATAAAGATCGAACAAAATAACAAAATAAATTACTCAATAGCAATAGGTACTTAAAAACAAATAATTATAAAACCATTACAATATCGGAATTAACCAAGCGCATTTATTAGTTGTACGTTTTAAAAACCTCAAGGGTGCTGCGGTGATCGTTACATTAAAGGTCATCTATAATGTTTTGATAATTATTTTTTTTAATTTCACAGAATTTGGTAAAATGTGTTCTGAATAATGGTAAAATGAATTATTGTTGTCAATGTTTCAAGTTATTAACTATAGTTATTTAAGCATTGATGCGAAGCTAAGAAGGTATTGTTTTTATAATGGTGTTTTTATTTATTTTTGAACCAGGACCCACGATATTTTTTTAACCGCTGGGGCGATTTCTTCATGTAGCCAGTTTAAAGATCAGTAATAATTGTACCTGAAAAATACTTTAATAAGTTTAGTTGGCTACATAGATTTTCGTTTACACACTTACTGCAAACAACAATAGATAATTATTAAACAATAAACCCACTACTGACTGACACAGTAAGTTAAATAGTATAATTACATACATATTAGTAAACATATGCATACAATTATGATTACATTAATAAATTCAGTAAAGTAATTTCATCGTTTTAGGCAGTTTATAATAGACGGCGATTAATCTAATTTCTGAGCGTATAATCTCTCTCACGGTTACTGAGATTTTTCAAAATAATAACAATTATTGCAGCTGCTGGTGGGAAATGAGAATCATTAAAAAAGAAATAATGTGTATCGTTTAGCCTCGAACGTACACTATACTTTGTGTTTGACCTCTTTTTAGGGCATGAAGGTGTATAAGGTTAGCAATACACTAGAAAACCCGTTGACAACAATTGCAGGTCATTCGTCCGAATTCGATTTTAAAAACATAAATGAACGAACGAACAGCGATTTTCGAAAAGTGCGCCTATTGTTTTACTATACTTAGCCGTGTATTATTTTGTTTGGCTATAATATATTATGTATTGTTCTAGAAATGATGATAGCAGTGGCGTTTTTTATTATTATTACGAATACCGTATTGTCATTATTAAAAACGGAAAATGGCCAAAAAAAAAAAGAGTGAAACTCGAATAAAAAAAAAAAAAAAACAATTGCTAACTAGTAACTATATCTAGAAATAACACCTCGTGTTATTATGAGAACTGGGTCTTGGCCGCCGCCGTTAAACGTTGCGCTAAACGACGTTTCTTTGCACAACAATCGTTTCCCAAATAACTGTAACAGAAAGAAAGAAAAAACGTACCGGGCGGCTTTCGGATACTATATAGACACATGGGTGGGTCTGATGTGTGTTGTTTAATGGATTAATGGACATTCTCCGGCGGTCGTGACGTGCAGACAGCGGCAGATATTTTTTAAAGACCCGATGAATCACGACCATGCAGAAACCGATAGCGCCACACGCCGATGAGATATTATGATGATGTGTTTAAGTATGCACTGTACAGTGTACATGTATATTATTGTATACCTATCTACATATTATATTATTATTATAGTGGTCGTTCGTCCGGGATGCGCGACTGGGTAAAACCGGTCTCCTCATCATTACCACTGCTGCCACAATGATGGCCCCCTTGACCGTAACCTAATGATTTTTTCGTGACTTTTTGTTTTTGGATCCGTACACATACACACACGCTAATACGTTTATAATAATATAATTAAATCACGAACAACGACCGCCGACGAGCACCCACACGACCGCTAAATGGTGGTAGAGAAGGAGCTTCTGTTGTCGATTATAATTTATACAATAATATATATATATATATATATATATATATTTAAATGTAATGTGGACATGTGTTACATGGCGGGTTCATGGTTGCTGCCGGCACGCGATCGCAGAAAGCCAAGCTATAAATAGAAGAAGGTATACATGCTTGAAATTCGAGTGCAAAACTCCTTTTCGAAGGAGACAACAATGATACTGATTACTGTAGAATCCTAATTTGTAAGTCAGATAATAAAGGATAACAGCTAAGTCATGCTCTTACGGTCTACTACATTTAAAGTCGTAAATAATTATTTTCAATTCAACTGATCGATTAAAGCTTAAAAATACTAAATTTCAATAAATACAATGCAAAATAAAATGCACGTAAAGCTTTTTGAGCGAACTTAATTATTTCAGTATTGAGCTGTCTGCTGTGTTGAATTAAGACTAAAGAGTAAGAGCAGTTAGGTTAGAATAGGAGTTTCGTTAATCGTTTTTCAGGGGCTCCACAAAATTGAATTACGAGGATTTTGTTTTTCTTGACTTTTTAGGGTTTAACTTGATCAATAAATAATATTACAAGTCGGATTGTTAGATGGTTGACTCCTTCCCCTCAATATGCTTCTGTTTTAGTAAGTTAAGTTTTTGTATTCGAAGCCCACCCTAAGTCGATGATTCCATAGCAAATATAAGTATTAGAACATTATTATATAATTTTATTTTTAACTAAATCTTTGAATGTAAAAAAAATGATCGTTAATGCGATTGGGCAACAGCAGATTGACTATATCATTGAAAGTGTTTTTTGGTAACACTTTTTTTTATTATAGCTAGTGGCCGATCTAATTTTTAAAATATATTTACATTTTACATAGCAATTAGAGAAAACGTCGTCAACCCGGTTTTAATCGAATTTCTTAATAAGCCTATTTATTATAATTATTACATTATTATAATGATACTTAAAATATACCAGGTCTACTAGTTAAAAATCGGTTTAATTGACATAAACTATAATATACATTTCTTAATTTGTACCATATAAATTAATTGCCTAATTTATTAAGTATATAAAAATTAGTAAATAATCCAATTATTTAATAAAAATTAATAGTCTTGCATCAGCTTTCACCTGTTTAGCCTATTATTGTATTGCTAACATAAACTTAGTTTTTAAATTGATATGTCGAAAGCTGCTTTGCACTAGCAGTTTGCACTCGTTAGCATACCGAATCGTAGGTGGATGTCCTTTTCATATATACATTTTAGAGAAAAATGGAATAGAAGCTGTTGTAATTAACATTAATCTACCTAAATTAAAATGATAAACGGAAATAGAGATGATGCTTGGGGACGAAAAATATAAACTAGAAAAACCCAGGTACTATTATAAATGGATAATAAAATACAAATGAATACGACACACTTTTCTTATTAGTATTTTGGTAGCAATTATCATCCGGACTCACAACGGACTTTTTCACAGCAGTCAATTTTTTTCTATACATTTTTAGTGCAGCTAAAGCACGCAAATACGATAATAGTATAAACTTTATATTATAAAGTGTGTCATTCATATGGTAATGATTATTTTATAATATTTTTTGTTTAATTTTTAAAATATTTCATTACTTTAACGAAAAATAAAAGTTCAATCAATTTTGGAATGCATAAGGTTTTTTTTATAGAAAGTAAAAAGGCATCACCAAATCCGTTATAGAAATCTTAAAATATATGATATGGAAATTAATTAAATACACAGCTTATCCCACACACAATGGAGGGATTGTTTCTCAGGATTTCGCGTAGTGAACGATCATTTGTTTTCCACACACAGTGAAACTGGACTGGGAGTTTTTTTTTTAAATATCTGTTTGATATTATACATGATGTGTATCTAGTTTAAGAGAGATATTACACGGCCGGCGTGACACAATTATTGAAATGAAATATGACGGATCGTGACGAGTTTTTAGTGCGCGATAATTATTTTCGTTATATTCTAATTAACACCAATACGTTATTGCGAAAAAAACGTTTCTAGCGGTACCTATAGGCATATGAATTACGGTAAAATTAAAAATAAACAAATACACGCATGCTGCAGTGAATACGGGTTGACCGTTTTTTGTTGTCACATTCAGTTGAAAGTTATTGTAAGAATATAATTATTGTAGAATATTTTCTATAGACGAAAAAAAATGTAATCTACATGATTAGCTAAATTAATGATACCCAATACCCGCTCCATCAGATAATGGGCTTGTTATATTATTATACCTTTCGTTGCCAGTTGGCGTTTCCTAGCAGGTGTCTAATCAGATCTCGAGCTGTATGTTATCATGGTGACATCACGCAGGAGCCTAGAAGGTCCACGACCTCGAAGAATGTCCGTTTCATAAACATCCTGATTCCGGATAAAACTACGGTAAACTAGTGATTCATATACGAAAATATGGCGTTATCTTTACCAAAAAGTCGTGCGTCATTTTTAAGTAAATACTAAATATAAACGCGGATGTGTGTATTTCCCGTTTAAGTAAGTCTCCTAGTGTCCCATTGGCGGGCAATCATAATAATACGCAACACCGTACGAATCTGATGCATAAATTAACGATGCAAGTTTCTTTTTTTAATTGAATCGTATACGAGACGACACAAGCACCTAGCACAAGGTGTCTATACGGAAAATCCCGACTACGATTGTAATAATAATATATATACACAGGAACAGCTCGCATGACTAACAAAATTTATCATCACAAATTACCAGCTAGGAATTTTATTTTTTTTTTAATAAATACTATTAGACCATTACATGGTCAACATAGATCGTAGCCGGGACCAGTATAGGACGATCCGATGGTACCTACTCTTCCTGCGCGCATCTTGATGGTATGTATGTATCGTGCTAGGTACTACACCTATATATCATATACTTGTGTTGAGTCGCATATCTAATTCGAGACCATAATATCTGCCTGTCGCCGCGGAATAATGGTAGCACACGACGATTCATTATAATACACCGTGAAAATAGCCAATTACACATAGAAAATCGAGCTGACCATTGTAACGCGATATGTATGTACAGATTAAAAAAAAAGAATAATAATAAAATAAAATAAAAAAAGGAAGGAGGCAGGTCGCGTGTATAGCTCGAGGCCCATTGCACGATTCTGGTAGTTGCTCTAGTTTAAAGTTACCGCGCCCTCTTGTAAAACTTTCACCACACCTGTTTTGCGGTTTTTTTAGCCCGTTATACGTCTGTTGTAATGTAAAAAAAATTAATTCTAAGTGCAAAACGTTAATGCACTTAACATGCATACGTTAAAATAGTATAATATGCACACAACGATAATAAACAATCGTTACGCATACTCCCAAGTACGGGCACTTTTGGGTAAAACGCCAAACGAGACCACTGGCCGAATTACATAAAACGTAAAAATCAAGTAAAACTACACAGGTAAAATGTCTATGCGAGTTAAAATATGTAATAACTGATCAATGGTTGACATTACAATTAATACAAGATGAAATGAATATTAAAATTGGGATATATAATAATTTGTTTCTACTATAATGACGTTACCGTTGGTGGTTAGAGGATTATGGATAGCTGTCTAGAAAATATATGGAAACGCAACAAATACGAAAAGAAAGAAAGACTTGAAACGTCCAAGGCAATAATTTCATTAGTATGCGCATTTATTATCAAAGTAAAATACATTTTAACGAAAACGTGCAATTACCCGGATGACTGTTATGATTTGGATATACGTAATAATAATATGACTATATCTACTTTATAATAATTCTAGAACGTTATACAATCTGCATTCCTATGGTGCTGCAATATGTACACGGGTAATAACGACGTTATTGTGCATTAATTGTATCATAATATTTTCTGTAGTTTGTATCAAAATTATAAATAACCGATATAAATCAAAACCATACAGAATGCAAGTAAACAACTTAACGAGTGTACAATTATTATAATACAACGCATGGTGTATACTACAAAAATGACAATAATATGCAAAATAGCTTGATAATATCAATCACGTGCGGATATACTGCTGGCCACTAGGTACATTATATTTCTATTCGAGTAGGGCTTGCCCTAGGCTTATAGTATTATTGTGTAACGCATGAAAGTCTCTCAGTTTACGCGCACAATAAACGCCCTTTGATTGATTTGAAAAAAATATATAATAATACAACAATAAAAATAAATAGAATATTTTGAGAACATCTTATAATAAGAGAGTATTAGAAAACCTAGAAACACAGTAATAAAACTGTAATAAACTTTTTTTTTATTGCTTACCACATATATTATGCAATATAAAATACAATAGAAGTTATAATAAATAATAATACAAGAGATAAGTCACCATTGGATCAAATTTGTTATATATTATTTTTTGATTCATTCAAATGAATAGGATTTTATTTTATTTTATTATTCGTTTTTAAATCAATTAATCTATAGAAATAAACAATAGAGACGATTTTTTAAAATTATTGAAATGGGTATAGTATTTGGAAATACTGAAAAAAAAAACGCAAAAAAAGATTATAATGCGCAAATTATATTTTATAAAGCGTATTCTAGTTTACGATTCGGATCGTTATTACAGCGGTAAGTAGGAGGAGGATCATGTCACGAATCGAATGAATTGCTACTCGAGGAAGTGCACCTCGACTAAATTAAGTTATACATAGCTTGTATGTATATTGTATACTGGGTAATAATATTATACTAATGCAAAATCTCATTATCGCACAACTCTCTTGCAATCATAGTTATATTCATTGGTACAATGAATTATAATGCAAACTATACAACTTAACGGCACGATTCATAACACATATTGTACCTACATATTTCGATACAATACCGACATTTTTACCGGTGATACCCAAAGCATGACACGTGTATATACAATTAGTAAGAAACACACTTGACGGTATCGAGACATTATTATCCACGCACAATTTAATTACACAACCAATGCATATTTTTGAAGTATTGTGTTAATATAAAGTATTTAAATAATAAACATCGAAGTAAAAAAACATAACTAATAATCAAATTCATAAATCACATTAAATTTGGGTAATTTTTTATCATTTAACACACGTGATTTTTTTAAATATCTACTTGTTAGAAAAAAATCTTACCCTGCAATCAATAGTATAGTTTTTTTTTTTTTTTTAATTTCGTCTTTTATATTGTATATGGTTGACTTTTCATAATCTAATTTTACTTAGAAAACCATTGCTAACATTGACGATTTTGAAGAACTCAATATTTGTTTATATATATAATATCCAAGTTTTTGTAAGTGAAATAAACTTTTTATAGATAAAAAATATCCAGGGTTTGTAATTTAATTTTAATATACTTCTCGAAGTTCTATCATTTATTTAGCTACAATAAATTTTGCAAGTATTAATTAAATTTATTTATTTGATCTTAAATTAAAAACTGCATATGATGTATTTTATAATTAAAAATTGTAATAAGTCTAACTAACGTATCAATTGAATAAACGTTGTTCGACAACAAAAAAATAATACAATTTTGTTTATGTAGTTTACGATGAAGAATTTAAACAAATATGTACTTTAATTGTAATCAGACGAGTGTTTCTCACAAAAAGTAAAAAAATTAATTATGATAATAGGTACTAGGTAATATGCAGTAGTGATACTCGGATTGTTAGTGTTAATAATCTAACGTATAACTTTCCCTTGGCCAAGGGGTACTTCTCCTTCCAATAAAGCAAAAACAGAATGAATGAATTATGGTATTAGTATTCTGCGTGCACTCCATGTGTTCAGTTTACGTCGTAAAGTCGTGCTACACCGAGTAAACGTAGCATGACGAATGTATTCGAAAATCGGTTCGGTTTAAAATTTGAAGTTAAATAGTGTATAATTTTTGTGTGATGGGCACTTCAATTATTGACTATTCGGAATATACATCTACACATTTTAAAGGTTTGTAATTTAAAATATTTGAATACGATTTTAAATTAAATTTTTCGTTTTACGTATCAAAAATATCTTATAAATATTTGTTATTACACCGATTTTAAGTTAGAAAGTCAAAATGTTTTTAATTACAATTAATATAACTAGAGTAAATTCAATATATATAATATCATTATAAAAATAAATATTTTTTTTAACTTAATAAAATTTTAACTTAGTTAAAAATAACTTTTTTTTATATAACACGTGTATTTGAAAAAAAATAAATAGAATCTATAATTAAATCTAAAGAGTAAATATAATGACTGATGATTCTTTTCTAGAGTAAAAAATAATTTTGTTTAGTTTGATCTTTATAGTTTACTGGGCTCTTTGTTTGTACTCATAGAACACAAAACCAATATTTTAATATTTTAATTTGTTAATTTTATTTCATACAGCAATATTTAATTATAAAGGCAAAAATTAACTTTTTTTAATTTTCAGGACATATTTAAATTTAAATTTCTTGACTGGGTAAATTTTGTCAAAGCTCGCCACTTATCAGTATTTATCTGTATTTTTACTTGCCAGTAATACAATCTAGAATTAATATTATAATGATTCAGAACTCATGTAATTTTTTTTGGCCTAGGAGAGCGCCTAATTTAGACACTAACACATTAAAACAATTATTATCGTGGTCATTAATATTGTTTACACAATACACTCCAAAACGTAAATACAATTTGAGTAGGTCGTCGTTCGATAGATTATTAGTGTTTGTTTAGAGTTTTTACGGTAATCGGTTGTGGAGGAGTTACATGAAAAGGATATTGCCCACTGCATAAGTAGATAACAATTTTGTTCTCGAGCCAACAGAGGTGTTTTTATAGGAGGTGTGTAAATTCTACAAGGACATAAACTAATAATATGTACTTAACTAGAATAACAATAAAATAACGTTAAAAGAGCGACGACAGACGTGAATACAGCAAAAAGAAACAAACACGAGAAAAAAATAATAATAAACAAAACGTCATATTATCACTTGCTCCTTTCGTTTCGGGTATTGCGAGTTTTCGGTTAACGTGAAAAGTATTCTGAAGGAAAAAATGTTAATACTATACGGAGACAATTTCATATTCAATTTACTGGAAGTATTCGTAACTACATTAATATTTTCTATTTAATATCATAATGTCATTAGCTTTCACGACGTCATCATTTGCCAATGATTGAACATCAAGTCGCATGCTGTTAGATCATATTGTTATTTATAATAGATAATTTAAATTTTCGTACGTAAAAAAAAAAAATATGAAGACATTAAGCCGACCGGTAAACGTTGGCGATCCGCCTTAAAAAACTACCAGAATAATATAATATAATATGCTGAACAATCAATGTCATGCTTGACATTCATTCTTTTGAAACGCGTCCGGCGACTTCTTTTAAAATGAATACGTATAGCCCCGACGATGTCTGCCTTGCCCTAAGATAGTATTACACATTAACAACAATTACCTATATTGAAAAAAAAATGTCTAAAATGACCCAAGAACTTAACGTTCAATCAACGCCTTACACAGTCGACGCGTTCAAGGTATTCTTCATCCTTCGTGTAAATTACATAGGCGGCGTACAAGGTGACAAAAATTATAGTAAAACGTAGAAAATCAAATTTATCCAAACGCGATACAACAATTATCGTATCCGAACACATTTGCTCATCGAGACACGCCATGCCGTTGCGCAATAATAATAATAATAACAACAAGAAATTGGAATGTAAAATAAAATTGAATAAACTCTAAATTAATACCGTTATGTCAAAAGTAATAATAATAACCGGTGTCCAACAAAAGATAATATAAATGATTATATTTGGACACACGAAGAGTACATGTGAATTGGATATGATTGTTGTGACGTGCAATAATAATAATAATAATAATATGGTTCAAGTTATGTAACGATTCCAGTTGCAACTGCTGAATGAAAACATTTTTTTTATGTTAACAAACCCAATTTGTAACAGTTGTGCTTACATACATGCTTATACGACTGTTAAGCACCGATGACTTTAACACTTCAGTCGCACACAACATTGTTTGGTGGGAGGGTACATTTACTACGGTTTGTAATAATAACCGTTTTTAAAGCCAATTAAAACCAATTAGCGAATAATAAAAAAAAAAAAATCTTAATTATTTTTAATTGTTATAATATTTAATATACGAACTCAAGTTTATAAACGTTATAGGCGAGTAAAATATAAATTGTCAACAACATAAAAAAACCGGTCAATCATATTAGGACAACACGTCTTGCGTGGGCAATTTCGACGATTTTACAAAAAAAAAAATCTTATACGACGCACGCAATACTACATAAATTATCATTTCAATTTTCAACGTTACAGATAAAAATGACACAAGAACTATATATATGTTTTAAAAAGGGATATCTTTTCTGATCTTGGGAGAAAATTAGTAACCATAGCGTTTCGTCTGGACAAAATATTACACATACAATATGGACATTGCTGTAGGTCAAACGGCACTAGAATCGTGTCTTGTACCAGAGCAAGGTTAACCGGTTATAAACTTCTTTTGTCTACAAAATTCCGACGTGTACCCCTGAAGTAGCTTATGGGCGTAGTTATAGTAATAATAGACAATAATAAAGTACATACTATATTATTACCATACAGTGTAAGGCCTATTACAATAATATTATGAAATAAGCGAAAATCATTAAAATCGTTAAGTAAAAGAACACGATGGCTATTGCCTATTAATATAGGCACGAGCCACGTTTTTGAAAATTAGGTAGCAATATTGAAATATATTTCATTCGGTAAAGCACGAACGGTAACTGGTAGGAGGCCATTGATTAAACACTCCGTCTCCGAAACTGGCATTCTCAAATGTTCCTATATACGCAACAAGTTGAACACAAAAATTCAAACACAATATATGTCTACTGAGAAGTGAGAATGTTTGAAAAACTTAAGAAGTGATTGAAAATCTTTAAAATGTATTCTTTTTAATTATGTTCTTAACAACATATTATGGACCCGTCTAGTAGGCCGTCACTAGCCTTCTATATTATTAGATTTCTCATATTTAATGTCGAGTGTTCAGTGTTAATAATAGCAACATCCAACTTAATACGTTATTATGTTATTACTTGTGTATGTTTAGCTATAATTGTTTTTTGATGATTGTTATTACTATAATTATAATTAATGTTTGACTTATCATTTAATTTCATAATAATAATAATAATAATGAAAAAAAAAAAATCAAAAGTGAAAATTTCTTAGATAGATCAAGGTGCTAATGGTTCAAAATATGTTTACGGTAATAAGTAGATAAAAAGACGTTGCAACTGAAATAAAAACAATTCTCTACCAATTTGTTCGAGAAAAATATAAATTGTATAATATCAAAATAGTATGAATAATGTTGTTGAATATATTGTAATAATATGCTGAACAATTGTTTAACATTGATAGGCAAACACCTAGAGCGATCGCCGCAGGGGAGCCCCCCGTGGCCCTAGTTAGTGTTAAGATTCTAGACTTACTCCCACAATTTTCCATTTTTGTTTTAAGTTGTTCCCGTGGTGCTGTGGCAACACGCGGTGTGTATCGAGATCAAAGATTTTATAACAGTTTAAAGACGATGCCCTGAAGATTGTTAAGTTCGAGAGTAATTAACAGATCGTCACTAATGATAAATGAAATGATTCGATCAGTCATCACCATTGATCGGGTGATTAATCATTTCTGTCGTTTAGTAATTAATAATTTCAACGAAGTATACCTACATTTATAATAATTATTAAACATTAAAAACGCCCTAACGGCCACAAACTAACACCGAATGAATACTTATATTATACAATTTTCATTGGAAAGCTGTAATTTTCATAATGTTTTTCGAATAGCCCAAGTCGTTTTCGGGGCGTCTGGTGGTTTCACTTAATTTTGTGACGTTACAAAATTATTTCTCGACAAAGAAGACTGGTCTTGTATTTGGCTTTCGTTATGGTCTATAAAAGTGTCTAAAAGGTTTACTCGTGCTGATTAATTCCGTGTTAATGCGGGCGATGCCCAAGTGGGAATTACAACATATAACATTATATTACTTGTATAGTCGTATACATAATTATAATACGTATACTGATGAGTACAGACATAAGAATCTTTATGGATTTTTTAGTGCATAAAATCTCGGTTATAAGCAAACAACTCAGGTTTGTATCGGACGTACACATGGCAATTCGCATGTGTGTGCGTGTTGTCATAAAACAAATAATAATATAACATAACGCACAAGAAAGAGGAAAACGAGTCACAATGATGTTGTAAGTAACATCAAATATGCATTGTAATAACGATGACGAGTTTTTCACTCTACTTGTTACATAACCGAATATAGACAAACAAAATATAATAATTAAATATAGGTTCATAAACGCGTGATTCCTGCAATTAGAACTGCATATTTTACATTATAATTATTATTATATAAAATCAAAATAGCAACCTAATTATTCTGATACTTCAGTATGTCGCGGATTTATATTAACTACCATACGAAACGTCTTCTCCTCATCCAAAACAAGTAAGGTCGTCGGACATCCTGATTATGTTTTCTAACCGTCTTCAACTCTTTATTTACTCCACACGTCATTATATCATCGTCGATTCTTTTTAGTTTTCAACTGCTATATCTTTTACCCTTCCATTATCATTTAATTTCCCGACACGCCCAAACCATATTAACAAATTTTCTCTCATTATTAACTTCCACACCATCTTTTATTTCATTTTTTTTCTTCGTATCCTTGTCATTTTGTCACGCGATTTTTACTAAAAATAACATAATTACCATATTATTCTTATTACTATTTGTATTGCCAAAAATTCATGTTAATGGGGTTTTAGTTACTTCCTCGTTGTTTATTTTCCTTTTATATTTTATTATTGTACAAGATTTTTATGGTCATTTACACTTTACTAATAAGTTATTATTACGTTGCAGATGTATCAACTGCCATATGTGATATTAAAAATAACATTGCTGAGTGCTGTGATTGCGGAACCAGTGTTGCGAGAGACTTTAACAGCGGCAGCGGCAGCCAACGGACAAGCGACCGCGGAAGACACTGGCGGTTCGAGCAACGACGATGAGAAAACGCTGTCGGAACAGATCCTGGAAGGAAAGTACGGGCTGATACACACAGAACTCTTCAACAGCGTACCGTCCAGGCCGGGCGTACTTAGTTACAACATCAACCCCGAAGTGCCCAAGGACAATGTGAATAATCTAGGAGGACTGGACCCGGAAGAGATATGGCTGGCCGAAAACCACTTGCTGGTACTTAAAGGCGGCAACTTCACGGATCAAGACGTTGCAGTCAGCTGGCCGTACATTGACAATTATATAGCGCCGCCCAGACAAGTGAAAATACCAGATAACCCTAAAGTGCCACCACCATTTCCAGTGCAGCTGGAGGATGGCGGGCCTGTGGACTTCGTACGGGTCAACGGCTCAACGTGGACACCAATGTACCCGCCAAATTTCCCGCCGTTCCTACCTTCGCCACCGCCAAATGGCACGTTCGACGAAGACGACCAATCACTGTATTATCCTCCTAAATACGATTTCGTGTACGCCCAAGAGAATTCAACGCGAGTACCACCCGGTCCGCTCGTGCCTGGTATCGTCTTGCCACCCCCACCCGACTTCTTTGCGCCTCTCCAAAAGCAGTCTAAACCCAAGAAAATCAACTTGGACACTAGTAAAACTATTCCCAGGTTCAACCAGAAACCGTATTTTAAAATGCCCAAAGTTAATCATAATGTGAAAATATTATCCGATCACAACAACTGGGTGCCGATAACTGGGTTTAATAACTACGTCGACGGCCCGCAACAAAACAACAACCCTAAGTTGTCCACCACCGCCTTGGGCTACAATTACGGCAGTCAGCAGCTGTTCCCGACCAACCCAACAGCCGACCGTCCAGACACTTATTACTATTACGATAGCGGCAGCGGCGGATACGATAATAGTTACGACGTGGAAAAACCCGGTAAACACAACAAATACGTTGATCCGGGAACAGTGGCGGTCAAGAGCCAAAAGAAAAATCCGCCGAGGATTGTGAACGATAAATCGACAACAGGTAAACCGTACTACGAATACAACTACGTCGCCTCCGATTACGGGGGCGCTTTGAAGTCACAGCCCATTGCTGTAGTGCCAGCTAGCGTTCCGCCGCAGCAAGTAGAATACGGCCACCAGCAAAGCGGCCGTCGCCCGGAATGGTCATCGGCGGAAACGCCAAAATCAGTTTACCCCGAGCCGTCAAGACAACCATTACAACAGCAACATCAACAAGAAGAACAGTACTCAGACGTTTTGGACGACTACGGAGTGTACCAAACGGACCGGCCAAGTTACGGCACGGACAACCCGTACCACGCGTTCTTCACACAAGACGACGCTAGTCTAGTGGACGAAAACACGAAAAAATATTTCGCCCTATTCGGTCAGAAAGTGAAAACGGAAAAAACTGTGCAGGTCACGTCGACACTGTCGCCACCGGCGCAGAACTATCATTCTAACAAACCCAAAGTAGTGTCGTTGATCGATGATGTAGCGGTCAACTACAAGCGACCACGGCCAACAGATCCGGACTCCGAAATTGTAACCCAAGACCCGCGTCCGTGCTCGCCGGACAAGATCAAACTGCAACAGCCGACCACCAGGCCTTTCTCGCAACAGTCTCTATTCGACGACGTCCGGGTCAACTACCAACAACAGCCTCTACGCGCTGAACAAGTTACCAAGCTGACCCCTCTTTACGATGATGTCCGGGTCAATTACCGACAGCCTGTGCCCCCTAGAGATCCCGACTCAGAATACGTGACGTCGCTCAAAAAAGCGCCGCCGATATCCTTGGCCGACGACACCCAAGTAAATTATAAGCGACCGTTACCGACGATCAACCCCAACGCGGAATTCGCGGTAGTCACGCTTCGACCTTACGTAGCGGAACAAGTCACTCAACGGCCACCACTTGTAAATCCCGTACTGTTTGACCAAGCCATTTACAATGGACAACCGTCGCGGAATCCAATAGCCCAACGGCCCAGTTACGCACAGAATGTCAAAACCAACAACGCGGAACCTGCAGTCACCCAACGGCCGTACATAAACGTGCTTCCCTACAATGACGGGCAAGGGCTGAATTACAACGAAAGGCCACTACAGAAACAGCGGCCTACCGTGGAAGTCACAACAACGGAAAGACCATACCTACAGGGACATAATTCGTATTTGGAAGATGCGCTGGCCAACTATCAGTTGCCCCATAGAAATAGACCGAATACTGCCGACGGATTATCCAGGCCACGAGTTAAATTTCCACAGACATCCCTGATTGATGACGTCCGAGTCAACTACAAACTACCACTACCGACAAAAAACAGAGATGCCGAGTACTTTACACAAAGGCCTCCAGCACACGTACACCCTCCAGTATCTCTGATTGGTGACACTCAAGTTAACTACAAACAACCGCTGCCGGCAAAAGATCCCGACGCTGAATATATTAATATAGTGTCGACACAACGGCCGGTCAACCGCGTTGTTTCGTACAACTTACCGGGCAACAGTGGTAGTCATTTCTTCTTTTTGACAACTCACACTGGCCATCCGATACAATACAATTTAGGTCCCAAAAATTATCAATATTTTAAAAGAAACGTGAAATAGGAAATAATTTATATAATAAATGTTTTTTTTTTTTTGTAAATTGGAATTTACATAATACATTTTGCTTGATTACAGTAAACCTATAAATAAACTTAATACAATCAAACTTTTATACTGTTAAAGAAAAGACTGTGTTAATACCTTATACAATATGCTTACATAAGGTATGGTATGATTAGTGTTAATTAATTTGACATATTATAAATCTATTTCCATTTCATACATTTGATTAATGACATTATTTCATGAGAAATATACTATACACTGTATTAAATATCCAGTGAAAGTAAGTTATTGTAGTATCTTATAGTTAGTATATGAATTGAAAATAAGTTTAAAATGTAATAAAATCTAGTACCTTAATTTATGTGTCATATTGTGCATTGATAGATTTTTTTTGTCATACCTATTATTTATTTGAATTATAAAAAAAATAAAATTAGAGCCAAATAAAAAAATTATAAATATTACCTATGTACTTTTGAATTTTAAATTAAATAATTATTTGTAATTATTAATGTGTTAATAAATTAACTATGTAAAACAAGTTATGGTTTTTAAAACTGATATATATATATATATATATATATATATAATATAACCTTCCATCAGGTGCACGGTTTTCAGTCACATTTAAATTTAAATCAAGTGCAACTTAGGTAAATTTCAGTTCAAGTCACACCACTAAATATGACTGGGGTAAATTTTAACCCTTTGGGCCGTACCTAGTGTTAATTAAATTATCTTACCTGTATCCAACTCATTATTAGACGAAGAATCAGTCGGAGGTTTGTCATGTAAATGCAGGTACACTTGGATTGCGCATCGTGCCACTCGGAAATAAAATGGATGTGATCTCAAAACATCTTCAAGTCTCAATAAACTCACATAAGACCTTAATGTCATTTTACGCATACAATAAGTGTGGAAATCGAACTGATCGTCAATAATTTCGGTGAAATGCTATAAAAAAAAAAAAAAATCAGCTGCTGTTTTTATGCATAATATTGCTTGTATGCAATATTAAAATGACATTAAACATTAGGTTTTTGGGTCTTAATTATTGGTTTCATACTCATTATAAATTAAAAGTAATAAAGTGTGTTTTTACCCTATCAACTTCATGACATTTCTTTAAACTTTCACCCCATTTTCCAAGTTGTTGATAAGATAAGGCACATTCCGTTTGGAACCACATACATTGCATTTCATTTAGATTTTCCATAGGTGAAACTCCTTCCTAAAATACAAAATACATACAAATTAACTTAAAGCTCAAATTAGTGTTAAAATACTTTCTATAATGGACTTTTAAAATAATTAAAAATTAACAAACAATTATCACTAAATTTGCACACAGAACAAAATAATTTTCATTTCGTTCCCATGTATTTTCATTAATCTCTATTTGTTACACATAATTTGTTTTATAACTTATTTACTATTCAATATACCTAGTTGTATGTGCAAATAATTTCTAAAAAATAAAACATTAGCCATTATTTTTGTCAGTCCAGTCTTGTATATATATAAGACTAAAAATAATAGCTAATGTTTTATTTTTTAGAAATGATTTGCACATACAACTAGGTATATTATATATATATTATATATATATATGAAATTTAAAGTATTTGATTAATATTTATAATTTTAACATTAAAAATGTTTTTAAATTTTAGTGTATACTATATATATATAAGACAGAATAACAACAAGAATTGTTTAAAAATCTATGTTTGTAATTTCTAAACAATAAATAGTATACACTAAAATTTAAAAACATTTTTAATGTTAAAATTATAAATATTAATCAAATACTTTAAATTTTTAACAAAGATTCTAACAGTATATATTACCCTTGTAAATTTAGAACATGTGTCTTCTGCTTCTTTAATGAGATTTGCTCGAAGCATATATTTGGCACACTTTGAATTAATATATCTATCGGCAGTATCTAATCCTTGTGCTTCATCTAGCCATTTGTATGCTTCGTAAACATCACCGGCGTGCTAGTTTTAAGATAAGGAAATTACGTTTAGCAAAATACAATTTCATTTCAAAATAAATAAAAAAGTTAGTTTGTCAATTTAGTAAACACCAACCTTAAATATCCTTCCTTTAGTGACAAAAAGTTCAATTAAAGTCGGAGTATGTGCTATAGCCATATCAATGTATGTTAATGCCTTTTGCATATCATTAAGGTAGTCATAATGTTGAGCTAGATAATGGTACACCCATAATAATGCAGAAGCCGGTTCTTTACTAGATGTGTCTAGGCAATAGATACAGATATTTAAAACAATGTCATTTATAGAAAACAATATAAATATTACCATCACTATCAAATGAGCTGAATTTAGTTAAATTATTTACATATGATTCTAATAATTCTTCAATTATTTGTACTTTGTGTTTATCTTTATACAAAGATCGTAAGTCTACAAATAGAGGAGGAACACCTTTGTGGAAACCAGCTCTTAAGTATAAATCTACTTCACTTCGGAATGATTCACCTAGAAACAAACCAAATAAAAACTTATATATATATATATATATATAAGTAATACAAGAATTCTAAAAATATAATAATAAATAATACTACCAGAAAAATATAATCCAAACATCTCTTTTTTTTTTTAATTATTAGTTTCTACTAGACTCTAAATAAACTAAAATAAAATACAATTATTATGTAGAAAGTGTTATTTACCTGAAGCAAAAGTTAAACATAACCGTTTAGGAGCTAATGCTTTAGGGAATTTCTTCCTATAAGCACAAAGCATGGAATAAACACATTCATCATTCTTCAATTGTTTCGCTTCTTTTATTTTCAAATAATACATTGTATTTTCTTGATTTCGTCTGAGTAACTTTTCATAACATAATGTAGCTAGTTGGTATTCTTTTATTTGTAAATATAAGGATCCTTAATAAAATAAATTGTATTAATACATGGTTGAATATGAACTATAATAGATGTATTTAACATTAACTTAAACATTGTTATATGTTAAGCAGAGATTACACTAGACGAGTAAATAAACTTGCAACTTAAAGGCAAGTTAACTCATAAGGGAGTAAGCATATTGCAACTTACTGAGCAAAGTTATTACATTACAGAAGTTAAAACTTGTGAACTCGCTCGTCTGCTTGGCAGAGTAGGAATTTTATATCACTACATACATACTACATGCAGCAATTTTACTAGCCATGTCGATTACACAGTACACACAGCGATTAAAATATCTAATGAGTGGCGAGAGTAGCCTGGTTGTAAACTTCACTCTCTAGGATACACGTGAGTAATCAACTTTCTGTGTGTTGATGCAACAGTCTATTACATTGAGCAAGTATGGTAGCAACGAGTGAATTTGTGGGCAAGAAGCTATTATATTTGGCTAGTGTAATCAACTCGTTAGTGATAAAAGTATCTATTATATCCTACCATAGATTTCCAAGACGGTTAATTTGTCAAAAATATTTTCTTTATACATGTCTAAATGTTTAATTGCATCCAATATGCCACCAGACTCTTGAACGACCATATTTTGATATAAGAGAAGCTCGCTATATTCAAAATCAAATGGTGCCTAAAAAAATATAGAGTAAACGTATTAATTGATAAATTACTCTTCTAATATCAAGTATTATTCACACTAAATAAATAGAGAAGTTAGAACTTTAATTTAACTTGCCTATTCGCCTATTATTTTTTTATGTAAAAGTAATGGGCAAATGGGCTCACAATGTTGGAAAAGTTATAAATTAATATAAAAAATATGTAAACATTGACTTACTGAAACCATTTGAGTTTTTCTAAATGTTTCCAAAATTTTCAAAGCCATATCAAAATCACTCAATAAATGATAGGCCATTGCATAACCAATCCAAGATGCTCTTTGAGTTGGTCTCAACATGAATAATTGATATCTTGTGTCCTAAAATAAAATCAATCATTCATTCATTCATTATCAACTTAGTTGGTTACACATAAATTAAATTAACACATACATAATATTAAGTAAATTACATTTAACAAGTTTAAAAAAAAAAAAAATATGCTTGATACAATAATAATTATTACAATAAAACATAGGTAAAAATTAAAATATAAATAAACAAAGTAATAATCAGATAAAATAAGACAGCGTGTTTAGTTACCCGATAACCTTCTAAATCTCTCATTTGTATTTGTAATAATGATAAATCTCTCAAAATTTGTATATTGTCTTTTTCCCATTTCAGAGCATTTCTATAACATTTAATAGCCTCATCATACCTGAAAACAAAATAAATATTTTTTTGGAAAATAATATATTAGTCATTTAAATAATGCATAACGGAAACATATCAATGTTATTTTAGTAAAATTGAAGTAAGAATCACTTTAAGTACTTTTTATCGGATCTTTGCAATAAACCATACACATGCCAACAAACATGTGAAGTGAGGTCATTTCGAAGACCTCGCCGAACGTGTTCATATGCTTCTTCTTTACGACCAAGGAAATTTAAAGTAAGTCCTTTCATAGCCAGTGTTTCTATAACAATTGCATTACAATTTTTCAATTCCAGTTTAATTATTGAATAATAGACAATTAGTCATGTTTTACCTCCATGTTCTGAAAACTTAGGGTTTGAAAGAATTTGTTTTGCAAATTTCAATCCATTCTTGTACTGTTTCTGTTCATAACATCTCTATAACAACACGTTTCTTTCAGTTAATAATTTAATGACTGTAAATTGAAGGGTTTTAGCAGTAAACATTAAGTAATTTATAAGCTTGATTATAAAATATTCACTTTAAAAAAACTTTTTATAAGAATTGGTTTAAAATTAAAAATATTAAAACAACTCACTAAAATTCTTTTGAATAATGAATTTTCCTTGGGCGGTAAAGGTTGGCCCGACGGCATTTTCTTATTTTACTATTAAACTATTTATTATTCCTGACAACAACAAGTTTTCAATATTACAGAAACTTAGAATAAATACTTCTCTAGTAACTCGAGAAAGATGATCCTCGTGAGAATTTCCATCACTCTTCTCGAGAAATCATAAATACTGATGATCCTGAAGTTAGAAACATATTTGATTTTATGATAAATAATGTACTTACAATGTCTTTGATATGCAACCTCTACCGAAATACCTACCGATGTACAGAACGATAAACAACTAAACACATCGGTATTAGCTTTATTTATATTTATATAATTGTATTTAATATTTATGTATTGTATGAATAAAATATAGTAAACGCGTAATTTTACGAACTATTTCATGTACTTACTAAATTGTATTTTGACCAATTACTTAATTTTCTTTTTATTACTATTGGCTACAACTTCAATAGTAAACATAACCGCCAAATTCTGAGCTCGACGCCGGTCTGTGAACCTATAGGATAATTTTGTACGGATAGATGTATAGATCATTGATTAATAATGTATGGTTCGATTAAATAGGTACAAAAATTAAAAACCAGCGTAACTTAGAGAAGCAGTTAAGATAGCTACTATTAATTTTGTCTATACTACTATCTATTTAAAATTTTAAAATCACTGATAATATTAAGACTCGAAAAAATAAAACATAATATTATTATTTATGTGTAATATATATTTATTTATTTATGTATAATTTATATTTATTTAATTATATATAAAAAGATTAACGCATAGGCCAAGCAGGATTGGGTATAGGGGCACCTTAATTTTGAATCGTACAATGGGCATTGGGCACTGAGTCGACGTATGTTTGGCGTAAGACTGTAACTACCAAATTTACACCCCCCTGCAAAAACTGTTCAATAATAAATGTAAACATTTTTTCGGCTTCATGCCCGTTTAAATCTTAGAATTCGCGACGCCCACAACTCCGCAATGTACGCTTTTCTAAAATAGACAGTTTAACATGTTTAAGAACAAGAAAAAAAGCTTATATTATTCTTAAAAAATTGGTGTACAATTATTCGAATTAAAAAAAATTGTTGAATTAAATAATACAATTAAAAAATACGTTTATTTATTCAAATAAAGAATTATTCAAAACGGCGAATAATTCGAGTTACTTATTTAATTTACGATACAATTTGTTTTAAAATTAAATAACGAAAATAATCCATTTTGGGGGGCGGGGGTTGCCGATACATAACTGAAATTCTATCCAAATATTATGTACGATCTAAGACTGAATATCCTGTGATTTTTTAGTCATGAATTTTGTAATCTAGATCTATTAGAGTAATTAGTATATCCTATTACATTACATTTGTTTAGGTTTGTACAACAAAATCAAACATCTAACGTGAGGGCAAAACCTAGTTTTTTTTCATGAACAAAAAGATAATAATAATAAAAGCGCCATTATATCTACAGGGCCTATTGACGCTGAATTTCTCAAATATTTACCATTGATTATAAATGACATTACCATTGCTTGTATAGTTAATAAGTTCTGATAAAATATAAAAACTCTTGCTTCTACCTTTAACTCACATTCCATTTTATTATTTTAGTGCAAATGGAATAATATTTTGTACAATTTAAACTATACTTTTTTAACACAGCTTTTTCATAGTGCTTTTTAGAGGTACCTAACTAATTAGTATACATTGTCACATAACTTCCTATTTGCACAATTTTTCTATTTTAAGTTTCAATATCATAGTTTTCCAAAACTTGATATAAAACTAATAGCGTATATTTTTTTACAGAATTAACTATTCATATGTTGTCATTTGTTAATTTATTTTTTAAAAGAATTCATACCTGTGAATTTAATATTTATATAATTTATTACTTATATATTTTTTTCTATAGCCTTAACTAATATATACTAAAAGTGTTTGCTAATTAATTGAATTAAGTTTTAATGATTTTTTTTTATAAAGATAAGAAATTTAGTTCACAATTCATAATGTGTGTATAATATGCTACGGTAGATGTTATAGATTATAGCAGAAAATTGATTACACAATAACACTGTATTATTAAAAAAAATAAAAGTACAATTAATGTATATACGTCAATAGATATGTTCTTTATAAGCAATAAGTAAGTTACGGTTACGTATGGAAGGTATTAAAAAACAAAAATACTACATTAAATAAATGTGGTCTAGTAAGAGTTTTTTCATTTAAATATATAATAGTTAAGAGCATGATAAACAATTTGAAAATTTTATTTTTCAAAGATATTTTTCTGAATCCTGCATCGAAATGAAAATTAAATATTGTGTTGGTTATGTTTTGACCTAATTGCTATTTTTATTTAATACAATTTAAAAAAAGCAAATTGACTTTATATTATCTCATTACATAATCAAATTAATAAGATAACATAAGTTATAATGCATTCAGTATTACTATTATGATGATTTTATAAGAATTGTGCCCACTGTATCATGAAAATTTTCGTACAAAATAATTTCTATTATTAATACATTTTTTTTTCAAAATACTAAAATAATAAAGGAAGTCTTTAGAGAGAGCTTTCCTTACTAAACTACTAATAAGGTGATTAGATACATAAAGAATTGTACATACAAATTATTTCATACATATATTTATTATTTTCAAGCAAATACATAAAACTGATTATGTATTATTTAGATTTTAGAGTATATCAACACTTTAAACATATTAAATCAGTACTATTTATTATATAATAAATTAAAAAGACTGAATGAATAACTCATTACTTAAAAACTAACAAATTCAACTAAAACATTTGAATTCACTAACTATAAATATAAATCGTATAATTTTTTTTTTTTGAATTGACTAGAATGTATAGAACTGTTTTATAAGTACAAAAAATATTGTACTAATAATACAATAAGGAGGAACCAATAAAATAATGTTTCAGATAATGGAATGCTTTAAATACCTACACAACACACTCAAGATATGAAAATTAAATCTCGTTCAAACTATCTCTCCATCTAAATGCTTATTTTTTTTCTTTTCGCTCATTCACATCAATAATAGATAGATTTATGCTGGCTACATAGCAATGCAGTAATGATATTCCGGTTTTGACAATCATGATTGGAAATGAAATCAAACACAATAACTTGAAAAGGCCATGTCCAGCAACTAAAAATAAAAATTTGTTTAAATAAAAAGTTAGTTTTTAATTTGAAAAAACTTTATAATTTATACTTACTTAATGGGCCTGTTACAAAATGAGCCAAGTATAATGATGCGAAAAATAATTCATTACCAAGACACATAAAAAACAACACAGGTTTTGATGTATAATAACATCTCATGATTGGATTTTCAGACATGTCAACAAATTTATGTGTAGTTTTGCCTTGCAAAATTGATCTATAAAATAATTTTTGAAAAAATTGCATTTTATTATTTTGTTCAATTAGTAATAATAGTTCTTACGAGTGCAAATAGATCCAATGGCATGAAATATCAATAATACAGCTGAGTTGGAATAAGAACATATATTTTGGATAGAAGTTTGATAGTGCAATACACAAGCCCAATGTTCCACAGCGATCAGTAAGTTGATCAAGAATTGCTCCAAACTTGGTACCTAAGATAAATGATCGAATACAATTGCTTAAAACTGAAGATAAGTTAATATTTTAATGAGTTATAATCATTAGTATGCCAACAATGTGAGCATATTATTTGCATGTTGAGGCATTGCCTATTTATACTATACTTAATCTATAATAAAATTAATTGAACTTTTCTAATTTCTATATTAGTCCAAAACTCTAGGTAGCGCTATGGGATATGAAAATTGTAATGTTACATTGATCAAACTGTGGTGGAGGAGAGGTACATTATCAAAGCTATAAGGCTTTTCTCTACCCAATCCCTGTAGTTATACTTGTGATTCCCACAGATATAACTAGGTCATTAAACCCAGAGAAGCTTATAGCCCAAGAAATTTTTTTTATTACTTGAAAATAATTAATAAACATTTGTTTGATTTTTAAAGAAAAAAAGCTTAGATTTTAACTAAATTAACCATCATGATAGGTATAAAATATTTAAAGATTATACAAGTAGGGCATATTGTTTAAAATAAATACAATTTGCCACATTTATGCGCCTTTGCTTAATAAACATCATCAATTATAAGCTGCTATTATTTTTAGTTTTTAATAGCCAAAAAAATTGTCATTATGCTAGTCTCGCCTTGCTTCGCTACCTTCTCTCATGTACTTTATATTGCGTCAAAAAACCAACAAGGTGTGGAACAACTGTGTGGCAAGACAAGGAAGTGAATGCACCCCATTATACTAGCAATAGATTTTTGAAACTTTTAAATTTTTATAATGTTTTGTTTCTAATAGTTTGAAAGATACAGCAAAGGGTGATAGGGCAATACTACCATTTATTCTGTCAAATCGCCACATAAGAAATAAAATATCCTATATTTTGAAAAGTTGATCGTAAGGTTTATTTATTCGTATGGTACAACTCTTCCAAACAATCGTTACATTTAATTGATAAAGCCTTTTCATTCTAGAACAACATAACAATGTTACCTAATTAAAAAACCAACTCACTTTGATTGAATGCCCGAGCAGCATGACCATCAAAAGCATCTAATAGTGCACTTACAACATAACAAGTACATGCTATTTTATAGTTGGTTGGCATAAAGTATATTGATATCAGTGCAAGTATTATTCTGGTGTACCCTGTGAATCATATAAATAGTATAATCTATGTAGTGTACAGTCTATAAAGAAACAAATTATGTAATTCATAATCATACAGAAATGCAAGTTGCAACGAACTTACCAATTATATTTGGTACAAATAAAAATATGTTTTCTTGTTTAGTACTCATCGTTAGTTTATAGTTAATCAAATATTAGCTCCTGCGAATTAATTAAATAGTATGGTTGTCTGTAATAATATACTAATCGCAATAACGCTCAACTATTACGGCGTATTACACAAACGACTTACAAATTAAATTATATTATGAATGTAGCTTTACAACAATATACGTAATGGATTACGTAATATGTATTTGTTTGACGTCCCTGCAAAGGGTACTGGATAGCCTATGTTGACGAAGTGACAACTGTGACAAGTGAAAACAATAAAGCATTTGATAATTGATAAGAGATAACACGCTACAGCCCACGCAATTGTGGTAAAACGAGGAAACTATATTTCCCACGACACAATTTGTTACGTTAAAAAAATCAAACCGTTTTGCGCAATTTCATTCTTATCGTCCTTTTTCTGAGATTTTTTTTTAAAATTTTATTTAATCATTGATTAAATTATACATTATTGTAGTAACAGTCAACACTCAACATAGCCCGTATTAGTAGGGAGAGGCAGGCTTCATTAGACTCAGGCAGTCCAGTGGCACAATTAGCTTTAAATTGTCGCCAAACCTCATAGGTAGGCCAGGCTTTAGCAATCAACGAAATAGTGTACAAAATAAAGGTAGTTCTCCCGCAAAATTAAAATATTTTATTAAATTTTAAGTAAACATATTTTGTTTAGCTTGTAACAATAATTATTATAATTTATAAAAAACTATTGTTACAAGTCAACCGGCTTTTAAATACTTTAAATATTTTAAATTACTTATTTATTATTATATACTATTGAGATTTGAGTCCCCTCAAGCCTTCTAGACTAGATAGTACCTAATATTAATGATAAATTTGTATAGATAGTAGTGATAATTTTTTCATGTATATAAATATGAATTGTACTCCTAATGAATATTAAAATCTAATAATACTGCAGACGATGACGTTTACATGTTTTATTATTTTATATATAAGTCACCAATTTCTAAAAAACGATAGTACTTCTATTATGTGAACTTAATTAAACAATAAGTCTAGAGTAAAATCTAAAAATAATCTATTGATATTACAATTATAATTTAACTTTGGAGGTAAATAAAAAATTAATTGAGTTATTATGCCTTAATTCACTATACACTATAGTACACTATGCACTTTTGCTGTTGAGCATTCTTATTATAACTGTTTTCTTAAAACAACTGGCCACAAAGATAATAATTTATCATAATTAATTTACTAGATATACTATAAGAATATATCCTCATGAACATGCTTATATAATGATTTAATAACTGTTGGGATTTCGTAAACTTATATAATACCTATACCGAATTACAATTGTACAGTATAAAACACATTTCTTATTAGGTACCTAATGAATTAATTGAACTTGGCCTATATTTCAGTTATTTATTAACATTATTTTAATAATTAATATATGCAATAGCTCTTTTGCGTAAATACCTACTAAATAAGTATTCGGTAATTAATATCATTGAAGCTTGTAATAATTATTACTAACTACCTATTGACAGTATTTGATTATTAATTGTTATTTTTATTATTAAGAAGTAATTACCAACAATAAGTGAAATAAGTATTATTCGTAGAATACTTATGAAATGTATCCCACGTTCTATATATATAAAAAAAATTAATAACCAGATTTAAAAAAATAAATATTTATCTAGTAGAAAAAAAAAATTGTTTTGTTTACAATCAATTATGCCGTACTAACATATTAAATTTAGTTTACGACTCAAGCGATTTTTTTCAAAGTATTTGTTTTTCACGCTGAACACGACAAAATATATTATGGTGTTTCAAGTTATATCCAATACACCACGTAAAATGTGCAATCGCATGACCAACAAATTATATACCTAGTCAATCAATTATAATTATTGTGATAAAATAGGGACACAATAAATCGATAGTTGAAATAGCTAAATATGTATATAGTTGGGCCGACTAAATTTTTAGTTAATCAGCTATACTGTAACTATACTGATTGTATTTAAATTTTAACTACGTGTTTTTTCCATTTGTACGTTTCAAAAATGAACTTATTTCCATTTTATTCTTTAAAATATATATGTGTTCTTTGCACTTTAAACATCGATAAAATTAGAATTGATCTAGCTGACATATTTTTAGCTATTAATTTGACAAAAAATACAGTTTGTTTAAAATATTTTGCTATATAAATAATAAATTACAGGTATTGACCAGTTTGAATTAATATTTAAGTAAAGTTTCGTCGATAATACAAAATAAACCAACTAACAAATTTGTGGCCATTGATGCCGTCGCTTAAAAAAATAAAATAAAAACCATCCACGGATAGACAATATGAACTCTAGAGACTAGAATGATTAAATACGTGTAAAAAATACAGCATTTAATATTCAGTGGTTGTCCATTGCCGCCCACAATCAGCCTATTATTAATTACTCTTCATTTTATTTTTCTATTTACAACGTATATTTAATCTCCCCCACATGGTTGTTATTTTAGCAACATAAACTTGCCTAAGTATGGAACGTAACTATTTTTTTTTTTTATAGAAGTGACCAAACACAAGACCCATGCGTACTTCATTCCAAAAAGAATTAAGTGTTTTAATTCAACTAACAAAATCTGTTTATTTTTAACTTTTAAGTTTTTTGTTGACGCAACAACAGTCATTACTCATTATACCATACGTATCAGAGAAGTATTATCATCAATACTCACAGCTATTTCTATATTAAAGTTTAGGCCCTCTAAGTACTAAATTGTGAATCACAGCACCGGATCAACCACAGAATAGTGAATAGATTAGGACATTAGGTAAGTCGCCGTTGTGAGTTGTGTGACTCGTGAACCGCCCACAAAAGTTGACCGGTTTTGGTTTATGATAAAGATTGAAGATAGTCTTGTTATCACTACCGGTAACGGCGGTAACAGTGGTTCCCACGTTCGCATTGGCTACACTGAAATGGGCAATTTTTTTTTCATTTATTTTTTTACTCCGGTCTCCGCCCCGACCATAGTCGTGACTCGTGAGCGGTGAGTCGCAACTCGCGTCTCGCAGGACGGCCGACGGACACCACTACCGTACTAACGCGACACTGTGAATACAGTCGGATTTTTTTTTTACCCACACTATTTTAATGAAAATAAAAAAACACACACATATATATATAAATAAATATACACACGCATATATATACATATATTATAAATATAACGTTTTCTCAGTCGCTCCGCCTGTGTGTATGCGTATTGTATTATAAACTCCGAGTCCACCGGAAACACACGGACGACCACTGCGGTTGTACTCATCGCTCAGTAGGTCTTCTCGTTACGACGAATTCGCCATAAACAGGCGCGAGCGTTTGTCGTCGTCGTCGTCGTCACCGCTGCCGCCTCCGCCGTTCGACCAGCAACCAGCCACATCCCGTATCGTCGGGGCACCGATACGTTTCTCGCCGGTACGGAAAAAAATATAATGGCACATCGTTTAACCGACACCGCCGTCCGCGAAAATCCGTAGTCACGCCGTATCTGCACCGCCTCCCCGATTTAGTAGTAGGTGGTCGTTAGTAAATTCCTATACTTTTAGTGTGTGTACTTTAATAGTTAAAGAAAAAAAAAATCTACAATTTATAGCTGGTGTTTGGGCATAAATCGATTTTTAGTTAAATTTTGCCGTTATCACTATACACACAACAATACTTCAACGGCGGCCGCGGGTCGTGACTTTCGGACACCGACGACGACCTGTGACATTAAAATGACCGGTTCGTTTCCCGCCGCCTGGTTCCTGTCTAAAATCGCCACCACCGTCGCCGTCAAGTCGTTGCCCGTGGGAACAACATACAATTTTATCGCGTAGAAAAAAAAAAATTAAAATATCTCTCGGTGTTCTTCCCCCGGGACTCCAGAGCCGTCGCCGTAATGGCATCATTGTCGCAGCCCAAATTTGAGCCAAAGGCGCCCGACAAAAGCTCGTCGGCCTCGTGCGGCGGTGACGACGACGGCACGACCATCGCCAATAAAACGGCGGCCGTCGCCGCCGACAAGAATTTTCAGGATTCCGCTGCCGACTGTTCGAACGTGAGTATACACAAATTTATTTTTATTCAATTACATGACAGTCGGAACTCGGAGATACTCGTTCTCGTTTGGCCATAATAAAACTTAAATTTCATAATTCCTCGACCTAACCTATTTAAGATTTTTGTGTTATGTTGTTGATGATAATAGACCTTAGGTATAAATAATGAGTAATCAATTTTCAATATCAAAAGTGCAGTGTGATTGTATATGTACGTGTGTGTGTATTTGTATGCGAGTGCGAGCAAGTGTCACAATGCGCTCGTAGTTAAATGTGTGTTTTTAATTTGTCTGTACTTCAAATAGTAATAATATTAAACTGCCGGCTTACCTCATCATTGTCTGGGTATTTTTCTTGTTTTTTTTATTTAAAGTATTGATATTATATTTTTTAGGTATGTTCATGCCCTTTTAAAATCATAAGGTCACACATTATTTTTGTTATCTATACCTGTATGTTCATTTTTTTTATCTTTGTTTTTTTTAGAATAACAAGTCAAAATCTCTATCACTGGATTTATCAAATTTGAACACTGCTAGTTTCAAGTCTTTGCTTGAAGAAGTAGTCGCTTATGATACAGCAAAGCAGACCAAAAGTGAACTGTACAATGTATGTAAAGCATTTCCATATCATTATAACCTAACTATTCTTTTTTTGAGTTTGGGTACCTACTTATATTTTAAATATTACAATGTGAATTAGTTAAGGAACCAATTTACTTTTTATATATTTTTTGCCATCTTGTAGTGATTTACAATTATTACAAATCTGTAGTCGGAGGTCCGCGGTTTCCTCCAGTTCAAAAGTTATAGCTACTTGAACATATTTGTATTACTGCATTATAACCACTATTATAAGCAACTTTGTTGTGTTATCAAGCAGTTTACTGTACTTTCCAATCGCATCTCTGACTGCTGCAGTTCGCTATAACTGGATGGTGTAGAACACCACTAACGTTTTGCGTAATGATAATTGTCATAGTTCAAGTAGCTATATTTAATATTTTTGACCTAGATGAGTCCATGGATTTCTGACTTCAGATTCGTAATCGGTATAAAAAAACCCTAGAAGATAGCAATATAAAGGTGTCCGGTGCCTTTATATCATATTTTAGTTCAATGAGTTTAGAGCCTTAACATTTTTTATATTATCTACATACTTTAATCATTAATTACTTCTGGTATCAATGTATGTATAATAGATGTAGACATAAATAATTATATCTAATGATTATGTCTAATGATTAGCTGTTATTTTAAATAATATTTTACTTCTATTTATGTAAGTAATGGTAGTATTTAAATACCTAATAGTTTACTAGAAATATTTTTCAGAATGATCATAGTTTTGATTTACAATAAAATATTGAGATTTTTATCAAGTTTAAACTCGTTTTGTTTGAGTTCAAATACATTTCAAGAAAAAGTTATTTATTTTTTTATATTTGTAGTTACCGACTTATTTATTAAATTGCCTAGGGTTTACTCCGATGTTTTAAAATATATATTTAGTGATATAATACCTAAATTGAAATTTGTGTTGCTTATTATTTTTCTACTTTTAAGTGTCAAAAGAAAGAATATATTTATTATTTTTTATGAACATAATACTAAAATAACGATAAATATAAATTATGGTTTTATCAATCGTTCATCCAACGACTAAAGTATTAATAATGAGAATTAATTATTTTTTTAATTAAAAATAGTTTATAAAAAAATACAATTTTTTTATATATTAGTTGAAGAAAAAAAAACATCCTATACTTTGCCCCATGTAAGAAAGGCATGACAAAATTTGGTCCGTCTAGCACTTTGGCTAATTCTCCTTCAGTGCGCAACACGGCTTACGGCTATCGGACAACATTGTCGTCAGTATTCATTAACAATCAGGCATGTTGAGGTGGTTTGTCTGGTTCGACAGTGCAAGAGGCCTCAGTCGAGATGCACAAAACGCTGCCTTTCTTACACGGGACAGAGAATAGAAATCAATTGATATTGAAGTAAAATAATAATTAGTAACTCACTAGTTTTAGTCCTACCTTATAATAATCTTACGTACAAGTCATTGAATGTATTTAATAATTTGAAATCAATTTTTAATATTGCATAGTCTATGTTACAGAATTTGTTGGAGGATGTAACTCAAAATGGTGAAGATGATGTTAAGCGACCGTTGCATAACCAACGTTTAGTTGATAGTCAGACTGATTTGGATAAATTGATATCTAAAGAACAACACGTTAAGGAAAACTCTTCTCTTGAAGCTTTTGACCTAGCACCCGATTTTAAGAAGCGACTATCTAGTGCTACTACTAAAGTAAGTGCTCGTCAACTAGAAGGTGGCTCATTGCCAAGTCATGTTAACCATGCACAAGCACTGTCATTATTATTAAACAAAAAAAATACTCAAAACCAACGCAAAAAGATTGCGGAATCATCAAAAATGGCTAAAAGTGTAGATCTTGGAAAAGTTGTTGATCTTGGAGATCCAGGATATGAACAAATTGATAGAAAAGATATGTCAAATTATACTAGTCATGCAAGCTTGGAAATATGTTCGGCTAAAGAAGAGACTAAGGTTGATGAACGTTTTACAACGCCATTGTTATGCAAGGTAACAACTTTTATTAAAGTGTTATAGTATTTCTAAAGTAAATTATTTTGGGGGGCCATAGTGGGGCTATGTTGATTAAGTCGGCAGTGCTAACTCGTACTGTCAATCGTTTGAATTTTACCGCAGGCGGTCTATTTCTCAGAGTAGGCAAGTGTTTAGATAATTAGACCATCTCCTCTCTGTAATGGCAAACACAAATACTGCCAATTAGGCAGCCTAACAAGGCGTCTAGTCTACTTCACATCAACAGTTCCAATTTGTATTTATTTTACTACCTAGTTGTGTGAGTGTGATATTATAATTATGTCATTGATATAAGGTGACATAGTGCACAGGCGACTCAGTGCATTTTTATTTTATTTTATGACTTGAAAATTTAAAATTCTATTTGTTCATATAATTAATGAACCTTATGATTTGGCCTATAGAATCAAACATTTTAATCTTCCCAATATAAAGTATAAAATGTGTGGTCAGTAGCATTAATTAAAAAATATGTACAAATAACAGTGCTAAAACAACACCTGCAACTGATTTTATGCGGGTTTGTCGCTATCAAGTGATACTCTTGTCACAGTTTATAAACAGGTGGGTGGAATCTTCTTTTAATAGCGTGAAACCTGCATATTTTAAAATTGATGCTCTTTATAAGGTACCTATAGGTATCTATTGTTGCACATAACTCAATTTCTAACAATAAAATCTATTCATCACAACTCTGCACTAAGCCATCAATATAAAATTAACACAATTGTTGATGGGTGACCTAAATTTTAACTGCAGCCACTATATATATAATCAAAACCCATCCAATCAACCAACCAAAAATCACAAACCAACTAGCTTATAGTCAGAGTTGTCAAAACTTTTAAAAAAAAAAAGACAGAAAGTTATATTTTGCGTTCATTTAATATTTAGTAATTTATTATCTATTACTATTAATTTACAGCAATCAAGTCAAAATTATGATGACCATGATGCATATATGGAAATTGATGCTTCGCCATATTCTAAAGATTCCAAAGAAGGAGTAACTAAAGGTAAATTTAGTTTTAACAAATTAAAATTAAATTTTATTTTATGTTTGCTTTAAAAAAAATAGTAGTGTTATTTTTGCATAGTTCTGATGTTTTCTGCTTAATTAGTTTTGTAGTGTTAAATAAAATGATTTGGTATGTTTCAAACAGAAAAAATAAATTTAATCTATAATATATAATTAATTGTGCTTTTATTTTGTGTTTTTTATAGTATTATTTAAAAAAAAAAGATTTAATTTGGTTATTCTGATATAGATTTAGGGACAATTGATGGGCTTGGAAATAATCAGATAAATCAGATAAAACTGTCCAGGATGATTAAAAGAAAATTCTTTATCCCATTTACTACAATGGGCAGAAAAAAATATGTTGTGTAGTATCTTTGTAAGTAATACTCCAATTTAACTGGTTTTTAAACATAATAATAAACATTTTTCTACTAAAATTTTGTTTGAAAAAAATGGACTTACCTGGTTGTTGCTCCAAGCCCTTCAATTGACCAATATTATAATCAATGAAACATTTTTATAGCAAGTTAGTTATTTATAATAAAATTATGTTTTTATTTTATTTATTAATTATTTGTTCTAACAATTAATTTAAGTATGTTAACATACTGCAAAATTTAAATATATTTTTGTTTGATTTTTAATTATTACATGGAGTAAACTTATAAATTTAGTTAAAATTCATCTGCATGGGTAAGTGTTTACAATTAAAAATCAATAGCTTTTTTATTTTTATGTTGCAACACACATTTTAATAACAAGCGGTGTTACTAGTTGGTTAATGGCACAAATACCTGATACCTAAAATACCTAATAAAATATTTTATCTATAATATCAGAATCAAATATGACTAAAATGTAGTCTTGATTTTTTATAAAAAAAATTGTCATTTACTATATTAGTTATAGTTTTATGACATGAATTTCAGTAGTTATTTTATTCCTTATTATTAATGTCATAGGTATAGGATAATAAAAATCAAGAATAACTCTTACTATTTGGATACTCTTATAATTTTTTGCTTTTATGCTAGACTTTTTCTTTTAATATCTGTTAAAACTAATTTGTTTAATCTACTAATTACTAAAAATACAGGCACAATTAATTATTTTATTAAACCAAATTATTAAATCAATTTTCACACGTTTTTATAATAATCAATTTATATGTAAATAATACCTAATTTTATTAACATTTTTGTGCATCAAAGACTTGCTATCAATTAGTTCCTCTTATTATCTAGTTCAAAATAATAAGATTGGAGTGAGTGGTGTTGTCTTTGTTTAATTATCTAACTTTTTACTTTAAAGCAGTAAGCAGAATATTCCTTGTTTTTTGTTTTTCATTTTTAATTGGCATGCTTTTTATATTCTATTTGGAAGTATTGCCACGGACATCAGGTGAGGGCGATCAAGATGGAAAAAACTGTTTACATCAGCCAACTACAGTGGTAACGGATTTTAATAAAGACACGCAAGTGATAGACCATCGTTTGTTACATCTATTTGGCAGCCAAAATAATTGCTATCAAAATCCGTATAACGGATATACGTCACCAATGAGTTTCCATTTCTTAACACCGAATGGTAACTTGTATTTCACTTTAATTACTTCCATTCTATATTTAATTTTGCCTACAAATATTTCTTAGTATTACCAAAAAAAATATTAAAAATTGACTTATAAACATAATAATATGTGTTTCACTTCCATAAAGTTTTATCTAATGATAGTACCTAAACTAAAAATTCACAAGATAAGAATATAATATTTTTATTTGATAAGTGTGTTTTAATTAAATTAAAAATATATTTTTTAATAATAAATATGTTAATTCTATGTTATTTAATAATACATTTCATTTTACAGAAAATATACTATTGAATTTTTTTTTATTGATAAAATATTAGATATGTAGAATAAAAAAAATATTTATGTATTAAAACAAGCTAGAAAGACGGTAGAGAATGTAAATAATATCCTTTCATCAATTATTAAGATTTATAAATAAATCTTTAAATTTTTAAACTAGAAACATCTAAAAAAACCATTAGATTTTATAGGGAGATGCATGTTACATCATCCATTCATATAAAAATCATAGGCTAGGTGTACACCCTTAAGACAATAGAAAACCTAGACGAAATAATTTGTTACTGTTTTTTGTATGTGCACAGTATGACTTATTCTAAGAAAGAGAATCCTAAGAATTTTTCATGGCTTTATATAACTGCAGTGTGTCTTACTTGTTTGCTTAAAATAGTTAGACATATAAATAATGTAAAAAGTTTTACAGACTTTTAGCAAATTTATTTCTAGTTACATATTTACATGTATATTGTATGTTAAACCAAACGCAAAACAATCATTATTTTCCTTATTGCTGCTAGTTTCAAACTTGTAAAGTCCTATAGGCTAGGTAAGCACTATTAGCAATAGCGTATGAATGTCTATTTCTCTTAATATGCAATGGTTTTAGTTTTCATTTGTTTGTACTTTGATAGCTACAATAGCATTAAGTGTATTACTCCATATTTTATGAGTTTTAATTCATATTTCAACATAAAACTTCAGTTAGTTGGTACGTAAACAATTCAGTTTAATAACTAATAGACATTAAAAATTTTTATTATAATAATAATTAATGGGCCTCTGTCCTGTCATTAATTAAGGGGCTAAACTAAGTAAAAAAGGCTAAAAGAAACGATGAAATAAACAATATTGTTTCATTCTATGTTGTAATACATTTTTTTATTTTTTAAGGTTTGTTTAGGCTGTACTGGTTTTTAATAATATCATAACAACCTATATTGTTTTTTTTTTAATTTTACTTGAAAACAAAATGTTTATGATTTTTAATTTATTTAAAACTCTGTTATTTTGCATGCGACACAATTATTACAAGCCCTACCAGTATGACATTTTGGATTTCTAAAAATTTTGTTTGAAAACTGATTTAGTATTATTAGATACTAAATATCTTATAGATTGTTTGTATAACCTACATTTAATTTTTTTTTTGGTGTTCAATTTTACATCTAATTAACCTATTAACCTATTGGTATTGAAAATATTAAAAGTAGGATTAAATCAATTAAGAAAACTGAATTCTGATCATGCAATCTGGTGTACTGCTGGTACTAGTATGGTGTGTTATGAGTTAAAAAAATATAGAGGACAAAAGTCCTTTGATATAATAAGTAATATTTCTTTTAGAAACATTTACGATGTAAATATTTATTTATTTTGCTCTCGTCGAAAAAAAAATATTAATAAAATAAACTGTATTTGTACTTAAATATTTTTTTATGGTAACTATTTTTACAGTAATATTACTATTTTGTATGTTTATTTTCAGTTCTTCCTTATATTACTATTAATAGTAAAATTAAAATTTTTTTTTTATTCATAATATCGCTAAACAATTTTTAATAGAAAATGTCAATTATAATAAAATGTTTATTAATTTTAAGATAAAAATTTTTTTTTACATAATTGTTTTATTGGTATAATTGCCCTCTTTTATTTTAAAACAATATTTAATTATATTATTATTTATTAAATATTATATGCTAAAGCAATTTGTTTTAAGGATGAATATTGATTTTATAATAAACTGAAGATAAGCCCCGCAGAAACATTTTTTCAATGTAACAGAAAACAAATTGTATTCACAAATGATACTTGTTTTATCTATAATCATTTAAAATAAAATATATCCTTATCCAAATATAAAACAATGGTAAAAACTAATAAGCTGTAATACAGTTAAAAAGTAAAAAATGCATCAAGTATTAAATGCTTTTAGCTTACAATTGAAGTTTGATTAATTATTTTTATTATTATTGTGAGTTATAACTTATAATTTGCTTCTTATTCTTTGTTTCAGACAACTTGGGCTTACAGACTGCGTATAATAACAACAGGGTATGTTACTAAATGTTTGCTTATTCTATTTGTTGTGTTAGTAAATCAAATGATTGTTGATCAATGTTTTGAGAATAAGGATGTAATTTTTGTGGATTCTTATGATCATTGTCATCACTGGAAATACTAAGTAGAAAATTACAAAACACAATAGATTAAAATTTGTCCACAATACTCTTTTTCTTATTTTTTTTTTCCAATTTTTCACCTTATTTCACCCAAAATTAGAACATCTGGAATGTATCAAATTAACATCAATAATAACAGATATACTCTGTAATATTCTTTATTATACAAAATATTCTTTTAGCTTGAAATATTCTCAAAAATGCAAAAAAATTGTTGGCATTGATTTATACGCTTCACAATTTGTATAATTTCAAACTCCCGTGTCTGGCCGTATAGACTAAAAAAAAATTTGCAAAAGAATATTATTCTGACCTCTAGTTATGTATAATAACTTGAAAAACATGATTTGAACTTGGAGGTATTGTTTGATTTTTAAATACCCAAATTTCGTTTCTAACTTAATAAAATTTTAAAAGTATTCTTCTAAATTTTAAAATATCCATGCACTTTTTTTTCAGAGAAGTAATTTAGAAGATACTAGTAGTACAGTTCATAAACGAAATAAGCAAAAAAAAGAACTAAAGAAGGTTAGTTAGCATAATTTGTATAACTAGTTTTGTATTTTAAAGTTATAATATAGAATTTTTCTTTTCTTATGTTAAGAAAGACGAAGTAGTCCTCTCAGAAGATATACAAGGATATCGAGGTGATAAGAATATTGACGAGATTTTGAAGTTCATAGGAGATTTAAATGATGATAGTAAAAAGTGTAAAGGTAGTAAAACCAAAAATAAGAGTCGAAACGGTAAAGGCTCAGATGACGACTGTGGAAGACCAAAAAATCGTAAAATGAAAATGACCAAGTATAATAGTGTTGAAGAAGTGTCCACTACAGTTTTTCAACACATGGATAGTTCAGATGATGAATCAAAATCAATGAAAAGTATTAAAAAGTCAAAGAAAAAAGCATCTAAACAGAATCAGACTACAAAAAAGTTTGCATCCACTGAACAGAGACTTGATGTATTGTCATCCGAGTCGCAAGATACAGATTCTGCAGACTTTCTATTGGTCACTAATAAACAAAGGAGGAAAAAACAAAAGTCTCAAAATAAGTTAAATACAACGTCCAATAATTTCCCTCCTCATGACTCCTATTTATTATCTCAGTACATACAACCTAAAAATGTAAAAAATAAAAAACGAAGGAAGTCTACATCTTCAATGCCGCATTCAGATAAATCTGAAGATAATTCCGATCTCGACTCTGTACACTCTTTGCCTGCTTCATCCACACCTTCCAAACAACAATCATTTAAAGAAGCCCAAAAAACTGATTTGACTAAACCAGCCTGTGTAGTTACCACTTCTGAAGAGTCAATACCAACAGTTACCGTCACATTACCGCATCGAAATGTCGACGTCCCGTCGAATAGTGTCAGTTGCACTAAAGAATGCATTAATGGGGATGTGCATGTTACATATATTGTGCATGAATCCCATAAAGCGGACCCGGAGACCGTTAAAAAGACTGCCGTTATAAACAAAGTTCCTGCAGCGATACCCCCTCAAAGCGCTTCATTGACTGTGCGCTTACCTTCAAAGAAGAAACAAAGTCCAATAATGTACAATAAATATGAGGTGGATACGAGCTTATCTTTTGGATTTGAAATTGACCAGAATTTACTGTGTGATAGTGGTAACGATTATCAACCACCAGCCCCAATTCCTATGCCTATTGAGTACAACTACAAAGAAGTGATATTGTTCATCAAGAAAGGTAACAAACTTATTAAACTAAATATTTTTATTTTTAATGGTAAAAGACATTTGAAATCTTCTTACAATTTCACTAAAATTAATTTGGTTTGATCATTTTTCTTTTAGCTTGGCAAGATGTCGAGAATGAGAAAAGCAATGGTAGATCAAATATTTTAGAATACAAATGTGATACAAATGATGTTCATGGGGACGTCTGAAAGGTCTGCCAAATACTGAATTGAATAAACATAATTAGTTTTCGACAACTAATTATATTTTCTAATATGGAATTTTTTTCATTCCAAAGAAAAAAATCTACTGAATTTGTTAATATTCTTCGAGAAATTTTTATATATCATAGTAATTATTTATGTACGTAATTTGTATATAATATTAAGAAACAGTGTTAAAATTACTTTTTCTTCTTTAAAAAAAAAAAAAAATAATAATAATAATTCAATTTAGTGGCTATGTCACAAATCTTTCTTTTCTCAGTAAATATTGTGTATATGATTGTTAATTTTAAAAAAAGGTCATTACATTTTTTCTTTTGTTAAGTTTGTACGTTCAAGTTTGTTTGGCTTATTTAAAAATGATAATATTATATAATTTTGGGGGCAACTAAAAAAACCTGAGGTCACAAAATTACATTTTGTGAGTTATTCAATTTGTTGGTGGTTAACAAGTCAATATTAACATATTTTTCATCATGTACTTACAATAATAAATTATTTGTTTCAAAACTCGAATTTGTTATAATCAATTTTGGGCTATGTTATTTTATTAAATTATTTTTACTGCGTACCTTGAGTTCGCGATTACCTTGTAATTCACAATAAATACATTATACACAATGTATTAGGTTTTGTTCCAGTTTTATTTAATATGTGTAATTTGTCTAAAATAAACCGATTTGATAAACATATATTTCTGGCTTTTTAACCAGTTTTCATTTGTTTAAATAACATTTATAATTTTATAGCTGACATTATTTTTTCACAGTAACACAACATATGGAGTCAAACATTGATGTTTGAGCTGTTTCATTGGCGAACAGAATATTAATATATTTAACGGGGTTTTCACCTTTATCATAAAACGTGTATGCAGGTAAAACGTTAGAGTTCGGGTTCTTGTCTTGCAGTATGAGAATTGATCTGTTGTTTATGTACGACGGCGTATGACATAGGCAATTCAGGTACACACATGACTAGGCGTGGTTTTGATGAGTGTAAAATATATTAACTGTTTGAAAAAATCCTGGTGGCCAGTTTTGATTATTTGTTGTATAAGTATAATCATTTCCACACCTCTTGTTAACAATTATATTATATTACATTTCGAGAATATCATTTTAAATGATTTAAAGTGTTATTTTTAAAAAAAATGTAACCTTAATTTTATTTGTTTTTCTAGTGGGTGTGGTTTATGATACCTATTATAGGTATTGTACATACACTAAAAATCGAGTTATTACAACAACGGCGAAAATTGTCGCAATTAGGATGCTTTGAAGACGTGTCACTCCTCTAGAATTTTAGCAACCAAATTGATGTAGTTTTCCAGGACTGGGGTACGGTTACGGGGCAGGGGGTTCTTAGATTCGTCTAGATTATTATGCGTTTACGCTTACTAATACGGAATTGCTTTTTAAAACTAATGCTACCTAGGTATTTTACTTTTAATAAATTACGAACGACAGATATAATACTGACAATAACTAAACGGGTAAAACAATATTCAACTTGATAAAACTCGTTTCATGATTCCAACATGCAATTCTAACAGCCATTAATGACGTAATTATTGTTATTAGTTGTAATAATATTGACTTAAATAATCATAACAAAATAACAATTATAATTACAATTTTTATTTTATTTCTTCGTTCCAGCTACATTGTTTATGTTGCATCTCAAACATTTTATGTTATTGGCATATGGCTTTAAATTGCATACAATTTTTTTTTTTATTTCCACAAGTTACTCTAATTTAAAATTGACTTTAAATTGTATGTGTAAAGGTGTTTAGTAGGGAATTAAATGTATTCACTGGCTGCATTTTTATTCCATTTCAAGTTTTTTTATTCCAATTTGTCCCTAACATTTTCATAAAGATAATTTTAAAAAAGGCGTAGGTATATACAATTCTATACCAACATAATGGTAAATTGTTCTATACCAAAGACAATTCAGACACTTGAAATTATAATAGATGCGAAATGATAAATTTGCATGTCTGAATTAAACAAAGAGAACGTGTACTGCATAAGGTCTTCGAAGTTCCTAGCTTACCTGCTACTCTGTTAGCTGAATTAACACATTTATCAGTTAGGGTTTACATAGTAAAAACATAATATATTATATTATGCTTCATGTATACTCTATGCCAATTTGGGCGTTATTTTCCAATAAATAAGTTACAAAATAAATATATTATAAAACAAATAATATTACACAAAATTATTAACGGGTATTACAAATCACTAATATAATATTTACGTATATATACATATATATTTCCTTTAAAATTTATTTTATATAGGTTCAATCATATTAGCTCCATTTTATAGTGTTATTAAACGTTGTTTTATTATTATAACACCATAATTCGATTTTCACGGGCTAGTCAGCGGGCATACCTGCGCTGCGTCGCCGCCGTCATACGGTACCTACAGTTGCGCTTTGGCGTCTCGTTCACCCGCGTCATGACGTCATCGGACGTATCGCCGCTACCGCTGTTGGGAAGGCCGGTACGCGGAAACGGCGGAACGCGCCCGCCTGGCAGAGCACTGTTGGTGATCCGCGAGAACGGTCACCGTTGTCGCTGGCCGTCGTATATTTATAACGCGACGTGCACTACATATATATATATATGTACATACCTATATATAGCTATTTAATTTAAGTTAGGAATTTTCTTATCACCGTCATTGTTATTATTATTATGCGGCCCGTACCAGCGGATCGCCGCCGCGTTTCGATGCCTGGCGTGGTAAGGCGGCCTGTTCTTCCGTACAGTTTTAGGAAGGCTGCTCAATAAGAGACTCGGGACAACTGCAGCGGGGCGACGACATGGAAACTAAACCGGATACAATAGGCTTTTACACCATCGACCGGCGCATCGGCAAAGGAAATTTCGCCGAGGTGCGGCTGGCCACTCACCGGCTGGTCAGAAGCGAGGTTAGTGTTCTTTTTTTGAAGTCATTTGAGTAAAATTTGCTTACACGTTTTTTGTATTCCTTCTCCGTCGATTGTGGTTTAGCGGAATTAAAATGTTTAATTCTAGTGAGTATGCGCAGCGGTGGGCATTGATCAATTGACTGATACGTTTTGATGACATTATTATAAAAAGCATATACCTATATTTTCAATGGCAATGTGTGTTAATTATTTGGGTAGTCTTATAGAATAAGACTTATTGATAGTTTCGGAACACATCTAATTATGCGTCACATACACTAGTTAGATATCTAGCTGTATCGCCATAACCCAGGCCACTGTATTTAATGTTAGCGAACAGTCATCTATTGGTTATTATAATATTAATGTATTTTAGTACGTAAAAACCGATAAAAAATAATATAATATAAACATTTAATTTTGTGAAGTCATGTGAAGTCAATGCAAGTATTGGTAGTATAGTATTAATGACAGCTCAACTTCAAGTCACGGCAATATGAATAATATAAACAAACAACTTAATAAACAATTTATCATGAAAATAAATCATAACTGGAGCCAATCATAACAAATCGATATTTTTTTTGAAAAGAGCACCACCACGTTAGTCGAGAGTAAATTTAATTTTCAAGGCAACAAAATAAGTGTTATTGATTAATTTACTCAAAACCAGAACGATGCACGACATTGTGCAGTTGTTAACAACGTTAATATCGTATTAAAAAAAAAAAAAAACTAAACAATTTTGCATAATTGTGTGTTTACTCGTTTTTTTAGTTGTATCGTCAATTGCGTGCAGTTTATAAAATGAATCAACACAATACCTACATAAATAATGACACATCACGTTTGATTGGAAAGAATAGCAAATTATGAATAAAAATGATTATCCGATCGAAAAGGCAATTATAATAATAAATCAACCGCGTGTAGCTGGGGCACACGACGTTCGTTTAAGGACTGCTAGAAGCCGCACAACCGAAAGCCGGCGTGCTATTGTACCTATAGGTATCGGATATGAAATCCGATTATTCGTGCCTTTTGATTTGTGTGTTTAATTAATTAGTATTGTTATAGGGCGTCGCTGGTATTGCCGATCGCAGCAACGCGTAGCTTAACGCCATGGTAATAGCTTGAATATACCTAAACTTAGTATGCGGATGGTAGGTTGGACTGTGATTGGAGTACGGTGTGGTGTTATTTAATACTAGGGTGATTTTATAATCCTTTCCAGTTATCTGTACCGGCTTATAGCAATTACCGAAGTGCTTTAATTTCTTTCTGGCCGTTTATCGTCGCATGTAAAGGCCGCTACAACTGCAACGGATGTCCGTTTAAAGTCAATGACCGTATTGTCGAACACACGACAAAAATCCACACTTTTTAATACATCATAGTTTCGGTCTACGCGCAATCATTCTAAATGACCTGACACGTTTGACATAGGTCTGAGATGTGGTCAAATGTACTCCAATCGTGTGCGGGCAGGACGCGAGGAAAATCAATTTTGGAGGTCTCATGCCGCAAATCGGACAATGGCCTAACAGTTTTTTCTGTTTACAGCTTTAAACCCATCGACGAATTTCACCGAAATGTTTTAGGTTATCCCTTGCAAACAGCTGTTGTGCCAACTCGAACGGCCTTTCTATTCAGTTCAAAAGGCATACGATGAAAACCCTATACCGAAGCAATAGATTTCAAGCTATTACCTATGTCGTTTATGGCATAACATTGTTATAGGTTATGTTATAGCTATGTTATGTATATTATCGATGGCTTATATCTAAATTTTGAGACATGTTGATTGATTTATACTAAATCGAGATATTTAGGTTATGTTTGGTTATTTAGTGTAAAATGATGTTAGTGTATCTTTAAGCTATCCTCTGAACTAAATGCTCATTAGTTTGATCGTACTTTTTTTCGGAGATAATACTTGTTATAGGTTTTTTCACTTAATTGTATAAAATACATTGTTTTTTTGCACTAATTTTGAATGTAAACGCTTTCAGTTTTAAAATAATATTGTACACAATGAATACCGTATAAAAATAAACCCATGACTCACGAGAATCACATTTACAATAATATGATTGTATGGCTTTTATGTTACCGTCATCATTCATAGAGGTGTCGTATTAACTAGTAACTACAGCACAGAACACCAACAATCATTTTTCAATGGAGAATATTTTAACAAAAGAAAGTTCGCCTACCTTTGGCGAAAATACGTATAGTTGTTTAAGATGTTCGGTGACTAATACTACAATTTACCAACATTTATTATAAATTATGAAGACACAGTTTTTATAAGAAATCATTGAAATGAGGGCGATTGCAAAAAGTTTTCAATTTCCATTGTTCTTCTTGCAATCGAGAATCTAAATGTACACAATATATGTGTGTTGTTACTACATTCGCCCTTCGAGCTTACTACGGTTCTGTTAGATAATTAAACGAAACCAGAAGAATGCGTGCACATTTCTCTACTCTACGACTGTTGTCGAGATTACCTGCCGGCAATCTGTTTGTTTCGGACTGTCGAGATGAGCTCTGGGTTGTTTATTAATGTGGTCATATTTGTATATGTGTGTAATCCAAAGCAGCTAAAAGCTTTCCGTCGACGGTTGCAAATAATATATGATATGGTACGGTTAGCGTTCTATCCAGAACCCTTGGGTAGTTTACAGATACTGCAGAGTTATTCAACTGTTTATTCATCCGTTTTAGTAGGTAAACGAATGTTTTCTAAAAAAACCAACTGTTATGATATGAACTTGCGGCCAGCAAATAAAAACCTCAGGTCGTTAGCCACAGCACACATTTACCCTCAGTATGGAATATTAGATGAGTAAAAAAATCGTCTTTTTTACGTCACATCGTCAACGATTTGATGGATAATTTCGCACTAGGTATTATTTTTAGTTTCAGAAATTACTTATTACTATAAATAATTCAATTCCACGCAACGGCATTAAAATCATACACTTCTGTTCGAAATAGAGGAAGATGCGACAGCATGAAAATCATTTAAAACCGTAAAATAAATATATTCTAGACCGCTGTAAGTACGAACGAATACAAGTCACCTGTAAGTACGTGTATTAATAAAAATAATCCAATCGAATCGTTTTGAGATGAACCCTTTTAAATTGATACGTTAAATGTAAATACCTACGTTTTAGGAACTGTTATATGCTCAAAAAGATATTATTGTTTTTTTTTTTGGTATCTTATGATGTTTTTGAAGTTTTTTTTGGTTTCAAAGAGTTTAAAAGTTTACCTACGCCTGTGTACGGTTGTATTGATTAACATTAAATACATTTCATAACGTTCTAAAATTTCTGATTTTCATCGTTTTTGGTTGTTATTTCCTTTACTCTTGCACCGTTTTTGACATTAATATCCGCCGATGCTCGGTGTGGCGCCAGCTCAAAATTCCACGTGGGAATTTGGGGCGATGATCGACAAACGCGATTCGCTCAAATGAAATTTTTCTGCCGACAGTTTCCGTATGACGTAAACGATATCACGACGTGCGTGTACGTCTTCGTTTGTATGGCGAAAACAAAGTTCTAAATATAAACCGCCGAGCAGGAAACGTCATAGCTGCGAGAGTGGGCGCGCATAGCTGTAGTCCGAGGAGGGTACCACCTTTGGGACCCCTGGTCGGTCATTTGTAGTATATATAGTCACTATAGGGTATATTGAGTACATATAGGGAAAATGTTCGAACCACGCAAGATACAAGATCTGTAGATTAACGTAGGGAGGTAAGGAAGAGTGCCCGCTCTTTCTTTCTGGGTGGAATGTTTTTTTTTTTTATTGAAACATATAATGTTCAGTTAAAGTATTTGTAAACGTACAATTGACATACTATTTCAATAATAATTATGTACTTCGTCAATTAGACTTCATTTCACATTTTCAGCTGATTGTATACACCGATAACGAACCCACAGTGGCGGATCCAACCAGTGATGGGCAGTATCTGAAATACGAGTATTTAAAATACTCTTAGTATTTTGTATCTTGTTTTTCAAGAATTGTTATTGTTATTACTTTGTTGGAGATTTATATTAGTATTAATGACTTTACATTAAATATTAAGACTTCAATATTTTTTTAAAACTAAGGCTACTTTTCTTAATAGATTGCCGATAAGTGATAATATGGTGTCAAGTATGCGAAGTATTACTGTATACATTTTTATTTGTATACAATGTGATCTTAATTTTTCAAAAAATTTTTTGTTTTTACCCCCTCCTAACTTAATAAAATATATACGTTACCATTTAAGTTTCATAAGTTGCTATCAAAAAAACTAAGTTGGGAGGGGGGTAATAACAAAAAAAATTATGAAAAATTGAGATCACATTGTATAAAAAAAATGTCTTATTGACCCTATGAGATATGAGTGGTTCACGATAAGTGGATCACTCTGTATATCTTATATTTAGTATTAGTCGAAAAAATACTGTATTTTGTCCATCCCTGGATACCACTCATCTAGTTTAACACTAAACCCCCGTGGGTTGGAAAGTAGGGGGGAAGTTATCAGAGTATTAGTTTATAAGTAGTATCTTTTGTTACCGTTAATATTAACAAAAAATAGCTTTTTCACACCGTCACTGAATGGTGAAATTTATGAGTTCATCGCCTGTGATTGATAGAATAAGGGAAAATTCGTTTTAACCGTCTGTCTAAGGCTCTCAACCTTACAGGACTCTCAGTTACCCTCTTTTAGACCGACCGAGCCGCATGAAGTCTGAAAACTTTTGGCCGGCATCGTCAGCTTGTGGTTGAAAGTTGTCGATAATGAGATATTTCTTTTACGCTAGTCAGTCGTGCGTGACTCTGAGGCACAAGGAGAGGAAGAGCTTGGTAAAACTATAAATAAACGTATTGCAGTAGACAAAAATAGGAAGGTTTGATAAAAATGAACGAATTCATGTATTGTTGTCCATATTTTTTAACGATCAAATTTTTTTCACAGCATCTTTCTAGTGGTCATTTGAAGGGTTTATACAAAAGATAGTTTGGTACGTTTATTAAATAGAACTCGTTTTATTACAATAACGCGAGATAGATTATTTTCATTAAAATTGTTCATAATGTTAATAGCGAAATTAAAGAGGCATCACCCTCACGAATGATATTTTGGTAACCAAAATTGTATGTTTTTTAATGAAAAAAGCTTATCTCACTTGTACAGTAATACAAGTAATACTTATCTAAAGATTAGTATTACTTTGTACTTTTTAAACCCTCTTGAAATAAAGTCCTGCGGTTTGTGTGCACCACTGAAAAATGAAAATATAATAGTATGGCTACTTTTGTTTTATTTAGGTCAAGATCTATGACAATGAACTCCTGACTTCGTAATGTTAAGGGATAATTTGTTTATTTCTTTCGTTAGATATTTGGCGCGGTCACAACTATTTGAATAAACGCGTGGATAATGATTAAAATAACACGAGAGCTAACGCTTTATTTAGTAATACACCTGCATCTTGCTGCATATATATAAAGATAATATTAACGTCTTTAAATTTAAATCATTAACGTCACGGTTTCTATTTTTCGCGAACTGTTCATTGCTGTACTAAACCCGTATGGAGCAGGGAAAAGTTTTAGAGATAGTTTTTAATTTATACTAAGAACACTGCTAATTATAAATTTATATAAACATTAACAATTTAAAGCTGCGTAGTTAACAATTCTGTTGGTGGATGGTTATTGACGTTTCATAAAATTTATATTAAAATGAATATTATCACAAGTGCATCAAATGATCACTTTACTCCGTGAGCGAGTGCTAATATCAGTTCTTGTTATTATAATAGGTTAGTAGTAATTTGTAAACATTTTTTTTTTATGAAAATTGAAGTATATGATATGGTACGGCGAAACGAAATTATTACCAAATATTTTTTTATTAGTTTCATAAATTTGTTTTAATAAGGAAGCAATTACAGTTTTAATCATATTACTATAGTAGACTACATGACTCGGGCAAATAACGATTGATGAATGAAATCTCAGAGTGTTTTTTCTTTATAAGAAATGCCTAATTTTAACGAATAAATAATTCAAAAATAAAGTTTTCTAATAATTTTTTATCAATATGCATTGCATAATCTAAATTTCAATTGGGGACACTATAATCATTATATCCATTGACTTTAAGGTGCCTCAATTATTATTTATTTATAACAATTATTTTAGTATTTCATAAGTATTTGTACATTGAAATTGTAATCAATTAAAATATATTGTTGTGCAGGTGGCTATAAAAATGATTGACAAGAGAAAATTAGATGCCGTGAATTTGGAAAAAGTTCACCGGGAAGTAGATATTATGAAACAGCTGGATCATCCGCATATAATCAAACTTTATCAGGTGAGTGTTCCACTTTTTTTATTTTAGAAATTATGACTGTGAGAAATTATTCTGTAATAATTTTGGACATTTGAGCTAGGAGGGATTTATCTTGGAATCTACCTTATATATGCCACTTTGTTTTAATTTAGCTTAACCTGTTCACCGGATCAATCCAGACCTGGCTTCTTAAAGTTAGATTTTTAATTATTTAGTAATACTTTATATCGTGTTATCTTTTCATTGGGTGCATCTGTGCAGATGTCACGTCTGCAATTGCTTCAAGCTGGCCTGACTTTACTGTACTCGCTACATGGAAAATATGAACTTTAGGGGGAATTTAGTCCTCAGGATATCTACCCTTCATTCGCCACTGAATTCGATATTGCTGCTTCAAGGTTTTTACTAAAAGCTATCGCTATGAAATGTTTTTTACTAAAAACTAAGTTGAACAGTACTTCCTTGAAAATATGCCTAATTTTTGTTTGGTATATATTTTTGACTTATTTTTTTTTATGGAAAGTATAAATTATAAATCATAGATATTTACAGAATGTGTTTACCAAATAGTAAGTTACATTGCTATTAATTCACCCTTTATTGCATCACTATGACGACGAAGAAGAATAATATAATCATTAGTGGGTATCTTAAGGATTAAGTTGATTAATAATAAATATAAATTATGATTTAAGCTGTATTTATACTAAAAATTATATTCATTCAACTGTGTTAAGTATTATGATTAATTAGTAACTGGACCTTGAATATTTAATTAGTATTATTAAGTTATTGCATTAAGGTCAAAATCCAGATAATTAATCAGATTTATAAAGTACGGACGTCATAAATTAAGACATTAATACTTTTTACTCTTAACAAACGTGTTTAAAAAAACGAGCTGGCACAATAGAAATAAAACTTTATTTGTGATTGTTGATTGTCTGTAAACTAAATGTTACTAACTCTCAAAATATATTTATAATATTATTATGGGGACACTACCCACTTGCAATTTGTAGTGTAAAAACAGGTTTTGTGTAAATAAATACTGTAAAGACTGTGATAGTATTAAATATACAACATTTGTATAGAAAAACATAGAACAATAAAAGCTATGCCTAAAAGTGTCATTTTCTTGATGATCAAATAATTTGATTTCTATAGGTACATTTTTAAATTTTAGGTTTTTTAAATTATAGCTTAAAATTTAATTATGATTTGAAAAAAATACCTAAACTATATATTATACACATACAATTATAATAGATACAATAAATAAATCGTTAAATACAGAAAGGGCACATGCCCACTATTTTATGGGGCACATGTTTTATTTTTCGTCCTAAATTTCAATAAAATAAAATATTTGTGACTCATTATCTTCAAATTAACTACTGTATATCACATTAATGTTATTTTAATTTTTGGTAATTAAAAAGGTACTTATTTATAAGAAATGTTATTTCTTATTAATTTTAAGAATAAATAGCACATGTCCAAGACATTAAAAACCTTTAAGTACCTAGGTTTAATAATATTTCTGCAAGTGGTTGTAGAATATCATGTCTTATACTAAATTATTTAATAACATACTATTTGAAATTCAATTTTTTCAGACTGATTAATTTTTTTGGCTCTCCTGAAAATTTATCTTTCTGTATTTAGCGATTCAAATGTATTAGATTTTTTTGATTTTTTTTAACATGCCTATACTATTGTTAAAACCTAAAATATAGTACATTAATTCAAAACATATTTTCAGCTTTAGGAAACAATAGTATTGAAAAATTAAGGTTAATTAAATTTTTTTTTTTGTATATTTTGTTTTAGTAATACTTAATAGTTTTGAAAAAGAGAGATAATATATTATTTGTTGTGTACCTATTATAATTTTTTTTAATTTAGTCATAATTACATATTATTTCATATTTGTGTGCGTTTTTTAATGTATTTTAAACGTGACAAGTGTAAAAGATCCGACTTTAGTTTTAAACGGTAGATAAAACAACACACATTTTAATTGTTTATCTAACAATTAAACAGATGGTTTGTAATAATTATCATTTGTTATAATATTTTATTGGACAATTTGTGTTTCTATTAAGTTCATTTTTAACTGTTATATTGATAACAGTTAAAATTGAAGTGTAAAATAATATTTTTATCTTGTTAACCTACATAATATACAAAATGCAAAGTTATTAATAGCCAAGTACCTAAGCCAAATTGAAACAAAAATCAGCATTTCGATACAAAAAATTTTAAAAAAGCCAGCACTTTTTTAACATGATGATAATAAACATTGGAGGTGTTCAATTGTTTTAATATCAGAGATAGTAAAATATTTAAAAGTGTTGTAAAACAATAATGCCATTTTCATATTTATTACCTATTTACATTCGATTTCTAAAGGCCAAGGCTAGGTATAGTTTAATAAAGAAATGCGAAGAGAATGTAAAAAAAAAGTTAATTTGATCTAAGGTTAGGTTATTTTTCCAAAAAATTATGACGTGTCATAGTCAAATCACAAACAACCATCTCATATTTTTTGAAGAAGAGACGTGGTTATTTATAAACTCCATGTACAAATTTCTAATACTAATAATCAGCTTCGCATGACAAGTGAAGATAAACTATAATTTTATTTTCAATTGATTTATGGTACAATACATTTTTAATTAATATTGGATTTATTTGCATACAAAAGCTACACGTACAAGTTGAAATATATTGAACATAATATTTACATCAGTGACTTATTGACTTCTTTATATTCATTGACAATCTTTTGATAAAAAACAAAATAAAACGGCGAAGATTTTTAATGACCAAAATTATATACGTTTGAAAACCTCTATTTGCTTTTTACAAAGTACTCTATTTTCAAAAAAATATTTAAGTTATAGTGTATAATTTTAATATTAAATTTAAAACTTTTAACTTCTAGTTTATATACGCTGTAGTGTTTTAAAAATTGTTATAATTATTATTAAAAAACAACATTGTTTATCCTACTATAATTGATGTACTGTTTTTAAATTATAATATTATTTTTGTAGGTTATGGAATCAAAAGATATGATTTACATTATTTCTGAATATGCCAGCCAAGGTGAAATTTTTGGTAAGTTTTACATAATAAAATAATTTATACAGTTTAATAAAAACAATTATTTTTATTTTATCGTTATAAACGTTTTTATAAATAAACAATTATAAATACTTTTTAATAAAGAATACACCATATTATGCACTGTAAACGATATGCTAACATTTTTTATTGGGGCTCTTAATTTTTATTTATATTCTATTAAAATTTTTATTATTTTCTGAATTAATTTATTAATATTAATGTACTAATTATTTAGCTGACATAACTCACCTTACCGGCTCATTGTAATATTAGTTATTACATTTTTTTAAATACCCACAACTTGAACGTAGATTATAGTCATAAATTATAATTAGCATTTACTGCTTAAACGATTTCTATTTACGTCATATACAAAAATCTTATGTTAGCCTGTCATTGAGATTTAACAGTCATTTCACTGTGAATGAAAGCTTAGCTAAACAGAAAGAGACGCTAACGAACTATAAGGCCATGACATGTTCTTCACACATAAACTGGTGGTCGAAAGCATTATTTTAATTTTTTTCTATTGTAATACGATCTGTGACCTGTAGCTAATGTTTCACATTTTATTTAATACTTGCATATAGATACTTCGTGTGTTCAAATTAAATATTCCGTATTATATAACACTAAACATTTTACAATATTTTACAATACTTTGCTATTATATTATTATTATTGCAACAGTTGGTAAATCTGTACTATAGATTGATTTGATTATAAGTGAAAGATAATCAATCTTATATGTTATGAATTTAAAGATTAGTTAAATAAACGTGAGATTAATGTACATTGCGAAGTAATCATTACTTCTAAAAAAAAAAATCGAAATTCTCTTTTGAAAAAGAGTATAGTTATTAGTTACATATTATTATAGTCACACAATAATATGAAGTTTAAATAAAATATGACGAAGCAAACAAACGAAGTAAATATATCGTTAATCATAAACTGTTGTACATAATTAACCAAGTAATCCAAATGGATATACGATTTTTCATAAAACGGATCAATTAGAAAATAATATGTTATTAGTTGCGTTCATGGGAAAATCATACTATTTCCTCTTGCTTATACTTTGTAGCTTGCGTGCAGAGATGAATACCTATTTGAACTTTTGACCCCATATTATATTAATGGATTACAAAAATGAACTTAAAAATCGTTATTTGCATATGCCGATTGTTTGATTTTGAGTTTATTAAAATGGTCAATAGGTACCGCTTCACTAAAGCGAATACAATCATTATTAGAAAAGGGTGCGCGAGAAATAAACTAATTGCGTGGCTAATAAATACACCTGAATGGATGAATGAGCTGACTTCGATTTCTGTTGCGTAGCAGTTCTACTCGGAAATCGGCATCAAAGTAAACATCTTAATTTTTAACATTTACCTTATTTCCACAAGTAATATACCTCTTCCCCACCCTAGTTCCCACCCATTACCGGTCATAACGTAGCGCTCAGCCTAAATTATAATATTTCATGTTGGGTAAATAATATTATCATTCGTAGCAGTCGGCTCACGTCTCTCTCTCTCTCTCTGACTTTTTCTCTCTACCTATTTATTTTATGTCGGACTGTTGTTTGTTTGTCATTATTATGAAAGGTAAAAGAAAACGCGATGCGTGTGTTTATTTTAAAGATATTGCCAAGATGAAAGTATAAAACGCACACTACACAGTCGAAGGCGGTGGGTGTATAAGAATGCAAGGGGTTAGGCTTTTGGCTCGTTGGTGCAATGGCCGAATCGTTTACAGGGTGCTTGGTAAAATATATTATGTCAGTAAGGATTTCTATATGTTTTAACCCTTCGCTGCACAATGTTCCATGTATGGAACAATTGTATTTATTGTTTATATCTGTTCATGCTATACATCTTTGTATAAACAATGTTCCATATTTGGAACAATTCTTTAATTAACGTTGTCCATGAAACCAAAACTCAAAAAAAAATTTATTTTTATTTTTTTTTAGTAGTATTAAGTACATTTATAGAATATGTTTAAAGAAAAATTCATGCAGTGAAGGGTTAAATGTGTAATTTACTAGACTTGTAAAAACTATTATTGATAAATGGATACGATTTTAAAATAAGTACTCTCTATACTTTAATATTTATTTAAAACTCAATAAAAAATAGTTTAACTATTATCTTGGTCACGTTTCTATCCGCCCGCACGCTTTAAAACGTTTTTATTTAATTATCTATAGGGTTGATTGCCGTAAATTGGTTATTGATCTTGTATTAATGCGGTTAATGTACCTGGTTAGTGTAGTCGGATTAAAAAAGGAATAATTAATCTTTTTTAAAATCCAAACATTTTGTGTCGAATGTATATAAAAAAAATTGAAATTCAAGTTAGTAATATTTATTTATGTCGGTTGATGAGAGGGGGAGAGAATAGTCTCATTATCTATGTATTAAGTTGGTTCTTAGTTATCCAGTCGCTCTGTAGTTACAACAAAAGAGAGAGTAAGAGAGAGAGAGAAAGAGAGAGAGCGTCCCAGGAGTTTATTGATCGCACGCGGTCGCTGGCTTTGAAACGCACGCGGTGGCAACGGATAGTCTCGACTCTCGATGGGTATGGTACATACCCAGTACTCGAAATGGGGGGAGGCGTGGGGGTCTGAGTACCCCAACTATTTTTTCAGAAATCGAGCGTACCCCTACTAATTTTTATAAGCAGTGGTTTTTTTAGGGGTAAAAAAATACCGGATACTCTATTTTTTTTTAAGTACTTTTATTTTTTCAATTCAAGCACTCTACTATACCTATATCTTCCTGGACATAACGCACGTCACAATACTTATCAAATTATGCAGTCGGGGGGGAGGGGCATCTTAGTCTGTCTAGAGGATGTCGTTATAGATTCAAATTGCCAATGTGGGTTTAAAAGCTATAGTGGGAAGATGCTATTTTTTTCTCTTGAAATCGTACAGCCTAGCAGATTTTCATATGTAAATCGTATTTAAACTTACGACAATTACCAGTTGTATATGTAATAGATATTTCTGTATTGCAGTCTTAATCATTCGTACTTACCGGGTGAGGTGTTTATGTTTACACACTATTATAATAATACCGTGTCTGGAGTACCACCCTTTATTTAGGACCACGTGATGCTTGCCTGCCCACTTTTGTTCGATACCACAGCGACGACGGCGAAAGCTTAGGAAATACGTCGGTGACACGCGTTCGCCAAAAATCGTTAATAAAATGTATAATAATATACCTTTTAGCCGATCTTGCCGGCGTATTGTGGCACCACGTGTATCCATACACTCTCCAGAGGTCATGGACGTTGCAGGGTACAAACCTAGCCTCTAGTGGATTGAATCGAACAATACTACTACACAAATTCCTTACAGGGCGCAGCGCTTTAACCAGGCGGCCGGATACAGTATTTGTATAAAGTTTTTTTCATGTTTCACCCACTCATGAAACGTGTAACTTTTTTTTTATTTATCGATTCATTACGCATAGTTTTGTAATATCGCGAAACCCCAGCTCGTTCAGAGACCGCCAAACTTATACCTAGATTAGGCAATCGTTTAGTATAAAGCTGTTACAAAAACTATACTACGTTCGGATGTGCTACATGCAATCAATCCTACACTGATGTTAAGTGTTGGAATGTTCTAGAATTTTATTTTCCTTGCCTCGTATGTCGTTTTTTATGTACACAGACTTCCTTTTTTACATACATTATCTCTTTAAACGGTGCTAAAGTGAGTTGTGTTTCTAGGTTTTAAATAGGGAAATATTAAGATTCGAGTATAAAAGTAACAACTATCTGTTGACTGTTTGCTTTTTGTTTTAATAATATTCTGTACCAGAAGATACATAATATGTCGTTTTGTAAACCATCGATAACGCAAAGTCTAAAAATGGCAATTGATAATTAAATTTGGTTTTCCAGTTAATGATATTTTTGCGCTATATGCTAGTTTAATATGTTGAGATTAATCTTTATCCTACCACAAAGTAATGCCAACGAATCAAACCCATTTATTAGTTTATGTGGGTTTATTTAGTTAAAATCTATTCATAATATATTCGCGGAAAGGGTATTAACAATTTCGCCTTAGCGGATAATGCTTGAAGGCTGACCAGCCGTTTATTATAATTTGTGGGTAATAAGTAATAACCAATATTTGACCGATCCTGTCACCTGTGATATTATTTTTGATGGTTTTTCCTAATGAAGTATTGTAGAGTACGCCACAAACTACTAGTTCGAAAATTACTTGGTTGTTATGAAGTGTAAATAATAATACTAAATGCACGAAAAGGTATAGTCGTTTCATTTATTTTATATAAGATAGGCTCAGCTATAAATCATACTATTTTGTAGTGGTTGCACTATTTAAAATTTTTAATGAGATTTAAACAAAATAATTATAATTTTATTATGACTTATATCGTCGGTTTTTTTTGGTACTGTAATTAAACGTTTTTATTTAACTATTTAAATACAGAAAAAGAAAACAATTAATAAAAATGAAGCTATTTGATACCAACAAAAAAGACGACCTACGGCGTATAATATTGTTTTCTTTGTTTCAAACATTTCTAAACTTTACAGCAAAAAAAAAAATTGTACGGTTTACGAAATGCCTAGTTTTACACTTAAAATTATAATTGTATGGTGTCCTCTTACGAATGATGAACCCGTTCAGTTCAGAAGCTTATGCCGCATGAAATTTTTGAAACATGAACTTTCAAACAAAAATGTCATTACTTATATTTCAAAAGTAATCTACTATTTGGTGTTTATTAGCATATATTTTCATCAGCTATATATTAGAAGTATTATTCAACTTCGAAAGTTTCCACTTCTAGATAAAATTAAATCAAAGTCGAAAAAGTCCAAACTCTAAAGTGCTCAGAACTAACTAGTGTAAATATAATTGTTTGTTTCATTGAGTACAGTTTGCGTAATCATTTGTATGTCAAGTGAACAATGATACTCGACAATAGCTATTGAAAACATATAAGTTTGTTATTAGAATTAGACATGGTTGGTCAGCTGGAAGAATACTATAGTAATTAGTTCGCTGCAATACCTATCCTTCTAGAAAAACATGTTAATAATTATAGGTATATTGTTTCCATTGATTAGCATTGATATTTACATTACCGAAAAATTCCTTCCTAAAAAAATTAACCACAGTAATTTATAATTTAAATTATTTGGCGAAAACGATATTTGTGTGATTTAAAATGTGGTTTTATATAATTTCTATTCTTCAGTTTCTACTAAGGAATTGTATTCCTTTATTTCATTTTAAATTCATATCATGGATACAAGAGTGGTTTCTAATTTTAGATTACATAGCGAAGTATGGCCGCATGACCGAAGCGGCAGCCAGGAAAAAGTTCTGGCAAATATTATCAGCTGTTGAGTATTGTCACAACAGGCACGTCGTTCACAGGGATCTAAAAGTATGTGACCCAAACGTGAACTGCAATAATAATTAACTGTTAATAAATATCGTTTTTGTTTACAGGCTGAAAATTTGCTCTTGGACGCTAACATGAACATAAAAATCGCTGACTTCGGGTTCAGCAACTACTTCACGCCCGGAGAACAGTTGGCCACTTGGTGTGGTAGTCCTCCCTATGCCGCCCCCGAAGTCTTCGAAGGCAAAAAGTATTACGGTCCCGAAATCGACGTTTGGGTAAACGCTATAGACAATATAATGAAAAAATAAACCGATGTTTTCACAATTGTTTTTGTATAAACCACAATACCTGTTTACTGTCAGCCAAGTCTGACGTAAACCGTTTTTTGTGACTACGATATTAAGTTTTTTTCTATGTTGTCTGACACAATTGATTCTATTACTGCGAGGTCGTGCCTATGGTCTATATAGACAAACGATGCCGACTGCTGTCACGCAGTTTGGTTTTTTAATTACAAGTTGAAAATAGAAAATACGAGTACACAAAACTCAATCGGGTCGACAATTATATTACATGTAATGCGCAAAACAAATAGGAACCTCTTTTCGGTATTTTCCATAATTGAGTTTGTGGCTTAGACGTGTTCTAAGTTAGGTATTGCATATTGAAATTTGCGTCGTTACAGTCGACCGACAATAGTTCTATTTTCCCGAGATTGTACTTTACTAATCTCGGTTATTATTCAATCCAATTTTATGTTTTGACCTATATCCAAATCCCAGAGACTCCAAAGTATAATTATTGATTAAGGAATCGATACTTTGACGATGTTTTGACGTTGTTCATGAAATTAACTTTGTCGGCAAGAGGTATCTTTTAGCTTTTCGCATCACATCAGTATAATATGGTAATAAACTATCTGTTTGCCAGTTAAAACTAATAGTAATTAAATATATATTATATTCATCTTCCCACATTAACATTAAATACTTTTAGTCACAGTTTTAGTTATTTCCGTCAGAATGCAATTTTGACGTTGTACACAAAAATATTACAACTTTACTGTTTTGAAATCATAGTTTAAACACGTTTCAATGAATCAACAAGCGATTTTAGATAAACGATCATGTTTAACCTCTCGGATAGCTATTGTATTGTTTAAGTTTTTTTTTCTTGTTCTACTTACATACATATACGTTCACTTACCGTTTCAAGATAGATTAGATTACACTGTATTTAACTTACTATTGTTCATGTGTGTACAGAGTATGGGCGTGGTGCTGTACGTCCTTGTGTGCGGAGCTTTGCCATTTGACGGTAGCACGTTACATTCACTCAGAGATCGAGTGTTGTCAGGAAGATTTCGCATACCGTATTTCATGAGTACTGGTAAGTATTTTACAAAAGAAATAAACCTTGCAGCAAAAACAATATTACTTCATTTACATGCTATTATAGTAGTAAGAAGAGAAATAATTTTGGCGCGAGCTACTTAATTTTAAAATACACTTGTGCGATTTGTTGATGGTATTAGATATGATGAGACACTATCTGAAAATAAATTAAATAATTGTTTTATTTAATTTTTGAAAACTTGTTGGTAAATAGGTAAAAAAAATTGCATATTTTACTAAATTTAAAAGCTTTCTTCAAATCTGTTCAAAAAGAAAATTTGTTTAAAAAGTGTAATTATAACTTTTTAGAGAAATAGGCCCTCTTATCTTACATAAAAACTCTGTACATCACGATTAATAAAAAAAGCTATAATTCCTCTAGGAAGAAAATCTAAACGGTGATTTAAATTTCAAAGCAATTATTTCTTTGATTGAAATAAAAATAACGTTAGGTAATTAAAACCGTTTCCGCTCTTTAAGAGAAAGTTAAAGACAAGCTATGACCATGACAAGTGATGAGCAGTGACCGTTATGTAGCAGAGAGAAAAGGAAAGCAATAATAATAATTTAAAGACAATTTATCGAACAGTAGTCACTAGTCACTATTTTTTTTCCTTAAATAAATACAAGTACCCATAGCTATTCGAGGAAAATAAATACATTTTTTTATTCTTAGTCTATTCTTTCGCTTTCTGTTCAGATATCGTCGCAAGTAAGTACGTTTTCAGGAAAGTAAAAAAAAAATTCAACATCGTAGTTTTCCTTAAGGCTGCAGTCAAATAACAAATGTAAACATCTTACGAGGCTCGGGCAAAACCGATTACACGCGAAAGGCAATATTTCTTAGCAAAAAAAAAACCCAAATACACATTCACCAACGTTAGTGTGTTTATTCAACGTTATCCCGGCGGATCGTTCACCGTACGGCTCAAGTGTTTTCCGAATAGCGTAGAGCGAACAGAGAGAGAGAGCGAGGAGTTCATCTGCCTGTATACATGTATAAAGTTTGTTTGTGGTTTCACTACAGTATCGACTTAACGCAAATTCACTCACCACCTCATCTGTTGAACGCTGTTCAAAGGGAACGACGGATAATCCAAACAGTGGTCGAATCGAGCAGATAATCGGAGTCGGGAGAGAAGGGCAGGCGCGTGGGAAAAATGATGACACCGTGTGTTGGGCGGTTGAAGTTAAACAATAAAATAATACGATTTACGCTTGTCAAAATCGAACGACTCCGGTGACGTAATAAATTAGTGGTCAGTCATAAATTTCCAAACACACGAGAACTCGTCCAGGTTTTATTTTAGATTCGTTCTGACATTGAAATATATTTTCTACCCTCTTCTTTGACCACTATCGTGACGCACAAACCGTGACGTCACCGGTGGCCGATCAATTTTATTCGCTTTACAGCTGTTGTTTTTTTACTTTTGACGGCCGTATAATACTCGCCATTGGTCCCTTATATACCTACTTGTTTGGAAATCACTGACCGTTCTTTTTGTCGCAGGTTGTGAATCGTTAATCCGCAAGATGCTCATACTGGACCCGAGCAAGCGGTACACGGTGGAACAGATCAAGAGACACGCGTGGATGTTAGAGGAAGCGCCTAGATTGTTGCCGGGTACAGTCGCTGAAATGCCCGCCGAGCCCAATGACCAGGTGCTGAGGTTTATGAGCAGTTTGGACATAAACACGTCAAGAACTAGACAAGTATGGGCTTTAAATTACATTTTTTTTGGTATTTTTCAGTGTGAATTTATTAAAACCCGCGCTTTGCACAGGCCGTATTTATTTGAGTTACAGATTTTGGTTGTTGGGAGTATTTGGGCATTTTAAAACCACAAACCATGTTTATAAAAAACATTTTAATGTGTATAATATAACTGTTATTATTCGGCTTAATGTTGGCCAATACGGACGCAAAGTATAAACTTTAATTTAAAGCATTCACAAAACAAAAATTAAATGCATCCACCAAACAATATATATTTAGCGTTAAAAACCGAAGTCAATGATCTTTTTAACACAAAATTATTATGTAACTATAAATAAGTATATACTACCATATTTTTATTACTTCATACTCAAAAATCATTAGGTGTAGTAATAAAATATATATTGAGCTTTTAAATTATAAATTTTGTGCCGTTACGTATAGTGAAATTGGATAATACATTTTATTTTCAAAATTTTGCGTTCATTTTGTTCTTTAGTCCGTTTCAATTTTCTTGTTGCACTTTGTTGCTGACGAAAACATATGGTTCATTTTTTTAATAACCACAGCTTATTTTAATTTAATTTTATTTGGAATTAATGTGTTAATATAAAACATTTTGTTTGGTCGCAGTCTTTGAGAAACCGAACGTACGATCATTACGCAGCCATCTATTACTTATTGTTGGAAAAACTCAAACAGCAAAAGTCACAAGAGAACAGTCATTACTCGCAAGAGCGCAGGATGTCTGAAAAACTTTTTTCCGTCCCTTCGTACGAGCCCCAACTGTTCAGTGGTGGTCACCCTAGTCCTAAAAAAAGAGCGTCCATAGACTGTCCGGCCAGTCACCAATATTTGCCTGATCCGTGGAAACAGCCCAAGGCTGCCACCGTTCACCTCAGTAGCCATTTGCCGTCCAATCGACCACGGTCGTATAGCCAAGGTAGGGCCGTGCAGCATTCCGTTAACTTGTCAGATCTCAAGTCACAGCAGCACCCACCATTTAGAGAGCTTCCTCAACTGCCCAAGTTTAAGAACAAGCCGATCGCGGATAAAACTTGCGTGCCGGACAATATAGCGGTGGTAGGTGCAGCCGCCCCCGACGAAATTCCCAAAATGTGCTATCATACTCGACTGGACCATACCACCATGATCGCACCCCAGTACTCAACATCGACGGACGAGGGCATAGAGACTGATTTGGAGGACGTGATATCGTCCAGTCCCACGCTACCTCCGTCGTCACATCGGTTGACATACCCGTCGCCGGTGATCAAGAGTCACAGTCAGAACTTGGCCGACCTGCCATCAGTAATGGGCCATTATGAGTCCGACCTGGTGTCTAGTCTACCGTCTTGCGCGGCCAACGACGTCGGCGGAAAGTACACCGACACTGTGGTGAACGCCATCAACAGTTGTCCGTCATCGTGGGACAGACGTAACTCGTTCTTAACGTACGCGCCTAGTTCGGCGGATGGTGTCAAGTCGCGGCTGATACACCAGGAGAACGTGTCACCAATCAGTTTCCGCGAAGGCCGTCGGGCGTCTGACGGGCTGATGAGTCAAATCAATCAGTGCCCGCCGTCACCAAGATCGCCGCAGTATGGCAATCGTGACCGGGCAGCTCTCAATAATCATAAGTTGCACGACTCGTTACGGGCCAAAGGTTTCACGGAATTACACATGGTGCAAATGGAACACGAAACGCTCAAATCATTATACCAAAGTTGTTTACCCAACGACAAACAAGTCGAACTGTACGAGTCGTCTGCAGGTCGTGGTAATGACTTACAGCGAGAGGCCTTACAAGCATCGCAGCCACACGTCGAGTACCGGCATAGCAGCAGCAAAGATCAGGTGCCACCGAGATCGCCGTCGGCCGCGTTGGCTAAGCGGTTCAATTACGCGGCTGCCATGGCCGCCTCTGACGGGTTTGCGTTGGAAAAAGCTGGTCTGCAACAGCAACTGCTTCAGCAGCGGTTGTACCAGCACAAGCGAAACGTACAGTTGCAAAAGCAAGGACTGTTCAGCCAACCAAACGCCTCAACGGCCGCCGTTGGACAGGAGTCCAAGCGACATCAGCATCACCATCCACACCACCACTATCACCACAGCAGTCACCGTCAACCGTTATACAAGACGACTCAACTGGCGTCTCAGCACGGCGGCAGCGGCGGAAATATGGGCGTCGATGGCAACCAACAAGTGTTGATGCAGTCCGATGGAAGCTGGCAGTCATTACCTCATACTATGGCCACCTGTCAGATCAATGACTTTGACAGCCAAGCAAATTGGTTGTCCGTGCCGGACCCGCAGCACCATTGGTACTGCACGTCCGGGCAACCATTTAACTTCTCTAAAAATTATGCTCAGGTAAGACAACTGATTCAATCATAGTATTAATAAGTAACAACGTAACCACAGTATAATTTGCAAAGGGTAATTTTCGCTTACTGAATGCATTATTTTTCCCTTACAAATATATTAAGTTACTGAACTTTTTACAAAAAAATATCTATTTTGAACCCGATGTTTGTGAAAAATGAATAGTTTCATAAAATAGTACTGAAATATGCAATAATATTGTAATCAACAGTCATAACAGTAGTTGTTAGTTATATTTTATAATTAACGTCCGAAAAATTATTCGATAAAGATCCAGCATTTATTATCTTTAGAATAAATAGGTAATCGCAATATTCTAACATACGCGTGTCTAAAGAAATAAACAAAATATATCGTAAGAGTTTAATTTATACGTTGTATATTTTTTTATCCATAAGCGTTGTACGATTGGTTTTTTCGAATTTCGTTTATGAATTAGTTTTAACTGTAATTGATGACTGTCCGTTTTGGATGTATGTAAAAGCTTATTGTAGTCGGATAACGAGGAGTCTGATTTATTTCTAAATCCATTCTAGAAAATCGACCGCATTAGTTTTGTAAAACGAGCTGCTTTTGAAATTAATGCGGATCTAAAAATCAGGTCATACCATCACGAACCATGTGGTTCGAACGTCATTCGGTCCGGTCAATAGATTTCGCGCCAAGGACAATTTTAGGTAAAAGCTAATGTTTTATTCATCCTGACTGAATTTGAAAATGTCGGACAGCGGGCTCCCGTGGGTGTATTACGTCTCAGCAGCGTCGGCAAACATTTTTGCGATTGATCCCTGGCATAAGCCCCGCAAAGACATAAAATACAGGTGAAACTGTTTTACATTAGCCATTAAATCGCTTTATCTTCGACCGACGCACGGTTTTCGCCAACGTGCGGACGTTTTCATTTTTATTTATTCGGTCAATCGATTACGGTCAATTGCAAATACAATATTCGTTATCATTGCTGAAATCTGGGGCATAGTGTTAAATATTTACGATGTAGAAAATTGGGGTGGTGACGTGACGGAATATTGTTATTTTCCATTATAAAAGGGCTGTATATATTTTTATAGATGGGCGCTATTACTCGGATTACATAACATTATGAGGTTGTTGTACTCAATCTCCACAGGGCACGTTTCTGTTCTATTAATCAGCTAAAAACGGTCACTCAATTCCCTGGGGGGATTTTATGCCGATTCGTATAAATTAAAGCAAAAAGAACCAAAATGATACAGTGACATTAAAAAAAAAAAAGCTGGTTCCGCCCGTAAAGTATTTGTCGGTAAAACATATTATCTTTCTTTAATTGGTTTTTATACTATTATTTTAATGTTTGACATTAAAATATCTTATAGAATTTTTTTCAAACAGTTATATTTTAAACTAACCAGTAAACCCATAAAAATGTTGTTTCACTAGCATTTTCTCTGATAATATTTTAACCTTATTTGTTTGATTTTATTAGCTATGCGTCGTAAAATAAATTTCTGTTGCGTTTGTATAGGGATGTTTATAATTTGTTTTAATGTTTAGAGTTGTTACAGTTATTATTATTATTATACATATATATATTACTTTTTGTTGTACGTGAATGATAATTAATTTTCATTTACTGGTAAACCGTCTAGTAGAGTGAAATTCAAATGAAATTCCTTGTATACAAATCACGTGTACTCTTATGGTTCTCATCACATGAATATTATTGCTATAATAAGAACCAAAATGCTATGTAAGGTAATGTCATTGAAACATGTTTGTCAGTTAAATTTATTTAATAATTAGGTATGGTTTTTTGAATTAACCAGTACTATACTTTGATGAAAAGAACTACCTAAACCTATTGTAAAATTTTAATACGACTACAATTATGAGCGTTTTGTTATAATACAACGTACCTACTTGTTCGCTAAAAACGTTTTTGTCGACCTATAACATTAAATTATTTGTCTTAATTAAATTTTAGTATTAAACACTCTAAAGGGACTTGTACCCCCCGAAATTACTGCGAGGCACCGCAATAACGTTTTAGCCTTTAATTTGTTTTCGTTTTAAAGCGGCTTAGTTATTTATGGAAATCATTAAGTGTTTTACAAATTGAGATCTTCAAAAAGTACCTAACTTGGAAATACCTAATTAGACAGCGTAAACATTTCGATATTACGTTACACGCCATTTTTTTCTTACACTTAACCGCAAGTATTATATTTTACCTGTCGGTGTACGGTGTTTCAGTATGAACTATGGAAATGGTATTTATAGAGATAAATAACTACTATTTATATATTTTTTAATACACGTATGCACTATATTAGTAATTATAGGTACTATAATTTAGGTCAAAGCAGAGGTTCCGCCTGGATGCTATGCTCATCAATAATAATTTTCTTAGAAGCTGGGTGTAATTTCTCTTAAGACATGATGCATATTAGACTTTTCCACTATTATATTTTGCGTTTGAAACTAGGTACGTCGTCTCTAGCGAAAACAAGAGGCCTTGACAGAAGTTCTATGATGTTGATTCCTATACTTATGCAAATTGGTTTTTAGCATTGTTATATAATGTATGATTGTTTTTCTGTGGTTTTCGCAAGATCATCCAATTGACGGTATTCAATTGATCGCCGAGTAAACTCTTAAACACCTTTAGTGGCGTATAGCTTTTTATTCATTGGTCATTTACCGCGTTAACGAAGATATACACATATAAAAATATTTTACACGGTTGAAATCACTCAAATGTTGACGTTAGAAAGATTTTTTATTTCATTTAATTCAGCTATTTTGCGTGCTGGAATTTTATAGAAATTTAACCAACCCACAATGACAACATAATTTAAATTACATTTTTGTTTAAATAATAACTAAAAATAAACGTATTTATATAGTGTCAAATTAATATAAAATGTGACAATTATACAAATCGTAATCGTTACGTGATCATGTAAATTAATATGACTGCGACTTCTTCATTTCTACAAAATATATGGTTAAACTACATAATATATTAAAGGTATGAAGTATTTGAAACTCTTAAGACATAATAAATATATAAAATTAACTTAAATTTAAAAAAACGCTTCGAGGCGAATGTATTTACAGACTTTTTAGTTATAACTTATGTACAAAGTACACTAGTGGGTAAGAATCATAAAAATAAATGGTTTTTATTTATTTTTGACAGTTTTTTTTTTTTTAACGTTTATGGTTATCGCCTTTAATTATTTTACCCCATTCCCAACCATACCTAACCTCTTACTGTAATGACTTCATTTTTGTCCTTTGTACACCACGGGTAAATCGCCTTACATAAGTTTTAGGTCATATTACTTGTAAGTCCTGATGTATACGTGTTTACAAAAACAGTGTTTTATGTATACTGTGTAGGTGCTGGTGATAATATCGATCGACGTCTGTAATATTATAATAAATACCAATTTTCATACGCTTATTATTTGTTTTTGTAGTCAAAAGACCGAAACATCAAAGCGAACTTTGAATTTAAGCTTTTCTTTGACCGTTTCTCGGTTGTTGTTGTTGATTTTATTTGAAGAAAATAATAACTGGGCGAGAATGATCGCGGAGTTTTTGCGGAGTCTGCTAGGCAAACACTTGAATACACATAATAGAAATAGAAATCGCCTGACACTGTTTTGCGCACTCAGAGTTGACCTGAATCCGTTGGCTAAATTTCGGACCCAAGCGATAAAACTTTCGAACTGACTAAAACTTTTGGCGAAACAGTTTCGTCCAAACCCCGTCGGTTCTTATATAAATAACAAACAATGTACACATAAATTGTACCTATTATAGATGGCAGTTTGCTCTAGAGCTGTGGATACGCTCTACTGTGATAATTTCAATACCTATATACAAACGACAGTGTTGCTAACTGTATATTACTTTTACAGCTCAGCAGCACGGTCAATAATGTGCCCATGGGGAGTTCTTTGCTGGGCGCTAACGAGCTGTCGGCCTGGACGTCACCGAGATTGCAATCCCTGTCGGAAAATACCATATCGGAACTCGGAGAACAGATGGAATCCGGCTAAACCCCAAACACACAGGTACAGTTCAAAAATAAAAAAAAATTAAAGTTATTATTCAAAGGCATCAACTATTGCATTGGAATTCGATGTTTGAATAGTTCCAAACAAAATAGTACAGTGATTATAGCCTATAGGTGTACAATATTACATTCCTTTTGAATTTTCTTCTTCTTTCTAAAACCGCACAAGTGACACAACTTGACGTATATTTTTTTACGAGAATATTTCCAACTATTGATTTAAAATAAATAGAAGTGTTTAAAAAATATCGTTTATTTTTATAATGCTTATTGACTCCACAAATTGTTATTAGGTACTTATAAAAAAATCACTGCCCACTGGAACGGTAGTTTTATTTATTTATAGTAATACCTCCAAATATAAGCTTGAGAACAAATAGTAAAAATGAAGTACAAATTATTTAAAAAATACTATAGATGTGTACATACTAAATTTCAATTTTATCTACCTAATCTATTCTCCAAAAACGTATTTTATTTATATAACAATAGTTAAAAAAAAAAGACGAAAAAGGAACAAAAAATATAAAAGTGGCCAAAATAATAGTGTTAAATAAAAACGAGGGGTCTTCATTGGCGCTACGCATAAGGCGAATAAGAAATGAGTTTTGAATGAAATTGGAGGACAAATATGGAACACGGCAAGGGGCAACATTTCTAGCCCGACGGGCAGGAACTCTAAAACTAATATTTGGCTGTTTATTAGTATATTTTTTAGTTCTTTCAATTTTTGATAAAATTTGAACAGCTGGTTTTTTTTAAATTTTAAAATGTATGTATGTATTGATTGATTGACTTTTCTTTCTTGATAAAATGGGTATCCTTATTAAATATATGGATGACGATTAACTATTAAAATAAATATATTACATTGAGGGACCTCTAAGCCTGCTTATTTTTGATCGAAGAAAACAACGCATTCTAATTTTAACCGTCTCTAAAACGCGTTATCCGGCAATAGTTTTGAAAACAGATATATATTATTCAATATTTGCTTGGTGTATCAAACAATGTTTATTTTTAATTTTCGTTTTTTATGTTAGTGTAAAAATTATTAAAAATTATTTTTTCACATAAAAATTATTAAAAATTATTTTTTCAAATAAAAATTATTAATAAACGATTGTAAGTGTTATAAAGAATCCAAATGTTTTTTCAAGGCCCAAATGTTATTTTTAAGAACCTACTGTTTGAAGAAGAAGTATATTGTTTTGTACAAAGATGGAAATTTAACCGCTGATAAAGAATAGAAGAAAAAATAGAGTTTGTATACATTATAGAAGTTAAAAAAAAAAGTATATCATAATAGATTCCCCATTCCTATGATATTGTATGTGTAAACAAATTTTAGCATGAAGGATGAATAAATTATTAATAATGTATTTTTATTTTTGATTACAGATATCATGAAAAACATATTATCACTCAAATAGTAGATTCCTACGTTCATTTTATACAATACCTACACATTCAACTTTATTCAAACTATGATTAGAATTTGTACCATTCATCTTTTTCGTAATTAGTTTTATATAATCAAGTATAACATTTTTTTTCAATAAGCTTAGTTAAAATTTAAAGTTACTCACAATTGAAAACATATTTGGTTTAATATTTATTTACGAAACTATCCAATTTGTGAAATAAATGATTTAATCGTATGTATATCTACAGGTATTAAAGTTCTCATTGTTTTAATTAATATTATAATAGTTTACTATGCAAATGATACATCCTGGAATCAGGATTTTGCTTTATTTGCATAATTAAATTGTTATTAGTTTCAATCAATAGACTGTTGTATGTAGGCATTGTACCTATATTGATAAATGGATGTGGGTACAAATAATGATAAAACTACCAAAACATGTTTTAGTTAAGAATACATTAATTAAGTAAAAATATACATAAAAAATAGTAAAAATGAGTATATTGTCGTGGCTAATATGCTCTGTTGATCGTAAAAATGTAACCATAATGAGGTGGAATGTCAGTTAATTTCTATAAGAAATTATAAGAAGAAAAACTGGTACATCATATAAACTAAAGGTTTAAATATAAAAGCAATATCCAAGAAGTTCTAGTACTTGGTGTAGCCATGTGTGTGTATATATACACATGTATGTAGCATTATTAATCATTTAAATGTTTATTTAAAAAAAAAAAATAATATTAGTTATACTTTGGATAGTTACATAGTTATAATGATTATTCACACGTTACTCCTTTGAGGTAGACTTAGTCAATATCAATAAAAACATTGACATGGTACTTGCCATAAAATATCATTAGTTATTTTTTTAAATTAGGTATGCAATATGTAAAAGGTGTATTTGTAATTATTTATGAAACTTAAAACCTAATTTATAAGTTAATTCCGCAAAAATAGAGATGGGTGGAACGAAAACTATTTATTACTTATACATAACCATAGCCCATAGGTTAATCAAATCATGTTTTTGTATTTATTTAAGAAAAAACAGTTAGGTACACTAAATATTTATTATATATTTTGTTTAAGTATGTTCCTGTGCTATTAAACTTTCAAAAATAGTATAAGAAAATTTTATCTTGTTAAGTAATTTTAGTGTTCTCAAATAATCTACAATACAACAAAAAAGCTAAGTATTACAGTTTTATAATTTTGATGCGGTTCAGAGCAATGAAGTTAAGAAAAAAAGAAATTTTAAACTTGGTGATCTCATAAGTAAAATTGTTTTAAAAACATTTTATATTTATGCTTTATGTAATAAGTATTGCAAAAAATTTTAAATCACAATAGTGATTTCTTATTAAGACCTCATGTAACTTTTTGTAGTTAAATGCTATATAAAATCCAAACCAAATTAATTTATACAATTTGTGTAATGCAATTAACACATTTATGAAAGCTAAATTTTATTTATATATTACATTAAGAAAAAACTGAAACAAAATTAACAACTAAGTACAGTAAGAATTTTATCTGCCTTCTGAAAACATGTCGCTACCAGTCTGTCTTGCTTTAATTTTTGCTTGGTCAGGAGTCAATAATTCATCTTCACTGGGCTCTATTGGATCACCATTCTCTTTCAGTTTATTTTCCTTAAAATCGTTTATAATCTTTTTCCGATAAACAGCATTAAATAAATCTTGTGCAGTAAACTCTGACTGTGTGACTTCAGGCACTCTATATGACACATATGGTTTCAACTAAAATAAAAAAAAAGATGAATAAGTAATTAATAAAAAGTAAGAAGGGTAAGATTGATCTATTAAATATTTTTTTTATTAAAAAAAATACAACAAAATTATATGATTTTATATGGCTTGTTGAATTCGATGAGCATAACTATTTAATGTAAGAAATCGATATTAATGGACCGCTATAAACGGGTGAAAATTTTGACAATGAATTATTTTTAAAAATATGTTTTTTGACAAGCTAAGAAAACTGTACACAAATTATGTCAGTAAAGTTGGAATCTGAAAAACTTCATTGAATTAAAAAAATATTCGAAATAATAATAATTTGCAAAAAAAATTTAATAAATTAAGATTTTTGATTACACATGTTATTATAAGTACATTTTTTCAGCTTTTCTTATGAAATAAGCAAGAAAAAACACATTCAGCCCTCGGCTAGGTAAGCTACAAAATGATCCTTAATAGTGGAGCCCAAAAGTGGTACTAGATTTGGTATTTTCTCTTATAAATAAAAGTGAAAAGAGAATCTTTGTAATGGGTTGGGTCTGGAATCACTTATCCAATCATCATACGTCATGAGTTTTTCAACTTATAGAGCAAACCACGGATCAGGTTTAAACATGGTTTAAGCCATAGAACGTAAAACAAAAAAAATAAAAACTAATAGCTCAGTTGAGATTTGAACTTTGGCGTCTCACGTGCTGCTCTTTTCATTACAACTCTACCCAAGTTGCCAAAAATGTGTATTTTTGCATCTTTTAAACTGTTAACACACATCGCTGCTGTTAACATGCATGTGTAGTATGATACCCATATTTGTTTTATTATTTATTTTTTAACCTGGGCAACGCTGGGTACAAGGGAAACTATTATAATATATGGGAGAGTTCCTTATAAATTATAACTATTAGATTTTCAATATTATTAAAAACCATATTAAAGGATATAATTTTTTCAAGAATAACGGTAAAATGAAAGGTTAACTTACTTCACAGTCATCGAGATTTGGTACAATAATGTCCGGAATCTTTTCCGGTATAGTTACTAGTCTGTTTCCCACTTTTATTGTAGTTTCTCTAATTCCATAGTCTAATTATAAAAAAAGTTTTATAAAGTTTTACATGCACAAAAAACATATAAAAATGAATGGTTTTTATAAATTTACCTGTAATTTTAAGATCCTTTTCGGGTCTTCTCTTCTGTCTTTCTTGAAATGCTTTTGTTCCACGGTTATACAGAATAAAATTTTTAAAATTTCGTTTTCCGTTATGTATAGATGAAGTGGAAAAAAATCGAATAGCTTGGGGTGTTGAAAAACTCATTGTAAAATAATTTATATTTTATTTAAGCTCAACTTATTACTTGAGCTGTGATAATATCGATTGGCGAACACAGCACCTAGCACCGTAACCAAAGAAATAAGTATATTCGTATGTGAGCAACTATATTATCAATTTGTACATTATGATAAGCGGTATCTTTCATAAGAAGACACGGCGCACGAGAACACCGGCAGCCATTTTTTGGTTATCACAAGTTAATGTCATACCTATATACAGTCTAAAATATATCACCATCCGACACCCCGTCTGATTATACTTAACATACATTTAGGATAACACCACTTTTCCAAAATTGCATACGTTACCATAGACTTAGCACTTAAGTGGTCTATGTACGTTACACCAAGGACCATTTTTCCTTATTACACTTCCCTAAAGATCGGATCTTTCGAGCATCAGAATGTTATCACAGATTATATATGAATCATAATAATATGATATACTAATATGTTATCTTGGAAGAAAAGTGCAATGAGGCGCGAGTTTGGGTGTTTAAAATGCTGAAACGCGTAAAAGAAAATAATATATTCTACTTCAACCAGAATTATAAATCACGACATAAAATTAAGACAAAATACTTCTTTTATAGTCGTACGTTAGAAAATAGTATGATCTTATTTAGGCTTTGAGATTATCATAATAGAATCGGGTTGCCGTAGTTTAAATTTTAATATATATAATATAATTTGAAACTTGGTATGTAGCAAATACCAAGTATGAAGCATGACTAACATTAGCATAGTATATTTAGTAATAGAATAAAAAAAGCGTGGCTAAAAACTAAAAAAAATGTAAACTGTTTTGTAGTATTCAAAACAAGTATGATAAAATATAACATAAATAGTACGTGTTTGTCAGGGTTACACCGCAAAACGTCGCCCGACAAAACGTCGCCGGACAAAAAATCGACAAAACGTCGCCGGATAAAAAATCGACAAAACGCCGCCGGACTAAACGCTGCCCGTAAAAAGACCGCCTCCCAGTAATGCCAACACTAACAATATGTGTATATAATATACGATTATTAATGGTGCTAGTTGTGCTGCCAGCATGACATATTATTAAGGAGTAAATAGTAATCATCCATCTCATTTGACCATATTAATTTTTAAATATTTATTATTATGGTTAAATGACATTTTATAATTGAATTTTGAAAGAAAGAGCTTTTTGAAAATTAATGTGTAGCAAAAAAAAAAAAAAAATAGAAAACACTGATCAAATACTTGTACCTCTTTTAATGTTTATTATAAATCAATGGTTATACAAATTTATAGTGACTTGGAAAATGAAACCAAAACTAATGCAATAAAATTAAACTTTTTTTCTTTTTTGGAGCCACACCACTTTTACAACGAACGAACCAATTTAGGTATACCAATATAAAAACAATCTGATGTATTTTTCATAGACAATTTTTAATTAAAATAAACTGAAGAACTAAATTAATCCGTGCTCGCGACTTCCATCAGACTTTGTTTATTAAGAAAAAAAATACTTAAAAGTATACAAACAACGGCAGGTCTTATGTGAATAATAACAACTATTAAAGTCTTATAAATAAAGTCTTCATCTGTTGTCTTCGCAGAACCACAAAGAATATGGACCGAAAGGTTAATAACAATTAAACGACGGCTATTATATTCCAATTCTCCATTGAAAAAAGAATATACGTTGAGATGCAGTGGCGCTAAAATCGTTTTAAGACGAAAACATCACATCTAAGTCACGTGTGTTGTCCGAAACGTTAAAGGATGATCGAATTAACCCCTTAGATAATTCCCTTTAGGGATACTATAGTCCCCTAAAAAACAAAATATTTATAAAATTGAAAATTTATAATAAGAGCTAAAACAAATTACGATTATATTCCAAATGTTTACTTATTAATACTTATTTTGACTTAATCTACCACAAACCAGGCAAATTTTACTACACTCGATAAAAAAATGCAATCATTTAAATAAAAATCGCGTTTGATTTAATACAATCATCATTTGGTATTGGCCCTATACATTTTTTCATTACTATCAACAAGTTTTAATAAACTGACACATTATTTATACACTTGATAAAACATTTAACATGTTAATTAATATTACATACCTACACTTTATAGTAATATACCTACTACTAATTTGTTTGCAAATCACTAATGCAATCATGTGAGATATTCCATATACCGATTACCGAGTACAATTAAATAGTACCTAACCAGTTGTACTGTAAGTATAAATGGCACTACTATACAACATATAAATAAGCATAATACAGGGTGATCCAACTAACGTAAGACACTCATTTTCCCTGAAAATATAAATATTTTGAAAACAATTTTTTTCCTAAACCCTTAGGTACATATTTTACTACATTTTTTAATATTTTAAAACATTTTATCGCCAATCCTTATAAGCCAAAAAAGGGGATTTTTGGTTTTTTTAAATGGCAACATATGTTTTTAATTACATAAGTTTGTAGACAAAAAATTTAAAAATGTGTTAGCGTTAATTTTTTTTATTTTTATTAAACTGTTCATTAGTTATGACTATGTTAAGATACTACATTTCCTCTTAATAATAATCATATTTCTTCGGTTTGTCCAAAACCGGTAGCACATCAAATTCATATTTATGTTCGCATTGTCCAATTGGCGATAACATTCTAACAACTAGGAATTCACTATAAAATATTTTGAAATAGACAAAGGTTCTTATCTACAGATTACTTAGATTATAGGTTATTTATTATATCTGATTATGGTACAGAGTACGGTAACATGTCAAATTATTTGTACGCAATGTAATAAAACTACTCGTCTTTGTAGTAACGATTGAAAATAATATGAAATACAGTCAAAAACTCAAATCTTTATAAAGTCATAACAAATGAACAAATAAATGAAAATTCAAAACTCAAACGCTAACATAATTTTTAATTTTTTGTCTACTAACTTATGTAATTAAAAACATATGTTGCCATTAAAAAAAACAAAAATCCCCCATTTTGGCTTATAAGGATTCGTGATAAAAATTTTCAAAATATTGAAAAATGTAGTAAAATATGTACCTAAAAGTTTAGGAAAAAAATTGTTTTCAAAATATTTATATTTTCAGAGAAAATGAGTGTCTTACGTTAGTTGGATCACCCTGTATAAAAACTTCTATGAAACTTTTGTGTGTATATTTTTTTTAAATTGCTCAATTTTACTGCCTTACCTTATAAAACAAAAATACTACACTTTACTATTATTGTCTTTGTTGTTTATTTACACGAATAAATAGGTAGCAAAGATGAGTATCAGTGATCCCTGGATTCAGAGTGACGGACAATCTCAATAAAGACTTTAGCCTAGTTACACTTAGCCTAAGTAATAGCATCATATTTTGATTTACAAATCGATCAAGTAGTGCAGGTATGTGTATAAATAAACACGGTTACTATATTTAACCCTTTTTTTTAATGACTTAAGTGGTACACTCTGAACTATGCAAAATATAACACCTAAATTATTCCATTTGAACGGCGCAATTTGTAGTGTTAATTACATATTCGAGATCATCTCGTCGATGATCTTTTCAATGGCAAAAACATATTGATAAATGAACCCCTTTCAGACAAGTTGGTTAATAGATGTAGTATTATACCTTGCCTGTCAAAGTGGTTTTAAAACGCCTACAATAGAAAAGATAAAGGACAATATTACTTGTGAACAACTAGGCGTTGTTGTTATATTTCGGTGAGTATTGTGCAAACGATGAATCACCAACATTGTCCGATAGATTTTTTTTTCGCAAGCAATCCAAATGTGTGTTTAAAATATTGTCATAGCACGTCAAGTTTTTGAGAAAATAAATTTTTAAATCGACAAAAACCCCTAAAAACCCGCTATTTCAAAAATGAAAATTGTTCTCATCAAATTAAACCGCTATAAAAAAAAAAAAACATGAGATAATAAACACCCCATAAAACTTATAGCATGGATCCTTGACGGCTTACAACCCTGAAGTTACTAAAAAAAAATATAAAATAAAAAACATTGACCAAAAGTATATATTTTTTGGTTTTTTGAGTTGAGCCTTCAGTCTATTAGCGTTATCCAGGAGACAACACATGGAGTTTGACTGATTAGTCTCCCAAAACATGTGTGTGCTTGTGTACACTGTTTATAAATGGTCAAAAAAATTTTTTTCAATTTTAATAATTTTTAAAAATAATTAAAATAATGTCAAAATTAAAAATAGTTGCTGGTAAAAATTAAAATTAAACCGATTTCACATAGTCAAATCTGCTAATTTTTTTTGTTGATGTTTGATAATCTGCTCCCGTAAAAAATGGTTCTTTTTCCAATGTTTTTTTTACATGGTTTTGTTGCATTGCTTCGTATTTTTATGTAGGTATCTGACTGTATGCCCAGAAGAGTGCCAACAAGAATAAAAATATTCGGATGTCCTGGGTGAAACAATGCATTTAATTTTGCATGAAAACTTTCACAACTGTTAGTTATCCGATTAGTGTTTGCTGACAAATCACACCAAATTTTTAAGGGGAAACTGTCCAACTTCATTGTCAATGTAATCATCTAAAATTTAATCTGTGAAACTGTCAATTCAAATCACATCACATGGTTCACCATCAAATCTCCCGTGAAACATTCAACTATGTCATTTTCGTTTGAAAATGGCAATCCAAAAAAGTACTTGAGTTATCTACTTTTCTCCGAATTAGACTTATATTCCTTAGACAGACCCAACTTCTGAATTTTTCGACACCAGCTTTACTTTACCAACACCATTTTTCAGGACTCAATTCAATATAGTCCGTCCAAATTCCCTACTATAATAGCAAAGGAGACTACGCTTACGATCTTATCTACGTAATAAAATCAAACATATTAAGATAATAAACTGGACTCAATTCAAATAACTAAAAGTAGGATGGATTCAATTCGATGTTATCCGTTTAGACGATCGTTTGCTCTCAAAAAAAAAATTGTTTTTCAAAAATAAAAATTTAGTTTTTTTTAAGGTAAATAACGGCTATCACAGTGTGTCCGTTTTACAAATAATTGTCAATAATATACGGTCATT